AGAGAAGGGTGGGGGGAAAGAAAGACAGACCAGCCAGGAATGGCCACCTGTAAACCTGGGTTGGAATCCCACCGGTGGCACTGACTGTGGCCTAGAAGCAAGTGGCACAGCCGTGCCTGAGTTGGACTCACTTTTCCCTCTCGTGCCTCCGATTCCCACCTGTGAAATGGAGGTGAAATCTCGTTTTCCTCAAAGGGCTGTGCTCTGTGCCTGCCACTCAAATAGAAATCGTGCTCACCAAGTGTTAGGGCCGGTTCTCAGTACACCTACTGCGTGGATTTGCAGAGGGTGGAGTGCATGGAGGGCTCCTCCTGGGAGCCTGTGGCCGAGGCTGCACAGCATCTTTGGTTGCTGTTCCTGTCTCCACCGTGAAGATGGAGCCACGTCCCTCGCGGCCCCTGGCTGGGCCCCACCTCCCGGAGACTCAGGAAGGGCTTGGAATTGGTGCCAGCTTCGCCGGCTGTGGGCCCCACGGCGGTGATGAATAACTTGTTTATCTGCTGGAGCTGCTCCCACCGCTCTCTCGGTGCCTGGCAGGCAGAGGTCTGGAAGGGGCGGGCAGGGACGGGGAGGGCTGGCTCACCAGGCAGCCACCGCCCCTCCTCCCTCCTCCCTCTGCCCCACTCCCCAATTCAGCATCAACCTCCACCTAAACCTGCTTCCTGCGCTTTCCTGCTCCTCATCTTTCCCCAAATCCTGTTTTGGAAGAAGCACGTTGAAGTGTTTGAAAACGCAGGCTCTGAAATCAGACTGGATTCGAGTCCCAGCTTTGTCCCTTGTCAGCCATGTGACTTTGGACACAACTTAAACTCTTGGAGCCATCACTCCCCCGGTAAAGTTTGTTTTTTTGTTTTGTTTTGTTTTGTTTTTTCCTGAGACAGAAACTCACTCTGTCCCCCAGGCAGGAGTGCAGTGGCACAATCACAGCTCACTGCAACCTCCGCCTCCCAGATTCAAGATCCTCCTGCCTTAGCCTCCCGAGTAGCTGGGATTACAGTTGCGCATCACCACACCCACCTAAAAAATTGCATTTTTAGTAGAGATGGGATTTCACCATGTTACCCAGGCGTGTTTCAAACTCCCGACCTCAGGTGATCCTCCTTGCCTTGGCCTCCCAAAGTGCTGGAATTTCAGGCATGAGCCACTGCGCCCAGCCTCCTCCCCTCTAAAGTCTGATGAGAACCTTACTTACCTAATGGGGCTTCACCCTTGAGACAACCCACAAGGCAACCCTCCCTCCTGAAGCTGCCAGAATGCTTTTTCTGCTTGGAACCTCCCTTAAGGGCCTCCACCCTTACCCTGAAAGGGAGTCGCCACCTCTAGGCCTTCCTCTCACTTTCTTGCACAAAGGTTAGGTTAGTTTAGTCTTTTGTGTGTGTGTGTGTGTGTGTGTGTTTGTGGCAAGGTCTTGCTCTGCCTCCCAGGCTAAAGTGCAGTGGGGCAATCATAACTCACTGTAGCCAACCTCCTGGGCTCAAGTGATCCTCCTGCCTTAGCCTCCCAAAGTGGTGGGATTATAGGCTTGAGCCACCACACCTGGTCTCCAAATTATTTCTCTAATCTACTCCCTCTGCTATGGTCTGAATGTGCATGTCCCTCTGTCCCCAAATTCTTACATTGAAACCTGAATCCCCAGTGCAATAGTATTAAGAGGCAGGGCCTTTGAGAGGGTTAGGGTTATGAGGACTCTGCCCCCACAGATTAGATTAGCACCTTTATAAAAGACACTTTAGGCCAGGTGTGGTGGCTCATGCCTATAATCCCAACACTTTAAGAGACCGAGTTAGGGGAATTGCTTAAGCCCAGGAATTTGAGACCAGCCTGAGCAACATAGTGAGACTTCATCTCTCTAAAAAAAAAAAAAAAAAAAAATTAGCCAGGCATGGTGGTGCATCTATAGTGCCAGCTAATTGGGTGGCTGAGGCAGGAGGATCTCTTGACCCTAGGAGGTTGAAGTTGCAGTGAGCTGTGATCATGCCACTGTACTCCAGCCTGAGTAACAGAGTGAAACTCTTGTCTCTTTAAAAAAAGAGAAAAAGTGATTGTGCCACTGCACTCCGGTCTGGACACCAAAGTGAGACCTTGTCTCAAAATATATAAATAAAATAAAAAAGGCTTAAGAGAGCCAAGTTGACCCATCCATGTACCATGTGAGGATATAGTAAGAAAGTACCATTTATGAGGAACGGGCCCTCTCCAGACACTGAATCTGCTGACAGCTCAATCTTGGACTTTCTCCAGAACTGTGAGCAATAAATTTATGTTGTTTACAAATTACACAGTCTAAGGTATTTGATTATAACAGAAGGCATGGACTAACCCCTGCCCATGTATGGTCTCAAGCCTGAGTCACTACCTCCAGAATAACCTCCCTGCCTGCCTTCCTCCTTCTTATCAAGGCTGCCCCCGTCTCATCATACCACTTTCTTATTAGAAATTCTTCACTGACATCCTCGAACCCAGAGCACATGTGTGCACTGGAGGTGTTGCTGCCCTTCAGAGATGTTTCAAAATTTATGAGAGCATTTTTGGTTGTCACAATAATTCAAGAGTGGGAATACTGGCATTCAGTGGATGGAAGCCAGAGAGTCTAGACTTCCAGAAATATACAGAACTTGCCCCCACAACAAAGATTATCAGAGGACCCGCCAGACATTCATGTGGGCAAAAATCCCATTTATCGCTATCTAAGTCCACAACCTACCTTCAGATTACATAAAATGCAAAGTGTTGGAGTCTTTTCTTCCTTAAAAATGTACCTTGGCTGGGCATGGTAATCCCAGCACTTTAGGAGGCCAAGGTGGGGAGGATTTCTTGGGGCTAGAATTCAAGGCCAGCCTGGTGAACACATGGAAATCTTGTCTCTTAAAAAATAAAATAAGCCGGGCACGGTAGCTAACACCTGTAATCCCAGCACTTTGGGAGGCTGAGGTGGGTGGATCACGAGGTCAGGAGATCGAGACCATCTTGGCTAACACAGTGAAACCCTGTCTCTACTAAAAATACAAAAAAAAAAAAATTAGCCAAGAGTGGTGGTAGGCACCTGTAGTCCCAGCTACTTGGGAGGCTGAGGCAGGAGAATGGCATGAACCCAGGATGTGGAGCTTGTAGTGAGCAGAGATCAGGCCACGGCACTCCAGCATGGGAGACACAGCGAGACTCCGTCTAAAAAAAAATAAAAATAATAAAATAAAATAAAATTAGCCAAGTGTAAATGGTGGAGTCAAGGTCTTGCTCTGTTGCCCAGGCTGGAGTGCAGTGGTGCAATCTCAGCTCACTGCAACCTCCACCTCCCAGATTCAAGCGAGTCTCATGCCTCAGCCTCCCGAGTAGCTAGGACTACAGGCATGCGCCACCACACCCAGCTAATTTTTGTATTTTTAATAGAGACAAGGTCCCACCATTTTGCCCAGGTTGGCCTTGAACCCCTGGCCTCATGTGATCCACTCACCTCGGCCTCCCAAAGTGCTGGTATTACAGGCATGAGCCACTGAGCCCAGCCAAGCTGTACAGCTTCTGAGCCTGAATTCTTAACATCTCTCCCCATGAACCTACACTCTATGAAACATCACGTTGTGCTGTCCATGGGTGGCTTTGTCCCATCACTGGGTTATGCATCGCAAGAGGGCAGGGATCAAGTATTTTCATTCCTGAACACCCAAAGGCTGACACAGAGTGGAGGTGCATCTTAACACAGGAATAAGTCAATGCCCTAATCACTCGTGGTCAAAAATCACCCTTGGAAATTTTATTAGTTTCTGACTGCTGCTTTAACAAATTACCATGAACTTAGTGGCTAAAACAACATAAATTTATGATCTTACAGTTATAGAGGTCAGAAGTTCTAAATGGGTCTTACTGGGCTAAAATCAAGGTGTCAGCAGGACTGAATTCCTTCTGAATGGTCTAAGGAAGAATCTGTTAATTTGCCTTTTCCAGTTTCTAGAAGCCACCTGCACTCCTTGGCTTGTAGCCCCATTACCCCATCTTCAAATCTACCAACATTGAGTGAAATCCTTCTCCTGCTGTCATCTCTGTGGCTATCTCTTCTGATTCTATCTTTTCTGTGATTACATGAGGCCCACCCAGTTAATCCAGGCATCTCCCTATTTTCAGGTTAGCTGCAGCTAGGCATCTCCCTATTTTAAGTGATTTGACTACTAACTTTAATTTTATCTGCAAACTTAATTGTCCTTTGATATGTAACAACATATTCACAGGTTCTGGGGATTAGAGGTAAGCATCTTTGGGGGCCATTTCTCTGTCTACCACAAGAATCCCTTAAATTGCCCATGGATTTGCAGGGCACTGAGAAAACAACTTAGATTCATGGTTCAAAGCATGGAGTCTGGAGCAAGATTGTTGAGTTCAAATCTCAGCTTTTTGACCTTGGGCACTTACTTAACTTTTCTGTGTCTCTGTGTCTCAACTTCACCATCTGTAAAATGGGAATGATAATAATAGTCCCCACTTTGCAGGTTAGTAAACACTTAGAATGATGCCCAGGATATAGTAGATGCAATGTGGTTGTTTATTAAATATATTAAATTTCATGGGTATATATAGCATTGGAACAAGATTGTGGTGTCTGGCTGAGCCTCAGACAAAATTATTGACTTGACTCTCAGCCAGCTGTGAGGTACCACAGAAGTGGAGACTGACTCAGGAGTCTCATTTTTCTCTCACTCTGGGACACGTGCTTGCTAAGTGGAAGAGGATGCTGAAATCACCTGTACTATTTCAATTGTTTATGCTTCTTTCTATTTTGCCAAGTGAGTGACAAAATTGACTGCAGATTTGATGTGACTTCATTATGAATATGTGTTGAATGAATGAATGAGTGGATGGATGGATGGATGTGTCTTCCCTGAAGATCTGTCTCCACCACACATCCCTCCATGTGGGTTCTCTTTCATGGATGGCCTAGGGAGGTAGCTACAGAAAGGGTGATAAGAATGATGCTAGGATCTGGCATCTGACTGGCATTTACCCTTTCTCAGGATCCTGAGGTCTCGTTCAGGACCATGGAGAGCGGCACCAGCAGGCCTCAGCCTCCGCAGACAGATCTCCTGGATGCATTTCCCCAGAACGGCTTGGAGCCCGGGGACATCGCGGTGCTGGTTCTGTACTTCCTCTTTGTCCTGGCTGTTGGACTATGGGTAAGCCAGGCCACTGGGGGATGGGGGATGAAGAGAGAAGGAAATGTCTATTTAGAGGTCTGGAGTTAACCTCATCGTTTTGGAGCTAAGATACTGACTGTGAGAGGAAGAAACTAACACAAGGTTACAGAGTAATCAGAAAAATTTTAAACATGCATTAGGTGTGGACTATTGTCAGACACTGTGTTAAGCATTTTCACTTACGTTTCTCATGTAATTTTCACAGTGCCCTGTGAGAAAGATGCTATTACAATATCCATTTTACAGATAAGGAAACAGAGGCCCAAATAATTTAAGATCCTCATCCCGTAAGTAAGTTAGGAAATCTGGGGTTGGAATCCCTGTCTCCCTTATTTTGAAGCTCATGGTTTTGTTTTTGTTTTTGTTTTTCGTTTTTCGTTTTGTTTTTGTTTTTGTTTTTTTGTTTTTTGAGATGGGATCTCCCTCTGTTGCCCAGGGTACTAGAATACAGTGGTGGCAATCATAGCTCACTGTGGCCTCAACTTCTTGGGCTCAAGTGATCTTCTTACCTCAGCTGCCAGGTAGTTAATTTTTAATTTTTTTTTTTTTGTAGAAATGGGGTCTCGGTATCTTGCCCAGGCTGGTCTCAAATTCCTGGGCTCAAGCAGTTCTTCCATCTCAGCCTCCCAAAGTGCTGGGATTACAAACAGCCCAACTTTTTTTTTTTACTCTAAAGAAAAATTTTAAAGGCAATACAATCACATGGTTCAAAAATAAAAATCACTTATGAGAAGTGATGAAAAGTCTCAATATTAGCCTTCTCTCCACAGGTAACCAGTATTATTAGTTTGTTAGTACATTAGCATATTGTTCAAGTGTCTTTATGCAAATCCAAGCAAATTTTAATATGTATATTTCCCTCTTTCTTAAACAGAAGGTTGCTTATACTGTTTTTTAACTTGTTATTTTTCACTTCTCAGTATCTTTTAGATATGTTTTCACATTAGCACATAGACATTCCTTATCTTCTTAAAAGTTGCACAATATTTCCTTAGATGATTGTGCTGTAATTTATTTAGCTAGTCTCAGGCTGAGGGTCATTTGGATTGTTTCCAATCTCTTACTATAATAAACTATACTATAATAAACAAACCCTGGCCGGGCACGCTGGCTCATGCCTGTAATCCCAGCACTTTGGGAAGCCAAGGCGGGCGTATCACTTGAGGCCAGGAATTTGAGACCAGCCTGGCCGACATGGTGAAACCCCATCTCTATGAAAAATGCAAAAATTAACTGGGCATCGTGGTGGGTGCCTGTGTTCCAGCTACTCAGGAGGCTAAGGCAGGAGAATCACTTGAACCTGGGAGGCGGAGGTTGTGGTGAGCCGAGATCACGCCATTGCACTCCAGCTTGGGCACCAAGAGTGAAAATCTGTCTCAAAACCAAACAAAATAAGTAAATAAATAAATAAACTCTGTACACTATTTGGGAGTGTAGCTATAAGACAAATTCCCTGCAGCAAAATTGCCAGGTTAAAGAATATACGCATTGGTATTATACTAGTTTGTGTCAAATTGCACTCCTTAGGTGTACACATCAGAAATGATGAGGAAGTCTGTTTTGTCGCATTCTCACCAACAGTGTATTGCCAAACTCATTTTTGTCAGGCTAGGAAAAATAATATCTCAAAGTATTGTTAATATGCATTTATCTTATATGAGAGATAAATGAGAGATTAATGAGGCTGGGCCCCATAACATATGTTTAAACACCATATATTTTCTTTATGTGAACTATGGCTTCATATCGTTTGCCTTATTCCTATTAGGTTCTTCTTCTTTTTCTTGTCAATTTCCAGGAGCTCTTTTTGTATTAAGGATATTAACAACTTTGAGATAAAAGGTCAGGCGCAGTGGCTCACACCTGTAATCCCAGCACTTTGGGAGGCCGAAGTGAGCAGATCGCTTGAACTGAGTTCAAGACCAGCCTGGCAACATAGTGAGATACCATCTCTACAAAAAACACAAAAATTAGTTGAGCATGGTGGCTCATGCCTGTAGTCCCAGATACTTGGAAGGCTGAGCCAGGAGGACTGCTTGTGCCTAGGAGTTCAAAGTTACAGTGAGCCATGATCATGCCACTACACTCCAACCTGGGTAACAGAGTGAGAGACAGTCGAAAGAAGGAAGGAAGGAAGGAAGGAAGGAAGGAAGGAAGGAAGGAAGGAAGGAAGGAAGGAAGGAAAGGAAGGAAGGGAGAGAAAGAGACAAAGAGAGAAAGAAAGAAAGGCAAGAGAAGGGAAGGGAAGGGAAAGGAAAAAGAAAGAAAAAGAAGAAAAAAATGAAAGAAAGAAAGAAAGAAGAGAAAAGAGAAAGAGAGAGGAAGGAAGGGAGGAAGGAAGGAAAAGGGAAGGGAAAGGAGGGGAAGAAGAAAGAAAGAAAGAAAAAAGAAAGAAAGGCAGAAAGAAAGAAAGAATGGAAGGAAGGAAGAAAGAAAGAAAGGCAGAAAGAAAGGAAGAAAGAAAGAAAGAAAGAAAGAAAGAAAGAAAGAAAGAAAGAAAGAAAGCAAGCAAGCAAAGGAAAGAAAAAAAGAAAGTTAATCACCAATGTGATGGTATTAACAGATGGGGTCTTTCTAGGGTGATTAAGTCATAAGAACTGAGCCCTCACGAATGGGATTAGAGACTTTATTAAAGAAGCTCAAGGGAACTAGTTTTACCCCTTTTTGCCCTTCTGTTCCTCTGGCATGTGAAGACACAGAGGAGGTACTATCTATGAGAAACAGGCCCTCACCAGACACCAAACCTCTTGGTGCCTTGATCTTGGACTTCCCAGTCTCCAGAATTGTAAGAAACAAATTTCTGTTGTTTAAAATTTTGGGTATTTTGTTATAGCAGTGTAAAACAGACTGAGACATGAGCCTCAGTTTCTTCTTTTATCAGATTGGCCTAATGACACCAACCTCATAGGGGTTGGTAAGGATTAAATGAGGTGATGCATATAAAGTGCTTGGCACAGCGTCTGGCACATAGTAAACACTCAATAAATGGTATCAGTTATAAAATATCATAGACAAGCCATGAGCCTAAGACTCAAATGTCTAGGTTATCATAAAATAAATGTTTGTAGCAACAAGTGGTAGGAGCTGTGTTGACCTGAAGAGTTTATGTCTCCTCTAAAAACACCAAAATTAAAATTTTCTCCAAAACTGTGGGAGAAACAAAATATATTTGATCTCCCAGAAATATATCCAAATCTGGCCTTTAGGACTCCCAGTTTGCAATCCCTGGCCTTGGCCATTTTGAGATGCCTCTGATTGCTAATGTCTTCCCTCACCCACCTCTCTTCTTTTTTGTAGTCCACAGTGAAGACCAAAAGAGACACAGTGAAAGGTTACTTCCTGGCTGGAGGAGACATGGTGTGGTGGCCAGTAAGTGGTCTTTGGTTCAATTAAAGTCACTTCTTAAAGAATCTTTAAGTGCTGGGATTCTGTCCAGCCTTTGATCTCTCAGGACTCTCTGATCTCATGTTGTTTGGAAGTCATTGTCTAAACTAGAGAAGGCTTAGCTCCAGCTCAAATTTGTTTAAACAACAACAAAAAAATTCATCAGCTCACCTAAGGGAAAAATCTGGAGTTAGGTTTTAAAAATAAATATTTATATAAATATAATATTTTTATAATATATAATATATATAATATATAATTTATTTATTATATAGTTATATACTATATATAACTATATATTATATGTAATTTATAGTTATATAATATTAAATATAATTTATATATTATATAATATATAATAAATATGTAAATATATATAATCACAACCTTAAACAGAAAACCAGTATCATTTGCTCTACACAGGAAAGCAGGGAATCATAAAAATAAAATTAAAAAATGTGCTTTTCTCCCCTGGACTCATTCATGCAGTTGCATTTAGTTGGTGACTAGGCTAGATAGAAGTCCAAGATGGCTTCATCCACATTTGGGGGACTTTGGCAGGGATCACTGGAATACTGGGACCTCATTTTCTCCCTATTCTCTTTCGTCATTCAGTGGCCTAGCCCAGGGTTTTGTGGTTTTTCTTGCTGTTTTTTTTTTGTTTTTGTTTTAACCAGGTAGCTGAATTTCAAGAGGGCAAAAATGAAAGCGACTAGGCTGTTAAGGTCTTGGCCTGGAAGTCATACACTGTCACTTCTACTACATTCTGTTGGTTAAAGTAAATTACAGGCCAGACCCGTTTCTATACGGGCCAAGTGGAAAAGTCACATTTCAATGGTGTCATTGGGAAAGGCAGAGTAAAGAGCTTCAAAAATTATCTCCTCCATAAAAGTAATGAGAACCGAAGCAAAAAAAGAAAAAAAGAAAATTGTCAAAATCAACTTTTTTAGAACTCTGGAGATTAACCACATGCTGCAATAATTCAGGAAGCATTTATTCAAGAAAAACAGCTGGATCTCAGGAAAAAAACAGTGAGCTTTGGGCCTGTTTCCATCTCTCTCTCTTTAGCTGTGTAGTAGTAGCCTTGGGAACCACCAGCCTAGAAGCAACTGAAGAGGTCAGAACGGGGTTAGAACTCTTTCAAACTCCATTCTCAAAAAAAGGTCACTATTTTACCTGTCATTTAGTTTCCTGGAAAGCCCCACCTGCTAGGCTCATCTTTGTTTGACCTTACCTAGAAGGTAAGGTCAGTGTGAATAGCCTTTTCCCTAGACACATTTGTAGAAAAACAATCAGTGGCAATTGTTTAACATTGCAGCTGTGGCAATAACAGTTTGGCAAATAATATTCTAATAAAATAACTTCAATAGAAAAGCCGGGAAGTGAGATGCACATAGGGTGCTTTGAAAAGCTCAGACATATTTCTGGGAATCTAGAAGGCCATGTGCACAGGACCACACACATGCTCAGGAAAGACCCAAGAAAGCCCTAAGCTCCTGCTTCTGGCTGACCTTGAGGCTCTGCACCAGCAGGAAGTGAAGGCTAAGGCAGAGTTATAAGCTGGAAGAATTGCAAAGACTGGAAAAATTATTGGTTTCAGGGATTTAAGAAAATGTCTGTTCAGTCATTAGCTGCCCAATAAACTGAGCTTAGATTTTGGTGGACACACGTGACAAAGAATTCAGACTTTATAAACTTAACTTAAGAAAGTCATGAAACAAACAATAGAAGCAGCAACAACAGCAGGAATGAATAGAAGAAACAACAATAAACCCTGAAGAGTCAGGAATGATCAGATTTCTAGAGTTACCAGTGACATTATTTTAAATGTCCACCTTTAACAAAAAATTATAAGACATGCAAAAAGCCCAAGAAATTATGGTCCATACATGGAGGTGGGGGGAGCAGTCAATAGAAAGTGTCCCTGAAAAAGACCAGATGTTATATTCACTAAACAAAGGCCTTAAATCAGCAATTTTATGTATATCCAAAAACCACACAAAAAAGCCATGTCTTAAAAACTAAAGTATGAGAACAATGTTTAACCAAACAGAATATATCATTAAAGAGATAGATATTATTGGCCAGGCGTGGTGGCTCACACCTTGTAATCCCAGCACTTTCGGAGGCCAAGGCGGGCAGATCACGAGGTCAGGAGATTGAGACCATCCTGGCTAACACGGTGAAACTCCATCTCTACTAAAATACAAAAAATTAGCCAGGCATGGTGGCGGGCGCCTGTAGTTCCAGCTACTTGGGAGGCTGAGGCAACAGAATGGCATGAACCTGGGAGGCGGAGCTTGCATTGAGCCAAGATAGCGCCACTGCACTCCAATCTGAGTGACAGAGCGAGCCTCTGTCTCAAAAAAAAAAAAAAAAAGAGATAGATATTATTATTATTATTATCATTATTATTTTGAGATGGAGTCAAAGCTATAGTAATCAAAAGAGTGTGATATTGACAGAAGGATAAACATGTAGATCCATGAAACAGAATTTGGTAAGAATTTGATAGGAAAGTCAATAAGGAGGCAAAATGGCTCTTTCACAATTCTCTCTCCTCTCTTCTCTTCCTTCACCCTTCTCCTCCTCCTTTCCTTCCTCCTCCTCCTCTTTTTCTTCTTGCTCCCTCCTTTCCCCTCCTCACTGGATCTGCCTTTTTTTTTTCTTTTTTTTTTTGAGGCGGAGTCTCTGTTGTCCAGGCTGGAGTGCAGTGGCGCAATCTCGGCTCATTGCAACCTCCACCTCCCCAGCTCAAGCGATTCTCCTGCCTCAGCCTCCTGAGTAGCTGGGATTATAGGCATGTACCACCACGCTTGGCTAACTTTTATATTTTTAGTAGAGACGGGGTTTCACCATGTTGGCCAGACTGGTCTCAAACTGCTGACCTCAAGCGATCCGCCTGCCTCGGCGTCCCAAAGTGCTGGGATTACAAACGTGAGCCAGAGTGCCCAGCTGGGCCTGCCTTTCTGTGCAGGACTCCATTATCCTCTCTCTCTGAACTGGCAGTGATGACTGGCACATGGTGAAACATGCCTCCACACCACTCCCTCACCCCCATCACACACATACCCCCCCCCCGGTTCAACATCCCCAGTCCAAGGGACCAGCAGAGATGGTGTCCTTGTTTCAAATTCCCAGGAAAGAGAAGATAATTTGCCCAGCTTGGGCCAGGTACCCAGGCTTGTCCAATCAGTTGAGACCAGGGAGACCAGGGATTGGCATCATCAAGTACATCACTAGCCATTTAGTGCTGTACCAGGAGGACTATCTACTTTGCTAAGTTAGAAGCAGATCTGGGCAGTTAAAAAGGCTCCCTGATTCTCATCATGAATCACTTTCTACATTACCTCTCATCTTCTTTCCTGACCCCCGACCCCCGCAGGGATGCTGGGTACAGTTGTTAAAGTTGTGCACTGCACAACCCTAGAGGGGGCAATCTGCATTTTAGGCCCTGTAGACATGAATATTTATTCTACCAATCTCTGACAGGTGGGCTCTGACCAAGTAAGAGTCTTGGGAAAGGAGAATCTCATTCTAATGTAAACGAAAATGCCAGATAGGCTAGGGGTAGCCCTGCCTTCCTCCACTTCTCTTCTCTGTCCCTTTGGAGCATGGAAAGAATCGGGGGTGGTGAGCAGGTACCCTCGACTTTGTCTCCAACATCTGACCCCTCCATCTTCCCACAGGTGGGTGCATCCTTGTTTGCCAGCAATGTTGGAAGTGGACATTTCATTGGCCTGGCAGGGTCAGGTGCTGCTACGGGCCTTTCTGTATCAGCTTATGAGCTTAATGTAAGTATTTTACTCAGGGCATAGATGACATCTTACCTCTACCTAATAGGTAGATCTCAGGGGCAAGTTGTACGAATGCCCCGCACTTTAAAAATAGAATGGTGGGGCCGGGCGTCGTGGCTCACACCTGTAATCCCAGAACTTTGGGAGGCAAGGCAGGCAGATCACAAGGTCAGGAGATCAAGATCATCCTGGCTAACATGGGGAAACCCCGTCTCTACTAAAAATACAATAAATTAGCCTGGCGTGGTGGCGGGCACCTGTAGTCCCAGCTACTCAGGAGGCTGAGGCCAGAGAATGGCCTGAGCCGAGATCGTGCCACTGCACCCCAGCCTGGGTGACAGAGTGAGACTCTGCCTCAAAAAAGGAAAAAGAAGAAGAAGAAGAGGAGGAGGAGGAGGAAGAGGAGGAGGAGGAGGAGGAAGAAGAAGAAGAAGAAGAAGAAGAAGAAGAAGAAGAAGAAGAAGAAGAAGAAGAAGAAGAGTGAGACTCCGTCTCAAAAAAAAAAAAAAAAAAAAAAACCAAAACCAAAACAAAACAAAACAAACAAACTCCAAAAAAAACCCCCAAAAATAGTAGGTTGGGCACGATGACTCAGGCCTGTAATCCCAGCACTTTGGGAGGCCGAGGTGGGTGGATCATTTGAGGTCAGGAGTTTGAGACCAACCTGGCCAACATGGTGAGACCCCATCTCTACTAAAAATACAAAAATTAGCAAGGCTTGGTGGTGCACGCCTGTAATCCTAGCTACTCAGGAGGCTGAGTCAGGAGAATCACTTGAACCTGGGAGATGGAGGTTGCGATGAGGTAAGATCGTGACCCTACGCTCCAGCCTGGGTGACAGAGTGAGACTATGTCTTAAAAAATAAATTTAAAAAAAAATGGTGTGTGAAGAGGAAGGCTCAGAATTCCTCTCCTAGAGATGCAGAAGAAAGAAGGTATCGTGGAGACTGAAGCGTATTTCTGTGTACTTTAGACATCAATCAACCATCGCAAAAATTTTACAGTTTAGTAGTTTTTGACTTTTTTGGCTACCTCTGGGATACCCAAGAGATAAGATACACTCTCCTATATAGCAGGGCTCATTTGGGATATGATTTTTACTGGGGTCAGGGCAGGGAGGGGATTATTAATAATGATCATTGCCTTCATAATGTCCAATATTTTTTGGATGCTTATTCTATGCCAGGAACAGAGATATGTTACATACACTATCCCATTATAGGATTCATTTACAGATTGGACCCACACTGCCTAGGTTTACATTCTTGCTCCAACTCTTATAAACTTCAGAGGCAAGTGGCTTTTTGTGTGATCTTGGGTGGCAAGTGGTTTTTTGTTTTGTTTTTGTTTTTGTTTTTGTTTGAGACAGGGTCTCGCTCTGTCGCCCAAGCTGGAGTGCAGTGGTGTGGTCACAGCTCACTGCAACCTCCACCTCCCAGGCTCAAACCATCTTCCCCTTCAGCCTCCCAAATAGCTGGGACCACAGGTGCACGCCACCATGCCTAGCTAATTTTCATATTTTTTGTAGAGATGGGAATTTCACTGTGCTGCCCAGGTTGGTCTTGAACTCCTGGGTGCAAGTGATCTGCTGGTTTCTGCCTGCCAAAGTGCTGGGATTACAGGCGTGACTCACCGCACTCAGCTGGGCAAGTTTCTTAACCTCTCTGGGCCTCATGTACATAACAGGCATATTAATGGTACCTGCCATGTAGAATCATTATGAGGGTCAAATGAATTAATGCTTGTAAAGGGTGCAGAGAGGTGCCTGGCATACAGTACTCATTAAGTATCATCTCGCTGATTTCCTTGCAACCACCTAGAAAGGCACTGATATGCCCATTTTCCAGGTGAGAAAAATGAGTCTTGGAGACCTGTGTTAACTCTTGTGGTCGGTCTTTGAACCTAGGTCTGCCTGCTATCACAGCCTTGTTGTAATCACTGCCAAGGAAGGGAGGGGGCACAATGAAGCGATGACATGATGTTTAGGAGACACAGAACTAGGAAGCATCGCAAAAAGCTTCTTTTTCCACTCTCCTCTTCCTTCCTGAATCCGTTCCCCATGTTAAAAACGGAAATATGAAGGTCAGCACAGGTGAACCACTCAGCAAGTAAGAGACTACACCAGAGGTGGAGTTCAGGCCGGGCTGCTTCAGGGTGCAGAGGGAAATCCAAATAGGTACCTTGTTGTGAGCTGCGGGCCAAGTCCTGACTGTGTTTTCTTGAGCAGGGCTTGTTTTCTGTGCTGATGTTGGCCTGGATCTTCCTCCCCATCTACATTGCTGGTCAGGTGAGTCGGGGAGCGTTGGCATGCTGTAGAATTGAAAGATGCTTTGGGAATCTCAGCCCTGCAGTCCCTCCCTCATCCCGCCATCCGTCCATCCTGCCCATGGTCATCCATCAGACTGCCACTCAAAGGCCCCAGTAAAGGGGAGGGATGATCCACGGGTGAGACAATGAGAAACCCGGTCCGTAGCACTTCCTGCCAGTAACCAACATCCAAGGCACACAGAGGGCATTTGGAGGTTGGAAAAACTATGGGCCCCCAAATTTTAAATACCCAAAACACAAATGTAAAGCTCACAATCTCTTTTAAGTGCTTAAATCACAATATGTTTCTGCTATATTTTTTTGAGAGAGGGTCTGGCTCTGTCCCCAGGATGGAATGCAGTGGTGCAATCTTGGCTCACCTAGTCTCACCAGCCTCCCCAGCAGCTAGGACCACAGACACACGCCACCTCACCCAGCTAATTTTTGTATTTTTTTTTTTTCTAGTAGAAAATACAAAAACTCCACCACGTTACCCAGGCTGGTCTTGAACTCCTGGGCTCAAGTGATCTGCACACCTCAGCCTCCCAGTCTGAGTAGCTGGAATTACAGGCATAAGCCACCATGCCCAGCCTATGTTTCTGCTTTCTACTAAAAAATAAAAATAAAAATGAAAGTATATAGCTCATGCCTGTAATCCCAGCACTTTGGGAGGCCAAGGCAGGCTTGAGGCTAGGAGTTCGAGACCAGGCTGGGCAACATAGTGAAAACCTGTCTCTACTAAAAAAATACAAAATTAGCCAGGTATGGTGGTATGCACCCATAATCCCAGCTACTCAGGAGGCTGAGAAGCCATGAGAATTGCTTGAGACCAGGAGGCAGAGGATGCAGTGAGCTGAGATCACGCCACTGCACTCCAGCCTGTATGTGTGTGTGTGTGTGTGTGTGTGTGTGTGTGTGTGTATATATTTAAATCATATATATTTAAATATATATATATTTAAATCATATATATATTTAAAAATCATATATATAATTCAGTGACTTTTTTTTTCTTTCTTTGCACACAAAACTATAATAATTGAGCTATTTCTGTCTGGTACAAAATGTCAACATTTTAGTTACAAAATAATGCTGCTTTTGACTCTTTGAAAGCATTTTTGGTGGGTTTTTTTTTTTAAACAGAGTTTTGCTTTTGCCCAAGCTGGAGTGCAATGGTGAGACCTCAGCTCACTGCAAACCTCTGCCTCCTGGTTTCAAGCAATTCTCCTGCCTCAGCCTCCCAAGTAGCTGGGATTACAGGTGCCCACCACCACGCCCAGCTAATTTTTGTATTTTTAGTAGAGACGGGGGTTTCACCATGTTGGCCAGGCTAGTCTCGAACACCTGACCTTGTGATCCACCTGCCTCAGCCTCCCAAAGTGCTGGAATTACAGGCGTGAGCCACCATGCCTGGCCTGAAAAGCAGTTTTTGAAAAATCATCTATGATCTCACTGGCAGCATTGCATCATTCATACTTTCTTAATTCTGTTCTAGATGTTCTACTGCACGTGGCAAGATCACACAATATCACAGTGTTGTTCATAAAGCAATAACTGATTTTAGCTTTTTATTATGGAAATGTTAAAAAATACACAAAGTAGGCTGGGCATGGTGGCTCATGTATGTAATCCTAGCACTCTGAGAGGCCGAGCTGGGTGGATTGCTTGAGGCCAGGAGTTCGAGACCAGCCTGGGCAACATGGAAAAATCCCATCTATACAAAAAATACAAGAATTAGCTGAGTGTGGTGACACACACCTATAGTCTCAGATACTCAGGAGGCTGAGGCAGGAGGATTAGGATCACTTGAGCCCGGTAGGTTGAGGCTACAGTGAGCCATAATTGTGCCACAGCACTTCAGTCTGGGGGACAGAATGAGGCCTTATCTCAAACACACACACACACCGTGCGTGCGCACGCACGCACAAAGTAAAAAAAGCTTGGGAATCAGAAATCATGTTAAAAATCCTTCAGGCTGGGTGCAGTGGCTCATGCCTGTAATTCCTGCACTTTGGGAGGCCAAGGAGGAAGAATCACTGGAGTCCAGGATTTCAAGACCAGCCTGGGCAACATAGTAAGACCTCATCTCTACTAAAATTTTTTTTTTTTTAAATTAGCTGGGCCTGGTGGTGAGTGCCTGTGGTCACAGCTACTCAGGAGGCTGAAGTGGGAGGAACACTTGAGCCCAGGAGTTGGAAGTTGCAGTGAGCTATGATCACTCCACTGCAGTCCAACCTGAGTGACAGAGAATAGCAATTCTGTGTTAAGGGCAGGGGTATATGGGTAAGTAACCTCCCTTGGAGGTAATCCCAAAAGTCTAAAATGCGAGACCTTTGGTGAGCAGGGGGCCTGGGTCTGCTCCTGACCCCTGTGGCTAGCTCCCATGTAGACAGAGCATCTGAGGTATAACAACACTGGACTGGAAATGAAGATCTCCGGGTCAATGCATCAAGAAAGTTATTGAGCGCCTGCTACGGGAAGGCATATATAATGGTAGAGATGCAGGTAAGTGAATATTTAGGGTTGCCAGACATTCTCACCTGATGGCTTCCATTTTCTCTGGCAAACAGAAGATAATGTCATCAGCTGAGAGTGAGAAAGGAACTTGTGAAGCTTAAGGTTGAGAAGATGCAAAGTTTGTTGTTTTTGTTTTATTTTGTTTGTTTGTTTTGAAATGGAGTCTTGCTTTGTCACTCAGGCTGGAATGCAGTGGCACGATCTCAGCTCACTGCAAGCTCCACCTCCCGGGTTCAAGCAATTCTCTGCCTCAGCCTCCCAAGTAGCTGGGATTACAGGCACCCGCCGCCATGCCCGGCTAATTTTTGTATCTTTAGTAGAGACGGGGTTTCACCATGTTTGTCAGGCTGGTCTCAAACTCCTGACCTCATGATCCACCCACCTCAGCCTCCCAAAGTGCTGGGATTACAGGCGCGAGCCACTGCGCAGGCCAGATGCAGAGATCTGAAATGGCTGCAGTAGTTGTTTGTAATAGAAAAACCTGGGAACAACCACCATGTCCATTAACAGGGAACTGGATGGCCAGGCTATACTACTTCATGCTGTGACAAAGGATGAAGTCCATAGAGGCATGCTAATCTACAAGCTATTGTTAAATAAGAAAATAAAATCTCCCGGATCTACACATCCTTTGGGCAATATCTTACACATACACAAAGGAGAGGTTAAACCCAACCTAGATAATAAATGCCAAAGTGTTGAGAAAAGTTTAAAAGCTACCCAATTTGTTTTTATTAGGACATGAAATAAGCACTCAGAAAAGCAATGAAACACACACACACACACACACACACACACACACCAAACACAAAAATGCAACCTGACAGATTATTGTTAAAGGAACACCCACATCAAGACAGAAAACAATGTCAGCCTGGTGCGGTGGCTCATGCCTGTAATCCCAACACTTTGGGAGCCTGAGGCAGGCAGATCACTTGAGGTCAGGAGTTTGACCAGCCTGGCCAACATGGTGAAACCCTGTCTCCACTAAAAATACAAAAATTAGCCAGGCATGGTGGCGGGCGCCTGTAGTTCCAGCTACTCGGGAGGCTGAAGTGGGAGAATTGATTGAACCCAGGAGGCAGAGTGAAGTAAGCCAATATCACACCACTGCACTCCTGCCTAGGTGACGGAGCAAGACTCCGTCAGAAGGAAAAGAAAAGAAAAGAAGAGAAAGGAAAGGAAACGAAAGGGGAAGAAGGAAAGAAGGGAGAAAGGAAGGGAGGGAGGGAGGGAGGGAGGGAGGAAGGAAGGAAGGAAGGAAGGAAGGAAGGAAGGAAGGAAGGAAGGAAGGAAGGAAGGAAGGAAATATAATGTCTCTTGCAAGCCTTTAGAAAGTCACAATGCTGACCGGGCACAGTGGCTCAGGCCCAGCTCTTTGGAAGGCTGAGGTGGGAGGATTGCTTGAAGCCAGGAGTTTGAGACCAGCCTGGCCAACATAGTGACACCCCCATCTCTACCAAAACAATTAAAATAAAGAATTAGCTGAGACTGGTGGTGTGTACCTTTAGTCCCAGCTAGTCAGGAGGCTGAGGCAAGAGGATGGGAGACTGAAGCAGGAGGATTGATTGCTTGAACCTAGGAGATCAGGGTTACAGTGAGCTATGATCGTACCACTGCACTCCAGCCTGGGTGACACAGCGAGACCCTGTCTCTAAAAAAGAAAAATCACAAGGCCTTCCTCTCTCTTTGGCTTTCCTATTAAGTAGTTATTTCCTTGCTTTTCTTTTTTTTTTTTGAGACGGAGTCTCGCTCTGTCACCCAGGCTGGAGTGCAGTGGCCAGATCTCAGCTCACTGCAAGCTCCGCCTCCCGGGTCCATGCCATTCTCCTGCCTCAGCCTCCAGAGTAGCTGGGACTACAGGCACCCGCCACCTCGCCCGGCTAGTCTTTTTTGTATTTTTCAGTAGAGACGGGGTTTCACCGTGTTAGCCAGGATGGTCTCGATCTCCTGACCTCGTGATCCACCCGTCTCGGCCTCCCAAAGTGCTGGGATTACAGGCTTGAGCCACCGCGCACGGCCCCTCCTTACTTTTCTTTACAGTTTTAATTCTGCATACCTGAACAGTATAGTTGAATTTTACTTTTTTTGGTGAAGGGTGGGTTATAGATAATTGAAAACTGGAGTAATTTTTTTCTTTTATTTTGAGGCAGAGTCTCGCTCTGCTGCCCAGGCTGGAGCGCGGTGGCGTGATCTCAGCTCACCGCAACATCTGCCTCCTGGGTTCAAGCAATTCTGCCTCAACCTCCCAAGTAACTGGGATTACAGGCGGCCACCACCACGCCTGAATAATTTTTGTATTTTTAGTAGAGACGGGGTTTCCCCATGTTGGCCAGGCTGGTCTTGAACTCAGGTGATCCACTCGGCTCAGCCTCCCAAAGTGTTGGGATTACAGGTGTGAGCCACTGCACCCAGCTTGGAGTAATATTCTTTTGTTACATGTAGCTGGTGTCTTAATTTTCATTGCTATGCGGTATCGTGTAGTATGACTCACATCCCAATATGTTTGTCTATTCTGTTGTTCATGGGCATTCAAGTTGCTCCCAGTATTGGTCTATGACAGACAACACTGCTGTGAGCATTTTTATAAATGTGTTCTTCTGCACATAAACATGTACTGATGAGAAAATCTACCTATGAGTGGAATTTCTAGGTCCTTGGATATGTTCATCTTTGGCTTTACAATATATTGACAAACATTTTCCTGGAGTAGTTCTATCCATTCATATTCCCACCAACAGCATATGAAAATTCCCTTTCCTGAAATTCACTGTATCCTTGGTGACATTTTATATTCTCCAACTTAAAGATTCTTGTGAATTTGGTGCATGTGTAGTGATATCTCACTGCTTTTTAAAATTTTTGAGACAGAGTCTCGCTCTGTCGCCCAGGCTGGAGTACAGTGGCATGCCCTCAGCCCATTGCAACCTCTGCCTACCTGGATTCAAGTGATTCTTGATTCTCCTGCCTCGCCCCGTCCACTGCCACACACACACTGCCCCAGTAGGTGGGACTACAGCCACCAAGCCCAGCTAATTTTTGTATTTTTAGTAGAGACGGGGTTTTGCCAAGTTGGCCAGGCTGGTCTCGAACTCCTGACCACAGATGATCCTCCCACCTCGCCTCCCAAAGTGCTGGGATTACAGGCATGAGCCACCACACCCGGCCATCTTACTGTTTTTAATTGGCAACTCTTTTTATACATTTTCCGGCCATTTGGATTTCCTCTTTGAGGAAGTAACTTGTCTAGGACTTTTGCCCATTTTTCTACTAGGTTATATGTCTTTAAAAAAATAATAGAGATGGGGTCTTACTGTAGCAATAGAGATGTTGCCCAGGCCGGTGTTGAACTCCTGGGCTCGAGTGATCCTCCCACCTTGGCCTCCTAAAGTGCTGGATTACAGGTGTGAGCCATCGTGCACAGCCTCACAATTAAATCTATTATCCACCTAGACTTTATTTTTGTCTAACATATGTATATTTTTTGAGGCAGGGGCTCCCTGTCACTTAGGCTAGAGTGCAATGGCATGATCACGGCTCACTGCACCCTCGACCTCCTGGGCTCAGGCTCAAGCGATCCTTCCACCTCAGCCACCTGAGTAGCTGGGACTACAGGCACCTGCCACCACACATGACTAAATTTATATTTTTTGTAGAAATGAGGTTTCACCGTGTTGCCCAGGCTGGTCTCAAACTCCTGCACTCAAGCGATCCTCTTGCTTCAGTTTCCCAAAGTGATGGGAACCAGCTGCGCTGGGCCCCTCTCCTCCCTTCTTAAGTATCAAATTGAGAATCTCAGGAAGACCATCTGTGCTCTGAGTTGCAGGAGCAGGAGCAGATGGGAAGGGCTGGTGTGGGGGAGGTCACGTGCTGGTGGTGAAGTCAGCTGGTGGTGAAATCTCAGCTCTGGCCCTCAGGTCACCACGATGCCGGAATACCTACGGAAGCGCTTCGGTGGTGTCAGAATTCCCGTCATCCTGGCTGTACTCTACCTATTTATCTACATCTTCACCAAGATCTCGGTAAGGTGGGGACAGAGCCTGGCCACACCCATGCAGCATGGGGAGAAGATAAGGCACAGATCTCTGCTCGGGAGTGTCTCCTCCCTATCCCCTTTCTCCTCCTCTTTTGTAGGCTGCAGGGAGGTTAGAGGAAGATGGGATGTGGGGAGGTAAGCGTGGACAGAGGAAAGTGGGAGAAAACGGTCGGGTGCAGTGGCTCACGCCTGTCATCTCAGCACTTTGGGAGGCTGAGGCGGGTGTATCACTTAAGGTCAGGAGTTTGAGGCCAGTCTGGCCAACATGGCGAGACCCCATCTCTACCAAAAAATATGAAAATTAGCCGGGCGTGGTGGCTCATGCCTGTAGTCCCAGCTATTCGGGAGGCTGAGGCAGGAGAATTGCTTGAGCCGGGGAGGCAGAGGTTGCAGTGAGCCGAGATCACACCACTGCACTCCAGCCTGGGTGAAAGAGCGAGACTCTGTGTCAAAAAAAAAAAAAAAAAAAAAAAAAAGAAGAAGAAGAAGAAGAAGAAATTCGGAGAAAAGGTAGAGGAAAGGAGAGGACTTTCTCTCCTACTCCTGCCAAAACTTTTTTGTCAACATCTCAGGATGGTGTGGGTTGATCAGTGGGACTCCAAGAACCCTGTCAACCCTTGAATAGGACTGTTCTCTTCCTCCTGGAATTAGATAGTGATCAACTGTTTATCAGATGTGCTGATGGCTGATTGTGCCTGCCGCACCCTGACCTTTGGATAGGCAGATCTCCTAGGAAGTGGCAAAGAACAGGTGTATTGCAACCTCCAGACACGTGCCCCTCAGCAGAAGCTGTCTTCGCTTCCAGCCAGGGAGGAGGGAGGAGCTTGTCCTATGGGAAGTGGTGAGGGGGGAGCAGAAGAGGTTCCATTCAATCCAAATAACAATAAGTGAATTTACGCCAGCTCCAGACTGCAGGACAGACACACAGGCTCCTTACTAGAATGTTCACTTGCAGTCTGGTGGGAAGCTACAGATGTGGGAAGCCTTCTAGGGGAAGTGACATTCCAGGAGGAACTTACAGTTAGAGAAAGGGGACTGGCCCTCCAGACGGATGCACCAGCACAAGCGAAATCTAGGAGGCCCAGGCACACATGACTTATTGAGAAACAGAGGGTATTTCAGAGTCTGTGGAGGTCTGGGAGTATGAAGTGGGTATTTAGCCTCATTTATTTAGCCTTTATCCTGGGGGCAATGGGGGAGTTACTTAAGAGTTTGAGTGGGGAGGAGAAGGATGAAGTGATCATGATGGTATTTAATGAAGGTTGCCGTGTGGAAGATGGAGTGGGAGAGGACCAAAAGCAGAAGCAGAAAGACGACTGAGGAGGCTGCTGTATCAGCCCAGGGCCTGCAGGGCTCCAGTTTAAGACCCCTGATCTGGGATGCAATGGATGAAGAAGGGATGATGTGTGACTCTTCTGTGTTTGTCAGCATCTGGGCTAGGCCCTGATCCCAGGGAACCTGGGCTGCAAATGTCCATTCATTCATTCGTTCATTTGTTCATTAATTCATTTGTTCATCCATCAACCTCCTTTCTCCACAGGTAGACATGTATGCAGGTGCCATCTTCATCCAGCAGTCTTTGCACCTGGATCTGTACCTGGCCATAGTTGGGCTGCTGGCCATCACTGCTGTATACACGGTTGCTGGTAAGACTGAACAAAGGCTAACACCTGGCAGAGGTGGTGGGCAGGGGCTGTGGGCCACTCTACCTTTTCCTTGCCCATCTTCTGATATTCCATTGTGCTAAGACCCATTTATTCATTAAACGTCACTCCTTTACCTTAGATAAAAAGATTTCTCCTGACCATTATCCAAAGGAAGGGGGTTACCTGATAAGATAAAGCATTTTAGGTCAGGCAAGGTGGCTCATGCCTGTAATCCCAGCACTTTGGGAAGTCGAGGCAGGTGGATCACTTGAGGTCAGGAATTCCAGACCAGCCTGGCCAACATGACAAAACCCCATCTCTACTAAAAATACAAAAATTAGGCCAGGCACGGTGGCTCACGCCTGTAATCCCGGCACTTTGGGAGGCGAGGCGGGTGAATCACGAGGTCAGGAGTTCAAGACCAGCCTGACCTACATGGCAAAACCCCCTCTCTACTAAAACTACAAAAAATTAGCCAGGCGTGATGGCCTGTGCCTGTAATCCCAGCTACTCAGGAGGCCAAGGCAGGATAATTGCTTGAACCTGGGAGGCGGAGGTTGCAGTGAGCCGAGATCGCACCACTGCACTCCAGCTTGGGTGACAGAGCGAAACACCGGCTCAAAGAAAAAAAAAAAATTAGCCAGGTGTGCTGGCAGACTCCTGTAATCCCAGCTACTTGGGAGGCTGAGGCAGGAGAATTGCTTGAACCCGGGGGGCGGAGGTTGCAGTGAGCCAAGATCGTGCCATTGCCCTCCAGCCTGGGTGACAGAGCGAGACTCCATCTCAGAATAAAAAAAGATAAAGCATTTTTAAAATGCACCACAATGGCATAATGTTTTTTCCCATTCATGTACCCCAGAACTGTTTCTTGAGCACCTACTAACTGCTGAGCCATGTGCATTCACAGGCACAATACAGGCTGGATAATAAACTACTGCAATCCTGGAGCCTGAGGGCAGGTAAACTCATCTCTCCCCCTCATACCTGTGTCCTAGAAGAGTGCCTGGCACGCAGTAGGGCCTTGAGAAGCACTTGCTTTTAAATATTCATTATCTCATCTTCCACTCTATTTTCACCCTTCTCTGCCTCCTCTTGGCGTAATTTAACTCATTCCATATGTATGTGTGTGTCTGTTTGTGTCTGTGTGTGCCTGTGTGTGCACAGACAAAACATACTGTATCTATATATTATGCTGGTATTTGGTATCTATATTATGTATATAGTATTATACATAATGGTATCTATATATTATGGTATCTCTATATTATGGTATCTATATATTACGGTATATAATACTGTATCTATATATTATGTACCTTGTATCTATATATTATGTATTTACGTATACAGGTATGTGTATATGGATATACATTTCCTACTGTGTGCCAGGGAGTGAGGCACAGGTGTAAACAAGACAAATCTCTCTACTCTGGAGGAACTTATTAAGTGAGGATGGGAGACAATGAACAGGGAAATCAATAAATAATGTCAGGCCAGGTGTGGTGGCTCACATCTGTAATCCCAACACTTTGGGAGGCCGAGGTGGGTGGATCACCTGAGGTCAGGAGTTCTAGACCAGCCTAGTCAACATGGCGAAATCCCGTTTCTACTAAAATTACCAAAAAATCAGCTGGGCATGATGGCACACGACTGTAATCCCAGCTACTCAGGAGGCTGAGGCAGGAGAATCACTTGAAGTTAGGAGGCGGAGGTTGCAGTGAGCCAAGATCGCACCACTGCACTCCAGCCTGGGCAACAGAGTGGAACTCTGTCTCAAAAATAAATAATTAAATATATCAGTGTATATTATTATAACCTGATAAGTGCTATAAGGAAAAATTAATTAGGGTGAAGAGATGGAGGAAAGGTTCTTTTTTTGTTGTTGTTGTTCTTTTTTTTTAACATAGAATATTCAGGTAAGGCCTTTCTAAGGTGATATCTCAACCAACTTTTTTTCACCTTTGACTTTTATTTTAGATTCAGGAGGTAAATGCAGGTTTGTTAATGGGTACATTACATGATGCTGAGGTCTGGGGTACAAATGGATCCATTAGCCCAGGTAGTGAGCAGAGTACCCAGTAGGTAGTTTTTCAACCAGTGTCCTCCTCCCTCTCTCCCCCCTCTAGTAGTTCCCAGTTCCCTTATTCAAGTCCATGAGTATCCAATGTTTATTCAGTTTCCATTTATAAGTGAGAACAGGTGTGGTGGGCCAGGCGTGGTGGCTCACTCCTGTAATCCCAGCACTTTGGGAGGCCAAGGTGGGAAGATCACCTGAGGTCAGGAGCTCCAGACCATCCTGGCCAACATGGTGAAACCCCTTCTCTACTAAAAATACAAAAATTAGCTGAGTGTGGTAGCGGGCACCTGTAATCCCAGCTATGCGGAAGGCTGAGGCAGGAGAATCGCTTGAACCGAGGAGGCAGAGGTTGCAAGGTTGCAGTGAGCATAGATTGCACCACTGCATTCCAGCCTGGGCAACAGAGCAAGACCCCGTCTCAGAGAAAAAGAAAATAAACGAATAAGTGAGAACATGCGGTATTTGGTTTTCTGGTCCTGCATTAATTCACTTAGGATAAGGGCCTCCAGCTGCATTCAGGTTGGGCTGCAAAGGTTATGATTTTGTCCTTTTTTTGTTTTGTTTTTTTGTTTTTGTTTTTTTTTTGAGACGGAGTCTCGCTCTGCAGCCCAGGCTGGAGTGCAGTGGCCAGATCTCAGCTCACTGCAAGCTCCGCCTCCTGGGTTTATGCCATTCTCCTGCCTCAGCCTCTCGAGTAGCTGGGACTACAGGCGCCTGCCACCTCACCTGGCTAGTTTTTTGTATTTCTTAGTAGAGACGGGGTTTCACTGGGTTAGCCAGGATGGTCTTGATCTCCTGACCTCGCGATCCGCCCGTCTCGGCCTCCCAAAGTACTGGGATTACAGGCTTGAGCCACCACGCCCGGCCTGATTTTGTCCTTTTTAATGGCTGTGTAGTCTTTCATGGTGTATCTGTACCATATTTTCTTTATCCAGTCCACTGTGAATGGGCACCCGTGTCAATTCCATGTATTTGCTGTTATGCATAGTGTCGTGATGGACATATGAGGGATGTGTCTTTTTGGTAGGATGACTTCTTTTCCTTTGGGTACATACTCAGTAGTGGGGTTGCTGGTCAAATTCTCAGTTCGATTCTCAGTTCTCTCTCCACAGTGGCTGAACTAATTTATACTTTGTATTAGTCAATTCTCACACTGCTATAAAGAACTACCTGAGACTGGATAATTTATGAAAAAAAAAAAGAGGTTTAATTGACTCACACTTCCACAGGCTTAACGGGAAGCATGGCTCGGAGGCCTCAGGAAACTTACAGACATGGTGGAAGGCAAAGGGGAAGTAAGCACGTCCTACCATGATGGAGCTGGAGAGAAAGAGTGAAGGGGGAGGTGCCACACACTTTTTTTTTTGGCGGGGGGGATGGAGACTTACTCTTTTGCGGCTGGACTGCAATGGTGCGATCTCAGCTCACCGCAACCTCCGCCTCCTGGGTTCAAGCAATTCTCCTCCTCAGCCTCCCAAGTAGCTGGGATCACAGGCACCTGCCACCATGCCCAGCTAATTCTGTGTTTTTAGTAGAGATGGAATTCCTCCATGTTGGTCAGGCTGGTCTCGAACTCCCAAGCTCAGGTGGTCTGCCCGCCTTGGCTTCCCAAAGTGCTGGGATTACAGACGTGAGCCACCGTGCCTGGCCTAGTGCTACACACTTGGAAACAACCAGCTCTCATGAGAACTCTATCACCAGACAGCACTGGGGGATGGTGCTGAACCATTAAAATCACCCCCATGATCCGATCACCTCCCACCAGGACCCTCCCCTAACATGTGGGGATTACAATTCAACATGAGATTTGGGTGGGGACACAGAGCCAAACCATATCACACTCCCACCGACAGTGCATCAGCAGCATTCCCTTGTCTCCACAACCTCGCCAACATCTGTTATGTTTTGACTTCTTAACTGGTTTTAACTGTTTAAAGCTGTTCTGGTCAGGCGTGGTGGCTCACACCTATAATCCCAGCACTTTGGGAGGCCAAGGCAGGAGGATCACCTGAGCTCAGGAGTTCGAGACCAGCCTGGCCAACATGGTGAAACCCCATCTCTACTAAAAATACAAAAAAATTAGCCGGGCGTGGTGGTGGACACCTGTAATCCCAGCTACCGGGGAGGCTGAGGGAGGACAATTGCTTGGACCCTTGAGGCAGAGGCTGCAGTGAGCTGAGATCGTGCCACTGCACTCCAGCCTGAGCGACAGAGTGAGACTCTATCTCAGAAAAAAAAGAAAATTAAAAAAAAAAAAGAAAAAGAAAAAGAAAAAAACTGTTCTGGCTGGTGTGAGATGATATCTCATTGTGGTAGTGATTTTTTTTTTCTTTTTTTGAGACAGCGTCTCTCTCTGTCACCAAGGCTGGAGTGCAGTGGTGCAATCTTGGCTCACGGCAACCTCCATCTCCCAGGTTCAAGTGATTCTCCTGCCTCAGCCTCCCGAGTAGCTGAGACTACAGGTGCCAGTCACCATGCCCGGCTAATGTTTGTATTTTTTGGTAGAGAAAGGGTTTCACTGTATTGGCCAGGCTGGTCTTGAACTCCTGGCCTCAAGTGATCTGCCTGCATCAGTCTCCCAAAATGATGGAATTACAGATGTGAACCACTGCGCCTGGCCTGTAATCTGCATTTTTTTGATGATTAGTGATGATGAACATTTTTCCATATCTCAGCCAAGTTTAAATAACACCCACCAGCAATGCAGAGGAGGAGAATTCCAGACTGAGGGAAGGGCTGCAGTAAAGACTCTGAGATGAGAGCCTGCCTGAGCAAATGGTTATGCAGGCTGTGTCCTATTCCGCTCCAGGTGGTGCCATTCACACCAACCAGAGCACTGTGCTAAGCAGCAACCCTGGTGGTGAGAGTGGGATTGGAGAAAAGGGCAGGGACCAGAGCTTTGAAGGAAACAAAATAAGCCTAGCATTTGTTCTAAGTGCCATGGAATACCATTGGATGCTCTAAACAGAAAATTGACAAAATCTAACATATGCAAAGTCCCCTGATACAGAAAGACCTTGGCTGAGTTCTCAGAACTAGCAGAAGCAATGTGCCTGGGGCAGGGGGAAAGGGGAGGGCAGGCTGCCACAGCGGATGAATGTTAGTGTTCCTTGTTTGGAGGTCTGTGTTCCCCATTAGACTGTAGGCTCTCTGAGGGCAGGGAACATGCCATTTTGTTGGCCTCTGCATCCCTACCATATAGAACTTGGTGGGGAGCTCACCGGCTATTTGGTGAAAGACTGAACAAAATGCTCCCCACAGTGCCTGGCATAAGAGAGACCCTCATCACTGTTAATACAGAAAGGATGGTGGATTAAGTGGTACCCAACACCAGGACCTCACCACACTCAGGCTGACTCACTGCATGAGTGAATGGCAGGGAACTGGGGCCACAATCAAAGCCAGGTCTCCTCCCCTTGGTGAGAGAGCCCTATTCTTGCTGGCAAGGAAGGAGGGATCCCGGAGAGCACCACACCCACGGGCGCAGGGTTTTAAAATTGTGCAGTGACTGTGCCCTCTAGTAGACATGTTTCTACGCATAAGTGTCCCTTCTCCTCATGAAGGAAGAAGAACAGAGGTTTAAGGAAGAGACTGGAAAGATTGCTCTGTCCAGATGCGGATGGATTTGCTACCAGTATCATCATTAGGAAGATTTTTTTTTTTTTTTTTTAGATGAAGTCTTGCTCTGTCGCCCAGGCTGGAGTGCAGTGGCGGGATCTCGGCTCACTGCAACCTCCGCCTCCCGGGTTCATGTGATTCTCCTGTCTCAGCCTCCCGAGTAGCTGGGACTACAGGCATGCCCCACCACGCCTGGCTAATTTTTGTATTTTTAGTAGTGACAGAGTTTCACCATGTTGGTTGATCTCAAACCCCTGACCTCAGGTGATCCGGCTGCCTCAGCCTTCCAAAGTGCTGGGATTACAGGCGTGAGCCACTGCGCCCAGCCCATTTAGAAGATTTTTGAAGGTGGCAAACTCAATAAGAATCCTCTGAGGCACCACCATGATTCTCTTCAGGAAGTCTAGGGGGCCTCTGAATCCCTAACACTCACATCCTTTATCCAACCTTAAAAATAAAGATATTGACTGGGTGTAGTTGCTTACACCTGTAATCCCAGCACCTTGGGAGGCCGAGGCAGGAGGACTGCTTGAGTCAGGAGTTTGAGCCCACCCTGGGCAACATAGCAAGACTCCATCTCTAGAAAAAATTTAAAAATTAGCTGGGCGTGGTGGCTCACGCCTATAGTCCCAGCTACTTGGGGGACTGAGACGGGAGAATCACCTGGGCCCAGTAGGTCTAGGTTGCAGCGAGTTATGATCACGACACTGTACTCCAGCATGGGTTGACAGAGTGAGACCCTGGCTCTGAAAAATAAATAAACAAATAAATAATAAATAAATAAAGGTATTCAGAGCTTGGGGACTGTGGCCCAAGCACCACTTCCTATATCAGTTGAAAATTGCTAGCCAGGTGTGGTCGTTCACGCCTGTAATCCCAGCACTTTGGGAGGCCGAGGTGGGTGGATTAGGAGGTCAGGAGATGGAGACCATCCTGGCTAACACAGTGAAACCCCATCTCTACTAAAAATACAAAACCATTAGCCGGGCACGGTGGCAGGCGCCTGTAGTCCCAGCTACCAGGGAGGCTGAGGCAGGAGAATGGCGTGAACCCGGGACGCAGAGCTTGCAGTGAGCCAACATCACGCCACTGCACTCCAGCCTGGGCGACAGAGCCAGACTCCGTCTCAAAAAAAAAAAAAAAAAAAAAAAAAAAAAATTTTGCTGTGTTAAAAAAAACACCCTCAAATTGAGGGGCTTGAAAAACCAATGGTTTATTATTCCCCAGAAGTCCGTGGGTTCCCTGGGTGGATGTGTGCTGGTCTCACCTGGCTTTGTGAACTATAGTTCGGTGGCAGGTGGAGCAGCTGGCTGGAAGAGGATGGCCTCACTCATATGGCTGGTGTTAGCTTGGGCTGTTGACTGGGCTTCCCCTCCATGGGGGCCCTCTTCCTCCATTAGGTTAGGCTGGGCTTCTTAAAGCAAATGGTCTCAGGGCAACAGGAGAGTAAGTGCAGAAGCTGCAGGGACCCCCGAGGTCCATACCACTTCCCCCACATTCTATTGGTCAAAGCAAGTCACATGGCCAAGCCCGTGTGAGAAGTAGAGACATCAACTTCACTTCATCATGAAAGGAGCAGCAAAGTCACATTGCAAAATGGGCGTGCACACAGGGAGGCGTGATCGTGGCCATCTTTGCAATCAATCATCACTAAGAAATCTCCCATCAGGTCCTGGTCTTCCAGGTTCCCTTGGGAACCCAGAGTAATCCCTTTTCATCAGACTCCCTGTGTTCATCCCACCAGGTGGCCTGGCTGCTGTGATCTACACGGATGCGCTGCAGACACTGATCATGCTTATAGGAGCGCTCACCTTGATGGGCTACAGTAAGTGGGGTCCCCGGGTCACTTGGGTGGAGGACAGCCCCTCTCTCCAGCAGGGATATCTGCTCTCAACACAGTGAATGGCAAACCCAGCTGTCAAAGAGCATACTGCTGGGGAATTTTTGTCAGAGGTGCTTGGCTTGAGGCACGGTTATTTTAGCTAGAAGAGAACTGTGCTTATTGTGGAAACTTACTGTTTTTGTTTTCATTTTTTTGTTTTGAGACAGGGTCTTGCTCTGTCAGTCAGGCTGGAGTGCAGTGGTGCGATCATAGCTCGCTGCAGCCTTGAGCTCCTGGGCTCAAGTGACTCTCCCACCTCAGCCTCCTGAGTAGCTGGGACTACAGGTATAGGCCATTATGTCCAGCTAATTGTTTTTTCCTGTTTTTTTGTAGAGATAGAGTCTCACTATGTTGCCCAGGCTGATCTCAAACTCTTGATCTCAGGTGATCCTCCTGCCTCAGCCTCCCAAAGCCGCCCCACCTGGCACTGTTTTTTTTTTAAGTAAAAGTTAATATCTTTCTATACTAATATGGAAAAATAACTGAGTGAATAAAGAAAAGAATGTGAAGAGACAGCTTTTCCTTACAGAGGTTTTTGTTGTTATTTGTTTGTTTGTTTTGAGATAGGATCTCACTCCGCCACCTAGGCTGAAGTGCAGTGACACAATCTTGGCTCACTGCAACTGCTGCCTCCTGGGCTCAAGAGATCCTCCCACCTCAGCCTCCCAAGTAGCTGGGCCCACAGGTGTGCACCACCACTCCCAGCTAATTTTTTTTCATTTTTTTTTAATAGATGGGGTTTCACCATGTTGCCCAGGTTGGTTTCAAACTCCTGAGCTCAAGCAATCCACCTGCCTTGGCCTCCCAAAGTGCTGAAATTACAGGCATGAGCCACCGCATGCAGCCTACAGAAGCTTTAAACTCTAGCACTAGCCCACACCTAGACTTTAGCAATTCGTTTCAAAATATTTGCCCAATTCTTCGTACCAGCTTGTATGGTGATCCTGTCTTTGTTTTGCTGCCAATGGCCATGTCTCTTTGGAGGCTCCTGTGTTTTCTGAGATCTCAGGCCAGTTGGTTGCTCTATGGCCTCACCTCTCTGATAGGTTCAAGGGAAGTTATAATTTTGTAGATTAGCCAACTTCTTATTATTGTTAAGGGGGGAACACTACTCTTCACAGGTTTCTATCTTTTAGAGGTAAGCCACTCATTAAGCCTTAAAGACTACAACAAAAGCCGAGTGTGGTGGTTCACACCTGTAATCCCAGCACTTTGGGAGGCCAAAGCAAGAAGATCACTTGAGCTCAGGAGTTTGAGACCAGCCTGAGCAACCTAGTGAGACTGTGTCTCTACAAAAAATAAACATAAACTTAGCCGGGTGTGGGGGCATGTGCCTGTAGTCCCAGCTACTTGACAGGCTGAGGTGGGAGGATGGCTTGAGCCTGGAAGGTTGAGGCTGCAGTGAGCCGAGATTGTGTCACTACACTCCAGCCTGGCCAACATAGCGAGACCCTGTCTCAAAAGAAAAAAAAAAAAGGCTATGAAAACTAATATAGAAAACACAGAAAAGTAAAAGGGATCATAATCCTGAAAGATGGCAGAATATAGTGCTGAAAATTATATATTTTAGGACTCAGAAGAAAATATTAGAAGAGCGCCATGCTTGGAATCCTGAACTCTATGAAACATGTATGAAAGATAGAAGTAGAGGACAAACTGAGATGAAGGGAGAATAGAAGCGGATAAAAAGGAAAAAGATTAGAGAAGATTACAACACATTTTCTAAAATTTTCTTTAAAAATTAGCAGAATTAAACTCCCCACAGGAGGATGTAAAGAGCAGAACAAACGCTAAAGAAAATCAAACCCAGGATGAAAACAAATAGGAGTTTTGTGTTTTTTTTAGACGGAGTCTTGCTCTGTCACCAGGCTGGAGTGCAGTGGCATGATCTTGGCTCACTGCAACCTCCACCTCCCAGGTTCAAGCGATTCTCCTGCCTCAGCTTCCTGAGTAGCTGGGACTACAGACATGTGCCACCACGCCCAGCTAACGGGGTTTCACCATGTTCGCAGGGATGGTCTCGATCTCTTGACCTCGTCATCTGCTGGCCTCAGCCTCCCAAAGTGCTGGGATTACAGGCGTGAGCCACCGCGCCCGGCTGAAAATAAGTAGGAGTTCTAATAAAATGCAGAGAAAAGGGATAAATAATAAAATTATAAAAGAAAAGATGACAAATATGAAAGACAGAGAGGAGAGATATACCATTTGAGAAATGTTTATTCTTTTTCTTTTTTCTGTTTTTTTTTTTCTGAGAAATGTTTATTCTTAGAAAAAAGATCAGAAAAAAATGGAACAAAGTAAATAATTAAATTAATCACAAAGGAAAACCTTTCTTACAAGGAGGATGATATATCTAGCTAGGTGTAAAGGGTTTGCTGTGTCTTAGGCAAAATCAATGAATGAGATCTCCAGGTAGAAGCATTATGAACAAAATGTGAAGTATAGAATAATTTTTAAATACTAAAGAATACAGAGAGGTGGGAAGATCATTTGAGGCCAGTAGTTTGAGACCAGCCTGGACAACAAAGCAAGACCCCACTCTATGAAAAATGGAAAATTAGCTGGGTATGGTGTGCACATCTATGGTCTCAGCTGGGGACCGGAGGATCAGGGAGCTTGAGGAGGTTGAGGCGGGAGGATCGCTTGAGCCCAGGCGCTCGAGGCTGCAGTGAACTATGACTGCACCACTGCACTCCAGCCTGGGTGACAGAGTGAGACTCTGCATAAGAAAAAAAGAACCCAGACAGTAAAAATGTAGTGAGCTAAAAATAATAAAACAAACTGGTCTCATTCCCCTCCTTCAAAACAATAAAATGCCAAAAGACAGTGGAACAAAGGCCACAGATGTGTTTTATGGGAAAAGTAGTATCCTAAGTAAGGATCGGATACCTAGCCAAGTGCCCTGTTTACCAGGGCTGCAGAAATATTCTGAACTATGCAAGGACTTAGTAAAAGGAGGACCTATGTGCCTGTCTTGAAGATACACGAGAGAAACAAACAAAATCGAGAGTTGGTATTATGACTCAAGAGAAAATGGTAGTAAATAATGATCCAGTTAAAATTATTATAGATCTGAAAAATTATCTGGTCAAGGCAAATGTTACATAAAGAGTATAACAATTTAATAAAAATTGGATGTAAAACCCTGTTTTAGTAACAAAAACTTTAAAATGTTGGGAGAGATAGTATGCTACATTTCCCATCAAACAGGAAGAAAAACATCTTGAAGAAGAAATACTGAACTCCAAGCAGACACTCATATAAATCTAACCCTTTATTTATATAGGAAATATGTGTGTATAAGTTTTTTTTTTCTTAAAAGAGAATAAGAAATCACAACCAAACGGAAAGAATAAAAGAGAATGCAAAGTAATAGTAAAAATATCAGTTATCACAATACAAGTAAATGGAATAAAATTCCCTGTTGAAAGACAAGGCTTCTTACAAGCAGTTATCAATCTATGTGGCTGTTTGTTCTGTTTTCCTTTTACTTAGCTATATATTATTTATTTTCTCAACAAAACTCAAGATTTATAGTTTGAGTTAAGAAAATGTAACTTGATACAATTTGCAAGTGGCACATATAAAACAAAGTATAACATAAGGCAAAAAGCAATAAATGGGGATAAGTAATTTTATATTGAAAATGTAAAATTCATAATAAAGATATAACCTTTGTTTATTAAATAACATTGCAACAAGATACACAAAGTAGAAGTTGTTATAAGTTAACAGAAACCAAAACAGTACTAAAATACCTTAACAGAACAAGAACATAATGAGGATTTAGAAGATATAAATTCTACAAATGAATAAGCATTCTCCTAACCATGAATGTGTATTTTTCCAGCATTCATAGAATCACCCGCAAAAATTAATCATTGAAAAATTTTTTTACAAAACTGTGTATAAAAACATTGTTCAGATTATCTTACTCATATAAACCAAAAAATTTAAACTCATTAGGGGAAGTGTAAATTTTTTAAAAATCTAGTTATTTAGAAATTTAAAAGCCATCTCCTAAATAGTGCCTGGGTCACAGAGAAAATAAAAGCTGCAATTACAGACTATGCAGAAAAAATGAGAACATTACATTTCATTCTTAATAGATAAAGTAAAAGCTGTGCCTCTGTAAAAACATTTATATTCATAAATATGAAAGCCCAATTTAGTGATTTAGAAAAAAGAGTTACTCCAATTACTCTAATATCTATTTCTTTTTCTTTCCTTTTTTTTTTTTTTTTTTGAGATGGACTCTCGCTCCGTCGCCAGGCTGGAGTGCAATGGCGCGATCTTGGCTCACTGTAACGTCCGCCTCCCAGGTTCAAGCGATTCTCCTGCCTCAGCCTCCCGAGTAGCGGGGATTACAGGCGCACACCACCACATCCAGCTTATTTTTGTATTTTTAGTAGAGACAAGGTTTCACCATGTTGGCCAGGCTGGTCTCAAACCCCTGACCTCAGGCGATATGCCCACGTTGGCCTCCCAAAGTGCTGGGATTACAGGCATGAGCCACTGCACCTGGCCTTTTTTTTTTTTTTTTTTTTTTTTTTAAGACAGAGTCTGGCTCTGTTACCCTGGCTGGCATGCAATGGTATGATCTCGGCTTACTGCAACCTCCGCCTCCCGGGTTCAAATGATTCTCCTGCCTCAGCCTCCCAAGTAACTAGGACTACAGGCATGCACCACCATGTCTGGTTGATTTTTGTATTTTTAGTAGAGACAGGGTTTCCCAATGAGGGCCAGGCTGGTCTTGAATTCCTGACCTCAGGTGATCCACCCGCCTCAGCCTCCCAAAGTGCTGGGATTACAGGCGTGAACCACCTCGCCTAGCCCAATATCTATTTCTTTGAAAAGAACCATAAAATGCAGTTGCAAATCAAACCAAGAAAAAGAGAGAAAACAGCGTAATTTGGAATGAGAAAAGAAACAAAATACAGGTCATGTGCAGTGGCTCACGCCTGTAATCCCAGCACTTTGGGAGGCTGAGGCAGGAGAATTGCTTGAGCCTAGGAGTTTGAGACCAGCCTGGGAAACACAGTGAGAGCCATCTCTACGAAAAACTTTAAACTCGCTAGATGTGGTGGTACATGCCTGTAGTCTTAACTACTCTGGAGGCTGAGGCAGGAGCACCGCTTGAGCTCAGGAGTTCGAGGTTACCGTGAGCTATGATTGTACCACTACGCTCCAGCCTGGGTGACAGAGTGAGAACCTGTCTCTAAGAACAAACAAAATAACAAAACCTGAAACCATCATTGGACCTCCTGAGAGGTCTTACCTTATTTTTTTATTTTTATTTTATTTTTTATTTTTTTGTGACAGATTCTCGCTCTGTTGCCCAGGCTGGAATGCAGTGGCACAATCTCGCCTCACTGCAACCGCCACCTCCCAGAGTGATTCTCCTGCCTCAGCCTCCTGAGTAGCTGAGATTACAGGTGCCCACCACCATGCCTGGCTAATTTTTGTATTTTTAATAGAGATGGGATTTCACCATGTGGGCCAGGTTGGTCTCGAACTCCTGACCTCAGGCGATTCACCCCCCCTCAGCCTCCCAAAGTGCTGGTATTACAGGTGTGAGCCACTGTGCCTGGCCAGTCTTACAATTTAATGAAGCAAATAAATAAATTACTGTGTCACATTTTTAATATTTTGATGGTTCAATATATTTGATTTCTTTGCAATCCTATGTATTTTTGCATTATTTAGAAGTATTATTCTGAGAAGCAATTGTAGGAGGGAAGGGAAGACTGGAAATCTCACTGGGAAATCAACCAACAAGAGGCAGATCAATAGGAGAAATGGCATACAAATTTATTAGCACGCACAAGGGAGAATTACGGAGTGATTTCTCAATATCCTAATGTCATATAGATGTTTCTATACTGTACTTCTTTTTTTTTTTTTTTTTTTTGTGACCGAGTCTCACTCTGTCACCCAGGCTGGAGTGCAGTGGCCGGATCTCAGCTCACTGCAAGCTCGGCCTCCCGGGTTTACGCCATTCTCCTGCCTCAGCCTCCCGAGTAGCTGGGACTACGGGCGCCTGCCACCTCGCCCGGCTAGTTTTTTGTAATTTTTAGTAGAGACAGGGTTTCGCCGTGTTAGCCAGGATGGTCTCGATCTCCTGACCTCGTGATCTGCCCGTCTAGGCCTCCCAAAGTGCTGGGATTACAGGCTTGAGCCACCGCGCCCGGCCTATATCGTACTTCTTAAGGAAAAAGGAGACGGACAAGTGTCGATGATTTCAGGGAAGTAGTAAATTATTTTTAGGGGAATTCGATGGGCTTAAAGAACATACAATGGCCTGGGACAATGGCCAGGAGTATCACTTGAGGTCAGGAGTTCGAGACCAGCCTGGACAACATGGTGAAACCCCGTCTCTACTAAAATACAAAAATTAGCCAGGCATGGTGGCACACACCTGTAATCCCAGCTACTCAGGAGGCTGGGGCAGGAAAATCAATTGAACCTGGGAGGCGGAGGTGGCAGTTAGCCAAGATTGCGCCACTACACTCCAGCCTGGGTGACAGGGCAAGACTTCATCTCAAAAAAGAAAGAAAGAAAGAAAAGAAACTTGGATAGACACATTTATTACTTTGTGGTGGAGGTTTCATGGGTGAATACTGATGTCAAACATCAACTTTTACACTTTAAATATATGCAATTTATGGTTAGGTCAATTATAGTCCAATAAAACTCTACTATTAATTTTTTTAAGTTAAAAAAATGTGGGGAGGAGGCTAAGAACCCTTAAGGGGATCAACATTTTTTGGTAGCTCTGGTCCTGCTAGAATTTCACCAATCTCCAGCCATCTCCTCATCACTTGCCATGGTCCAATCTGAGTTCCTGGAAAACAGGCTTCCTCTGAATTCTAGGTTTCGCCGCAGTTGGTGGGATGGAAGGCCTGAAGGAGAAGTACTTCTTGGCCCTGGCCAGCAACCGGAGCGAGAACAGCAGCTGCGGGCTGCCCCGGGAGGATGCCTTCCATATTTTCCGAGATCCACTGACATCTGATCTCCCGTGGCCAGGGGTCCTGTTTGGAATGTCCATCCCATCCCTCTGGTACTGGTGCACGGATCAGGTACAGGACAGTGGCCTCAGCAAGCTTTTTCCTTCTCTTTGCTTCTTTCCTTAGGGTGGCTGAAGTCGGTACTTTTTTCTTCCTCCACCTCTTCTCTCATTTGCATTTTCCCTGCTTCCTTGACTCCTTCCTCCTTTCCATTGCTCTACATGCTATTTTATTTCTTGATCTTGTGAATCTGAACAACAAATCCAAAGCTGCTGATATTTGCAAAGGGGAAAACTCAACACTCTGCTTTTTTTTTTTTTTTTTTTTCCTGAGACAGGATCTTACTCTATCACCCAGGCTGGAAGGCAGAGGCATGATCATAGCTCACAGCAGCCTTCATCTCCTGGGCTCAAGAGATCCTCCCATTTCAGCCTCCTGAGTAGCTGGGACTACAGGCACATGCCACCATGCCCAGTTATTTATTATTATTCTTATTATTTTTTAGTAGAGATGCAGGTCTCACTATGTTGACCAGGCTGCTCTCAGACTTCCTCCTCCTGCCTCAGCCTCCCAAAGTGCTGGGATTATAGGTGTGATCCACTGCAGCCGGCCTAATACACTTTGCTTAATGTATTAGGTGTTATTTATTTAATTATTTTAACTGGGAATATCCAGTAGGCAAAGGAGATGATACCTTTTAAATGGGGGTTAAAACTCCTATTGGACATTATTTGTTCAACAAATACACACTGGTTGTCCTCTACATAGCGGGCACTCTTCTGGGCACTTAAAACCAGGAGCTAATAAGTCAAACCAAGCTCTCTGCCCTTGTGGAGCGTCCCTTCTTCTAATGGGAGTAGACAGAGACAATAAGTAAAGTATGTGAGAAGTTAAAATATGATAAATACATTTTAAACAGTAGAGTGAGGTCAAGGAGATTGAGAGTGTGGTAGTGCAATTTAAAACGGGGTGACAGGTGGCTCACACCTCTCATCTCAGCATTTTGGGAGGCTGAGGCAGGAGGCTCACTTGAGTCCAGGAGTTTGAGACCAACCTGGGCAACATAGTGAGACCCTGTCTCTAAAAAAAAAAAAAAAAAAAATTAGCCAGGCATGGTGGTGTGCGCCTGGAGTCCCAGCTCCTTGGGAGGCTGAGGTGGGAGGATCACTGGAACCCAGGAGGTCAAAGCTGCAGTGAGTTGAGATTGCACCACTGCACTCCAGCCTGGGCAACAGGCTTGAGACAGCAAGACCCTGTCTCAAATAATGTAGGGTGCTTAGGGGAGGTGTCATTGAGAAGTGACCTTTGACCAAAGACTTTGTAGAAGAGCGAGAGCTCCCCGTGATTTTTGGAGGAAGAGTTTGCAGCAGAAGGCACATCCAGAGCAAAGGCAGATATATAACTGGCGTAAAAAAAGAGAGGAGAAAATCAAAATGCAGAACCATGTGTACCAGAAGCCCTTTTGTATTAAAAAAAGAAAAAGGAGAATAGAACCAATATTTGTGTTTGCTTATATGTGCATAAACTCTGGACAGATGTATACAAAACTAAGAAGAGTGGATACCTGTGGGCAGGGAGGCAGGGCAGGTGGGAAGGATGAGTGGGAGCTGATTCACTGCATATTATATTTTCTCAGGTTTTATTTTTATTTATTTAATTTATTTATTTATTTTATTTATTTTTTTTTTTTGGAGACAGAGTCTCGCTTAGTCGCCCAGGCTGGAGTGCAATGGCGCGATCTCGGCTCACTGCAAGCTCCGCCTCCCGGGTTCACGCCATTCTCCTGCCTCAGCCTCCCGAGTAGCTGGGACTACAGGCGCCCGCCGCCTCGCCCGGCTAATTTTTTGCATTTTTAGTAGAGACGGGGTTTCACCGTGTTAGCCAGGATGGTCTCGATCTCCTGACCTCGTGATCCGCCCGCCTCGGCCTCCCAAAGTGCTGGGATTACAGGCGTGAGCCACCGCGCCCGGCCTTTTCTCAGGTTTTAAACTGAGTGAATATATCACGTGTTCAAATATTCTTTTTGTGTTACATGAAACATCAGAGGCCTATGTATCACTTGGGGAGTTATACTGCATAGTGAGGGCTGATGAGAGTTTAATTAAAGCAATAATCATGGCATTGAACAATTGATTTGATGCAGGAGACTTCACAGAAAATGAAACCCAGGTCCCATCCATAGGCCAGCCCTCCTTTGAGTCAAGATCTAATGACCAAGGCAGTGATGAGAGCAATGCACATGTACTGCCCCTTTAAGAGAGAGACCCCCTTCACCTCCTTAGCAAATCTCAGATAGGACACACCCTGAGAAACAGGACTGATCCAGGCTAACATCATGGGCTTTAATTTTAACACACCGGCCAGGTGCAGTGGCTCACGCCTGTAATCCCAACACTTTGGGAGGTCAAGGCGAGTGGATCACCTGAAGTCAGGAGTTTGAGACCAGTCTGGCCAACATGGCAAAACCCGGTCTCTACTAAAAATACAAAAAAAAAAAAAAAAAAAAAAAAAAAATTAGCCAGGTGTGGTGGCGGGCACCTGTAATCCCAGCTACTCAGGAGGCTGAGGCAAGAGAATCACTTGAACCCGGGAGGTAGAGGTTGCAGTGAGCCGAGATCATGCCACTGCACTCCAGTCTGGGCAACAAAGTGAGATTCCATCTCAAAAAATTAATTAATCATGCCGGGCACAGTGGCTCATGCCTGTAATTCCAGCCTGGGCAACAGAGCAACACTGTGTCTCAAAAACAAACAAAACAAAACAAGACAAGACAGTTGACCCATTCTGCCACTGGGAAAAAGTTATTTGTAAAAACAAGCCAGAGACAATTTCACCTGCCCAGGTATTCCCCCGAGACCATCTTCCTCCTTCCTTTATTGAACCAATGTTTACTCTTTTCAGGTTTCTGAACTTCTTTTTTATTATTTATTTTTATTATTTATTATTATTATTAGTTTTGAGACAGAGTCTCTCTCTGTCGCCCAGGTTGGAGTAGAGTGGTGCAATCTCGGCTCACTGCAACCTCTGCCTCCTGGGTTCCAGCAATTCTCATGCCTCAGCCTCCTGAGTAGCTGGGACAATAGGCATGCACCCTCACGCCCAGCTAATCTTTGGTATTTTTTGTAGAGATAGAGTTTTGCTATGTTGGCCAGGCTAGTCACTAGTCCTGACCTCAAGTGATCCACTCACCTTGGCCTCCCAAACTGCTGGGATTACAGGCATGAGCCACCGCGCCCAGACAGATTTCTGTACTTCTGACCTACAGCTCTCTGATCCGGTTTCTGATCTAATCCTACTCTCATCTATTTCTATTTAGTTGACCTGTTGGAACTTCTTTCTCTGGTTTCATCTAACAGCGGTGATGATGACAATGACAATAATCATGACTGCCCTCTTTGCTAAAGAGCTGCTAGACACCTGAAAAGCAAGCACAGTTATCATCCCCATTTTACAGATGAGAGAGCTGAGCCTGGAAAGGTTAAGGAACTCATCCAAGATCACAAAGAGCTGGTGGGGGGATTCACACCTAAGTCCGTCTGCACTTTCAATCGCTCCATTCATTCATTGTACCGCACCTATTGGATGCTCTCAATTCTGGGAACCCACCGCCAGCTGCATTTCTGTGCAGACGTCTGCTCCCTGGTCACCGTGCTCCACCATGACAGCTCTCCCTCCTCCTTTCCCACATCAAGGAAGGGAAAATTTGTACATGATTATCGTGGAAAAAGCAAGGAAAGATAAGGTAGCTAGATGACAGATGCCATAACAGATGGCTGACATAGCTAACCATAACCCCTCCTCCCCACATATTCACATTGCATTTTCATTCCTCTCAGCTCACTTTTTCCCCCACAACTGAGATGTTACTTCTTAAGAACCACTTAGCCGGGCACAGTGGCTCACGTCTGTAATCCCAGCGCTTTGGGAGGCCGAGGCGGGCGGATCACGGGTCAGGAGATCAAGACCATCCTGGCTAACACGGTGAAACTAAAAACCATCTCTACCAAAAATACAAAAAATTAGCTGGGCGAGGTGGCAGGAGCCTGTAGTACCAGCTATTCGGGAGGCTGAGGCAGGAGAATGGCTGAACCCGGGAGGCGGAGCTTGCAGTGAGCCGAGATGGCGCCACTGCACTCCAGCCTGGGTGACAGAGCGAGACTCCATCTCAAAAAAGAAAAGAAAAGAAAAGAAAGGAAAAGGAAAGAAAAGAAAATAGGAAAGGAGAGGAGAGGAGAGGAGAGGGGAGGGGAAGGGGAGGGAGGGAGGGGACCCCTCCGTTGGATGGCCAGCTTGTGATCAGAGCTTTTTTGAATTCTGACTGGCTGAATGTGTTGTGTCCAGTGGGCATGGGTACCTGTCCTTGAAACGTGTCCACTAAGCCCGGTTTGTCTCACTGCTAATGCAGTTAGGTCATTAACAAAAACTGCATATTTCACACTGTCCTGGAGCATATTGATGCCTTCGGGCAACTGTCTCTGACAAGGTTCGGTCCCATGGATTCTGCAGATGAAATGCTGCCCCAGGTGACATCTCTCTCCCCACCAAAATGTGCTGTGAAATCTAAAATAATTATTGGGGCTGTGGTATGGGGTTTGCAGCAACTCTTACCTCACTACACTCTTCTCATTAAGGGTTCTTGGATGATTTAGTGAGGACTCATTCAGTTGTTTGTGTGGAAAAAATAGTTTAAGGATAAAAAGGCTCTTTTTTTCTGGGCCTATAACCCCAGCACTTTGGGAGGCTGAGGCAGGAGGGTTGTTTGACGTCAGGAGTTGGAGACCAGCCTGAGCAACATAGTGAGAGTCTGTCTCTACAAAAAAATAAAAATAAATATAAAATGTAGCCAAGCGTGGTGACATAGCTACTTGGGGGGCTGAGGCAGGAGGACTGTTTGAAGCCAGGGGTTCAAGACCAGCCTCCTCAATATAGCAATATAGCAAGACCCCATCTCTAAATAAAAATTTTACAAATTAGCTCAGTGTGGTGATTCATGCCTATTGTCCCAGCTACTTGAAAGACTGAGGCGGGAGTATCATTTGAACCCAGGACTTTGAGGCTGCAGTGAGCTATGATCACATCATTGCATCATTGAGCTATGATCACATCATTGCATTTCAGCCTGGGCAACAGAGTGTGACCCCATCTCTTAAAAAAAAAAAGGCATTTTAAAAAACTTACATGATGGGGAGTCCAGAGGTGGTTAATGGCAATGGAAACAACTAATATTTACGAAGCAGTTACTGTGTGTCATATTCTAAGTATTCTAAGTACTTTCACTTCTCTAATTTTCAAAACTGCGCTGGTATTATGCTCATTTCATAAATGAGGAAACAGAGGCCAAGAGAGGTGAAGCTGCTTGCCCAAGGTCAGATAGGTGGGAAGTGGGGAGGTAGGATTTGAACCCAGACTGCCTGTCTCTGATACTACATCATCACACATTGTCTTTCTCTCCATTTCCTGGTTTTCTTTTCTCTGTGATGACTTAGTGTCAAAGAGGCCATCCCATATGATGGCAGAGATGCAGCTAGCAGCTCTACACCTCGTTCACAGTTAGCAATTGCAAAGGAGGCACCAGGAGTTAGGAAACCTCTTTCCTTTTCTTTTCTTTTCTTTCTTTTTTTTTTTTTTGGAGACAGAGTCTCACTCTATCACCCAGGCTGGAGTGCAGTGGTATGATCTTGGCTCATTGCAACCTCCATCTCCTGGGTTCAAGTGATTCTCCTGTCTCAGCCTCCCAAGTAGCTGGGATTACAAGCGTACACCAATGCACCCAGCTAATTTTTGTATTTTTTATAGAGATGGGGTTCCACCATGTTGGCCAGGCTGGTTTCGAACTCCCAGCCCCAAGCAATCCTCCTGCTTCAGCCTCCCAAAGTGCTGGGATTACAGACGTGAGCCACTGCACCTGGCCTCCTTTGCCTTTTTAAGGAAGAAATTCCATGGAGAGGTGTGGTTGGATTGCCTTGGGGACATGCTTTTCCTTAATGGATCATGGTAGCCACAGAGGTGGAATAATTCTGTGGAGGACTTTAATTGGCCAGGCATAACCCCTGGATAAAAGAGTAGGGAGGGAATGGGGTGGGTGTCTTAGCTACCTGAATTAGACCACAGGGACTGAGCATAGGAAAGAGATGTTTCTTCAAACACAAGCGTGGCAAACCAAGATCCTAAGTCTCCTACACCTACCAAGAGGCTAAACATACCCTTTTTGCCTTAAGAGAAAGCCTTTTAATACAGTCCATTCTCACACTGCTGATAAAGACATACCTGAGACTGGGTAATTTATAAAGAGGGTGAATGGACTCACAGTTCCACATGGCTGGGGAGGCCTCACAATCATGGCAGAAGGCAAGAAGGAGCAAGTCACGTCTTCCATGGATGGCAGCAGGCAAAGACACAATGAGAGCCAAGTGAGAGGGGTTTCCCCTTATAAAACCATCAGATCTCACAAGACATATTCACTACTATGAGAACAGTATGGGGGGAAACTGCCCCCATGATCCAATTATCTCCCACTGGCTCCCTCCCACAGCATGTGGGAATTATAGGAGCTACAATTCAAGATGAGATTTGGGTGGGGACACAGCCAAACCATATCAGCATTCCCAGTTTCCAACCCCCTTGATCTTTTCCAGGTGATTGTCCAGCGGACCCTGGCTGCCAAGAACCTGTCCCATGCCAAAGGAGGTGCTCTGATGGCTGCGTACCTGAAGGTGCTGCCCCTCTTCATAATGGTGTTCCCTGGGATGGTTAGCCGCATCCTCTTCCCAGGTGAGAACACAGCTAAGGGAAGAGGTCATCGGCATGTGAGTCTCAGACCATGTGAATTATTCTAAACATATTATTAGAAGCCTCAAGAGAATGTGACTACAGTCCTTTCTCTCTTTTTCTAAGACAGAGTCTCATTCTGTCACTCAGGTTGGAGTGCAATGATGCAGTCATAGCTCACTGTAACCTTGAACTACTGGGCTCAAGCAATCCTCCCACCTCAGTCTCCTGTGTGGCTGGGGCTACAGGTATGCACCACGATGCCTGGCTAATTTTTTTTAAAAAATAGAGATGTGGTCTTGCTATGTTGCCCAGGCTGGTCTTGAACTCCTGGCCTCAAGCTATCCTCCTGCCTTGGCCTCTCAAAGTGCTGAGATTGCAGGTGTGAGCCAACACACCCAGTCCTTTTTTTTTTTTGGCTTTTTTTTTTTTTTAAAGACAGGGTCTCACTTTGTCACCCAGGCTGGAGTACAGTGACATGATCATAGCTCACTGCAGCCTCAGACTCCTCGGCTGAAGGGATCCTTGGGAGCCTCAGCCTCCCAAGTAGCTGAGACTACAGGCATGCACTACCACACCTGGCTATTTTAAGTTTTTGTAAAAACAAGGTCACACTATGTTACCCAGGCTGATCTCAAACTCCTGGCCTCGAGCGATCCTCCTGTCTTGACCTCCCTAAATTCTGGGATTACAGGCATGAGCCACGATGCCTGGCCATAGAGTCCTTCCCTAGTGATGAGACTGAGGCATCTCTATCTAGGCATCCAGTGACTCTATGCTGTTTCTCAACATTGGTTCAATGGGCAGGTCCTATAGGTATCCCAGGCCAAATTGAGTGGAGACTCAACTGGGATCTTGCCTCAACTATATTTTGTTGAAACCACCAACTAGGCTAAGGTCTTGTGGTTCCAGAGCAGTTCTCTGAAGTCTCATGTGAAAGTTTCTCTCTTACTTTAGTGTTTGAGCTTAGTCGTTGGGTTGGGTAACTTTGGCCCAGTGAAATCCTTTTTGGGGTACTTTTTTTTTTTTTTTGAGACAGAGTCTCACTCTGTTGCCAGGCTGGAGTGCAGTGGCATGATCTCGGCTCACTGCAACCTCTGCCTCTTGGGTTCAAGTGACTCTCAAGCCTCAGCCTCCCAAGTAGTTGGGACTACAGGCATGCACCACCATGCCCGGCTAACTTTTGTATTTTTAGTAGAGATGGGATTTCACCATGTTGGCCAGGATGGTCTCGATCTCTTGACCTCATGATCCTCCCACTTCGGCCTCCCAACAGGTGTGAGCCACTGTGCCCGGCCTGGGGTACTTTTCTTTTTTTTTAGATGGGTCTCACTCTGTCACTACTGGAGTGCAGTGGCATGATTACAGCTCACTGCAGCCTGGAGCTCCCAGGCTCAAGAAGTTCTCCCACCTCAGTCTCCTGAGTAGCTGGGACTACAGGCGCCCACCACCATGCCCAGCTAATTTTTGTAATTTTTGTAGCTATGGGGGTCTCACTATGTTGCCCAGGCTGGTCTTGAACTCCTGGGCTTAAGCAATCCACCCACCTCAGCCTCCCAAAGTGCTGGGATTACGGTGTGAGCCATTGTGCCCAGCCTGGTGTACTTTTCTTAACAAATCTCATGGGATATCGAGGCCTCTAGAGTATTTGCCTTAGTTTTTTTCTTTTTTTTTTTTCTTTCTTTTTTTTTTTTTTGTGATGGAGTCTCGCTCTGTCGCCCAGGCTGGAGTGCAGTGGCGAGATCTCGGCTCACTGCAAGCTCCACCTCCCCGGCCCACGCCATTCTCCTGCCTCAGCCTCCCAAGTAGCTGGGACCACAGGTGCCCGCCACCACGCCCGGCTAATTTTTTGTATTTTTAGTAGAGACGGGTTTTCACTGTGTTAGCCAGGATGGTCTCGATCTCCTGACCTTGTGATCTGCCTGCCTCAGCCTCCCAAAGTGCTGGGATTACAAGCGTGAGCCACCGCGCCCAGCCCTTAGTTTTTTTCTTAATGTGGTAAGGGAATAGGTTTATACCACAGGGATAAATGATAGTGAGGAGGGACAACGTCACCAGAAGACACTGTGGTGTCAGAAACTGGTGATCTATACAGAAGTTCACCAAGGATGTTATTAAAGGGGATAGAAAGCAGAAAGTTTCCTCCCCTGTGCCTTATCCTACATGTTACACAGAAGCTAAGAAAGGGTAGGATGAAGTGGTTTGTGGTTGGCTCAGAAGCTTAGTCAAAATAATTTAGGACCCTTAAGAAGTAGGAGAAAAGAGTTGGGGAAGGCAAATGGGGGCACTGTCCATGGTGCTAGACCTTGAACCCTGGTGTTCCTCCAGCCCAGGTGGGATGAGGAACCCACAAATAGTCCCTAGTCCTGCTTCCAGGAAAGGGCAAAAGGCTTGGGAAAACCCAGAGGGAGCTAAGAACTGGGATCTGGGTTTTGCGGTGACTTGGAAAATATACAGCTGTTCAGCAAGTCTTGACATAGAAACACAGAAACGGCTTCAGGCCAGGTGCAGTGGCTCACGCCTGTAATCCCAGCACTTTGGCAGGCTGAGGCAGGAGGATCTCTTGAGGCCAGGAGTTCAAGACCATCCTAGGTAACAATACCAGACCCCCTCCCTACCAAAAACAATTTTTAAAAATTAGCCAAGTGTGGTGGTGCCCACCTGTGGTTCCAGCTACTTGGGAAACTGAGGCAGGAGAATTGCTTGAGCCCAGGAGGTTGAGGCTGCAGTAAGCTATTATTACACCACTGCATTCTAGCCTGGACAACATAGCAAGACCCTATCTCCAAAAAAAAGAAAAGAAAAGAAAAGAATATGGCTTCAAACAACCCACATTCATTGTGCACTTGCTAAGGGCCAGTTCCTATGAAAAGAGTTTCAGAGTGTAGTGTGGCTATGAATATGGATTCTGATCTGGAAGGCCCAGGCCTGAATTTGCTCTGCCGCTTATGAGGTGTTTGACCTTGCATAAGGCATTTAATGTCTCTTTGCTTCTGTTTCCTCACTTGTATAATGGGGGTAATATTTTACAAGGCTTAAAGCAGTTCCTGGTATAGAGGTACACAGTAACCTCTATTCAAGTGTTTACTATTATTATTTTATACATGTATTACCTCATTTCTTCCTCAAAACAACTTTATATGGTAGGTACTATTATTCTTTTCATCTTACAGATGAGGAAATTGAAGCCTAAAGAAATTAATTCATTTGGCCAGGCGTAATGGCTCACACCTATAATCCCAGAACTTTGGGAGGCCAAGGCAGGCAGATCGCTTGAGCTCAGCAGTTTGAGACCAGCCTGGGCAACGTGATGAAACCCCGTATCTACAAAAAATACGAAAATTAGCCAGGCATGGTGGCATTTGCTTATAGTCCCAGCAACATGGGAGGCTGAGGATCGCTTGAGCTGGGGAGGTCGAGGCTGCAGTGAGCCATGATCACTGCACTCCAGCCTGGGTGACAAAGTGAGACCTTGTTTCAAAAAAAAATCATTCATTCACTCATTTATTTATTCTTCCATGAATTCAACAAATATTTTGAGGCCAATTATCTTTCAAGTGTTATTCTAGAAGACTCTGGGGGCCCATAAGTGAACGAGACTACAGGATCCTTACTGTAGAGGGTCTTACATCCTAGTGGTGGAGGACAAAGACAGAAATAAGTAAATAAATAAGACCAGGTGCAGTGGCTCACACCTGTAATCCCAGTTCTTTGGGAGGCCAAGGCAGGAAGATTGCTTGAGCCCAGGAGTTTGAGACCAGCCTGGGTAACATGGCAAGACCCCATCTCTAGGAAAAAAAATACACACACACAGTAGTCCCAGCTACTCAGGAGGCTGAAGTGGGAGAATCACTTGAGCCTGGGAGATTGAGGCTGCAGTGAGCTGTGTTCGAGCCACTGCATTCCAGACTGGGTGACAAAGTGAGACTGTGTTTCAAAAAGGGTAAAAAAATAAATAATTTTTGACTGTGCTAAATTCCAGGAGGAGGATGCACAAGGTGATATCAAAAAGAATGTCAGACCAGAGCTACTTCTGACAGGGTTTCCCGGGAAGTCCTTTCTGAGGAGGCAACAGTTGACCCATGCAGTGATTTGAAAGTACACCATAGAGCCAATCAGATTAATAATGGATTGGATGTAAGGGTTAAGGGGGAAAAAAAGGAATCCAGGATCACTCCTAAGCTAAATGCCTTTCTGGGAGTTACTGAGCTAGTGCCAGATGAGCCCAGATTTGAACCCAGATGTAGCTGACTCCAAAACTTGACTCTTACTCTTGCAAATTATGTCTGAAGACCTGGATTGATATATGGAAGATCAATAACAAGACCTTGACCATCTGTCTTAACAGCCAATCAGCCAATCAATTTTTTTAATTTTTTTTGAGACAGAGTTTTGCTCATGTTGCCCAGGCTAGAGTGCAATGGCGTGATCTCCACTCACTCACTGCAACCTCCGCCTCCCGGGTTCAAGCGATTCTCCTGCCTCAGCCTCCTGAGTAGCTGGGATTACAGGCATGCGCCACACCCCCAGTTAATTTCATATTTTTAGTAGACATGGGGTTTCTCCACGTTGATCAGGCTGGTCTCAAACTCTTGACCTCAGGTGATCCACCCACCTCCGCCTCCCAAAGTGTTGGAATTACAGGCATGAGTCACCACATCCAGCCAACAGTCATTATTAAATGAGACACAACACCATGTTCCATGAACCTACGACTTTGTAATGTAGGAGATGAGTCTCGTACTCATGGAAAAATAACATAAACTATAAATTGAAATACTCTATCATCTGGTACAAGTGAGAGGTGCAAAATAAATTTTAGAGAGTAAGGTGAGTTAGAGGAGTGAGGTGGGCATTGTGTATTTGAAGTCCCTCTCCCTTCTCTGGAGGCCCAGACCAGTGCTATTCAAAGTGTGGTCCCCAGTCCAGCAGTGGCTCCTGAGAACTTGTTAGAAGCGCCAACTTTCAGTGCCCATTCAAAACCTTCTGAATCAGAATCCCTGGAGGAACATCTGTTTGGTTTTTTTTTTTTCTCTTACTATTTTTAACTTTTAATGTTTTTAACTAATTATTTTTATATAAATTGTACATACTTACAAGGTACAGTGTGATATTTTGATACATTATACAATGTGTAATGACCACATCAGTGTAATTAGCTTATCTATCACCTCAAATATTTATTATTTCTTCATGTTGGGGGCAATCAAAATCTACTCTCAACTATTTGAAAATGTACAATAAATTGTTGTGAATTATAGTCACCCTATAGTGCTATAGAACACTAAACACTATTCCTCTTTTCTAGCTGTGCTTTTCTATCCATTAACCAACTTTTGGCTGCCCTCCTCCCCACTACCCTTCCCAGCCTCTAGAAACCACTATCCTACTGTCTACTTCTATGAGCTCAACTTTTTAAGCTTCCACATATGAGTGAGAGTATGCAGTATTTATCTTTCTGTGCCTGGCTTATTTCACTTAACATAATATTCTCCAAGTTCATCCATGTTGCCATGAATGAACATGAAAAAGAATTTCATTCTTTTTTATGGCTAAATAGTAGTCCACTGTATATATGTACCACATTTTCTTTACCCATTCATCTGTTGACAGACACTTAGGTTGATTCCATATGTTGGTTATTGTGAATAGCATTGCAATAAATGGGGTGCAGGTATCCATTTGCTATATTGATTACAATTGCTTTGGATATGTATTAGTCCATTTTCCCACTGCTATAAAGATATTACCTGAGACTGGGTAATTTATAAAGGAAAGAGGTTTAATTGATTGACAGTTGCATATGGTTGGAGAGGCCTCAGGAAACTTACAGTCACGGTGGAAGGCAAAGGGGAAGCAAGGACCTTCTTCACATGGCAGCAGGAGACAGAAGTCCAAACTCAGAAAATGACAGATGTTTATAAAACCATCAGATCTCCTGAGAACTCACTCACTATCATGAGTACACATGGGGGAACCGCCCCCATGATCCAATAACCTCCCTCCCTCGACATGTGGGGATTACAGTTCCCTCCCTTAACATGTGGAGATCACAATTTGAGATGAGATTTGGGTGGGGACACAGAGCCAAACCATATCAGGATATATGCCAGTAGCAAAACTGCTGGATCATATGGTAGTTCTTAGTTTTTTGAGGAACCTCCATACAGTTTTCCATACTAGCTGTAGTAATTTACATCTCCATCAACAATGTATAAGGGTTCCCCTCATTCTTCACATCTTCACCAGCATTTATTATGTTTTGTCTTTTTGATGATCCCCGTTCTAACTAGGGTGAGATGACATCTCATGAGGTTTTGATTTGCATTTCCTTGATGATTAGTGATGTTAACCATTTTTTCATATGTCTGTGCCAGCCACCTATTTTTTAACAAGCCCACTAAACCCCAGGTCTAAAGTGCCAGTTTCAGGACAAAGCACTCAGCCTCTCTATTTGTACTTCTGTCTCCACCATGACTCCACCAGCTCCCTCCTAAATCTTCAAGTGAGTCCACAGCTGCATAAAAGTATTTTCTGATCCTGAGTTCTTGTGAGCCTGGAAAAAAACCCTCTTCCACTAAACCCATCTGAGAAATGGCACATATTTTTATTTTTTATTTTTTCATTAAACTTTAAGTTCTGGGATACATGTGCAGAATGTGCAGGTTTGTTACATAGGTATACATGTGCCATGGTGGTTTGCTGCACCCGTCAACCCATCACCTAGGTTTTAAGCTCCACATGCATTAGGTATTTGTCCTAATGCTCTCCCTCCCCTTCCTCCCAACCCCCACACAGACCCCAGTGTGTGATATTCCCCTCCCTGTGTCCATGTGTTCTCATTGTTTAACTCCCACTTATGAGTGAGAACATGTGGTGTTTGGTTTTCTATTCCTGTGTTAGTTTGCTGGGAATGATGGTTTCCAGCTTCATCCATGAGAAATGGCACATATTTTTAAAGAAACTATATGGAAATTAAGAGAGAAGAAAACAACCCTCAAAACACAACCCCAGCACTTTGGGAAGCCAAGGCGGGAGGAATGCTTGAGGCCAGGAGGTCGAGGCCAGCCTGGGCAACATGATGAAACCCCGTCTCTACTAAAAATACAAAACAAAACAAACAAAAAACAAAACAAAACAAAAAAAACCTGGGTGTGGTGGCACGCCTGTAATACCAGCTACAGGCTGGGAGGCTGAGGCAGGAGAATCGCTTGAACCCACAGGTGGAAGTTGCAGTGAGCCGAGACTGTGCGACTGCACTCCAGTCTGGGTAACATTGAGATTCCGTCTCAAGAAAAAATAAAAATAAAAATAAAAAATTAATTAATTTTAAAAAAGAAAGAGAAATCAGCTGGGTGTGATGGTGCCTGCCTGTAATTCCAGCTACTCGGGAGGCTGGAGCCTGGGAGGCTGGGGTTGCAGTGAGCCAAGATCGCACCACTGAACTCCAGCCTGGGTGACAGAGCAAGACCCTGTCTCAAAAACACACGCACACACCCACACCCACACACCCACCCACCCCCCCACACACACACAGAGTTTAGAAATGCGGTATTTACAAAGCCAATCTTCTCTACCTGAGCTTTGAAATAAACTAAGGGTTTGCCTCCTGGCCATAATACTTACTAGCAATATAATCTGGAGAAACTAACCTCTGGGCCTCAGTTTATCTGTCTTTGAAATAGGAGTAATAACAGTATCTTCCCCATAGAGTTGTAAAAATTAAATGAGGTATAGGTACAAAGCTTGCTGAAGCTCCTGAGTCATAGTAAACCTTCAGTTAATGTTGGGTCTGTGGAAGAAGAAGGTTTTGTGCTATGTTTGGATTTAACTGGGCTAGAGGCATCTTATTTCAGGCATCAGAGGGTGTGAAGCATTCTGACAAGAGAATCTACTCCATATAGGAAATGATTCACTAGCCCAGGACAGGTTACTGAACAGTGAGTTAATGACCATGGGCCGATCACTTGAGGTCAGGAGTTCGAGACCAGCCTGGCCAACATAGCAAAAACCCATCTCTACTGAAAATACAAAAATTAGCCGGGCGTGGTGGTGGGTGCCTGTAATCCCAGCTTCTCAGGAGGCTGAGGCAGGAGAATCACTTGAACCTGGCAAGCGGAGGTTGCAGTGAGCTGAGATCGTGCCACTGCACTCCAGCCTGGGCGACACAGCAAGAGGCTCCGTCTCAAAAAAAAAAAAAAAAAGACATTATTGTAAGACTGGCCACTAGCCACTAGGTGTCCCAGCTTCATCTGGGTTATGATAACAATAGCTGAAGTTTTTCCAGCACTTCCTATAAAGTCATGTTATTATCCTAGTTTTACAAACAGGGCAACTCGTCTCAGAAAGCGTAAGTAACAAGGTCACAGCTTATAAAGTCTAGACTCTCTTTTATCTCATTGAGCTATAAACTTCCATATGATAAGCCTGTGTCCGGCCCCATGTTGCCTGGGCCTGGGGCTCTGCGGGCCTGACTGCTCACCTCTGGGCCTGTGTTTCCTCCGTAGATCAAGTGGCTTGTGCAGATCCCGAGATGTGCCGGAAGATCTGCAGCAACCCCTCGGGCTGTTCTGACATCGCGTATCCCAAACTCGTGCTGGAACTCCTGCCCACAGGTAAAGTCCCTTCACCCCTGCATCGAGTCCCCTGGAGCACCCAGAAAGGAGATCACTGGATGGGCTCTGATCCAAGGCAGGGCCAAGAAGGGAGGGCTGGAGGAACAGGCTCTAGGCTCCCCATGAAAGGCTGAGTCCTGCAGGAAGCTCTGCCCCGCCGTCCTCCCTGAGGTTCTGCCTCCTCCAGTTGAGCCCACTGGGATCGGCTGCTTTGGCAGAAAAGGGCCGAGGCCCATGACCTCCCTTCCGCCCCCAGGGCTCCGTGGGCTGATGATGGCTGTGATGGTGGCGGCTCTCATGTCCTCCCTCACCTCCATCTTTAACAGTGCCAGCACCATCTTCACCATGGACCTCTGGAATCACCTCCGGCCTCGGGCATCTGAGAAGGAGCTCATGATTGTAGGCAGGTAAGTCCCTACTGGGTGGGGCTGGGGCAGGGGGAAGAGAGAGCTGAGCCCACCCAGAGGCAAAGTCCAGGTCCAGCCGGCAACTTAGCCAGGCTGAAGAGCGTTAGGACTCCATGTGCAACACATTGGTTCATTCAGGAGATGCTCAACAAGCACCTACTCTGTACCAGGCACAGGGCACGTAACCATGAAAGGGCTCAGTTCTTGCCTTTATGGAGCTAGGGAAGGAAGAGAATAAGCAAATAATTATAACCCAGCTGGGCAAGGTGGCTCACACCTGTAATCACAGCACTTTGGGAGGCCAGGCCGGTGGATCACTTGAGGTCAGGTGTTCAAGACCAGGCTGGCCAACATGGTGAAACCTGTCTGTACTAAAAATACACAAATTAGCTGTGGTGGCAGGTGCCTGTAATCTCAGCTACTCAGGAGGCTGAGGCAGGAGAATCATTTGAACCCAGGAGGCGGAGGTTGCAGTGAGCCAAGATGGCAGACTGCACTCTAGCCTGGGTGACAGAGTGAGACTCTGTCTCAAAATAATAAAATAAGCTGGGAGTGTTGGCATGTGTCTGTAATCCCAGTTACTTGGGAGGCTGAGGCAGGAGGATCACGAGCCCAGGAGTTGGAGGCTGCAGTGAGCTATGCTCTCACCACTGCACCCCAGCCTTGGCAACAGAACAAGACCCTATTAAAAAAGAGAGAGAGAAAGAGGAGTAAATGTTCAGGGAAGATGATGCTAATTTGTGCCTCTCGCCGCTGGCACCAGGGTGTTTGTGCTGCTGCTGGTCCTGGTCTCCATCCTATGGATCCCTGTGGTCCAGGCCAGCCAGGGTGGCCAGCTCTTCATCTACATCCAGTCCATCAGCTCCTACCTGCAGCCGCCCGTGGCGGTGGTCTTCATCATGGGATGTTTCTGGAAGAGGACCAATGAAAAGGTAGCTCTGGACTGCTCCCACTAGGCCAGAACCAAGTGCTGCCCCTTGAGCACTGGGATAGGATGGGAGGGGAGGGCACTGGAGGGAGATACAGGCTGGACTTGGGTGTTGAGAGGGAGGGTTTCATGGTGGAAGATACAGAGAGGGTGTTTATCTGACCTTTGCAAAAAAGCAATGAGAGGGCTGCTGTGATGGCTCACACCTGTAATCCCAGCACTTTGGGAGGCTGAGGTGGGTGGATCACTTGAGGTTGAGAGTTCGAGACCAGCCTGGCCAACATGGCAAAACCCCACCACTACACAAAATACAAAAATGAGCCCGGTGTGTTGGTGGGTGCCTGTAATCCCAGCTACTCAGATGCTGAGGCAGGAGAATCACTGGAACCTGGGAGGCAGAGGTTGCAGTGAGCTGAGACTGCACCACTGCACTCCAGCCCGGGCGAAAGAGTGAGACTCTGTCTCTCAAAAAAAAAAAAAAAAAAAAAAAAAAAGCAGTGAGAGGTTCTCATCAAAAGTATCTTGATGCATTTTTTGTTATTGAACAGGGAAGCTAAATTAAGAGGGTGTTAGTAATCTATGAGTAGTCGATTCATTATAAAAAGATAAATGGTTCAGTATTGCAGAACCCTTCCAAATTGCTGACCCATGCGTGCAGTGACCACCACAAGAAAGACAAGCCCTGGAGATGGCTTCTTGAGGTTCCTGGAGGCCAGAGGCCTTGGCGTCTCTAAGACGATCTTGCTCTGATGTTGCAGGGTGCCTTCTGGGGCCTGATCTCGGGCCTGCTCCTGGGCTTGATTAGGCTGGTCCTGGACTTTATTTACGTGCAGCCTCGGTGCGACCAGCCAGATGAGCGCCCGGTCCTGGTGAAGAGCATCCACTACCTCTACTTCTCCATGATCCTGTCCACGGTCACCCTCATCACTGTCTCCACCGTGAGCTGGTTCACAGAGTCGCCCTCCAAGGAGATGGTACGTTTGGGCTGATGGCTAGATCCGCTGAGACTTTTTGTTGGAAGTGACAGAAAACTGACCCACACTGACTTAAGTGAAGGAGACTGATTGTCCAAAAAGCTGAAAAGTCCAGGGTTGGGGTTCAGGGGCAGGATTATTCAGGACTTTGCAAAGGTCATCAGAATCCATCTGCACCTTCTGCTTTGATTCTTACGTCCCATATGGAGCCCAGTACCTTCTAGAGATAACCTCTTTTACTGTCATTAAGTAAACATAAGGCTGGGGTGCGGCGGCTCATTCCTGTAATCCCAGCACTTCAGGAAGCTGAGGTGGGAGGATCACTTGAGACCAGGAGTTCGAGACCAGCCTGGGCAACACAGTGAGAACCCATCTCTTTAAAAAATGAAAAAATTAGCAGGGCGTGATGGCTCACGCCTGTAATCTCAGTTACTAGGGAGGCCGAGATGGGAGGATTGCCAGAGCCCAGGAGTTGGACGATGCAGTGAGCTATGTCCATGCCACTGCACTCCTACCTGGGTGACAGAACAAGAGCCTGTCTTAAAAAAAAAAAAAGGTAAAAATAAGCATAAGTATTTCTGTCCCAGAATTTCTAGAGAAGTTCTAGATTCCCACTGATGGAGTCAGCTCAGGACACATGCTCATCCGCGAACCCAGAAGCAGTCCAAAGTGGTGAAGGCCATCCTGTGGCTCTGCGGAATTCAATCCCTGTGGCCAGAGAAATGGATGAGCTGAAATGACCAATTCTGGGGTCCCGCAATACTCTAGGGTGAGGGTTAAGCTCTGGGGATTAGAATGAGGGATAATCACATCCCAGCAACATGAGGATGGGGTTTATCGGAGAAAGACGTGGGAATGAGCGGGGGAATTGTGCGCTGATGCTGAAGAGCGCAGGGACGTGACGCTTGTTGGAGGATGGGGTGGGAGGGTGGGGCTGGGAGCAGATTCAGACACAAAGGCTGAGTGTGGGGTTGGGTGGGGAGTGTGAGAAAAGGATGGAAAACCCCGGCCCCACCTCCACCACAAATCTCATCATTCATTCCTGCTCCTTAGGTCAGCCACCTGACCTGGTTTACTCGTCATGACCCCGCGGTCCAGAAGGAACCAGCGACACCAGCAGCTCCCTTGTCTCTTGCCCTCTCTCAGAACGGGATGCCAGAGGCCAGCAGCAGCAGCAGAGTCCAGTTCGAGATGGTCCAAGAAAACGTGTCTAAAACCCACAGCTGTGAGTAGCCTGTCTCCTCAGTTACAGCAAGAAGCATTACGTGTTAAGGGGATTTTTTTTTTTTTTTCCTATCAAATTACAAGCCAGGAAAGTGGGCAGACTTGGAGTTTTAGCATCCTCTGGCTCCACTGTCTGATCTGTCCCCATGCTCTGGCCATGGGAAAGGAGTTTTTAGTAACTTTCAACAGAAGCTTCCTACAGGCACTAAGAGTAAACAAACACTTGTTGAGTGCCTATGAAGACACGGTTCATTTCATCCTCATGTTCCACACATGGGCAGGCAGGAACACGACGTGCCTTCTCTCAGTGCTTCTAAACTGGCGGCTTGCAGACATAGTTTGGCTTGGCCCACCTACAGTTTCAATAAAATGTGAGTTAACGTTTAAAAATTGAGAGATTTCGGCTGGGCGCCGTGACTCAAGCCTGTAATCCCAGCACTTTGGCAGGCCGAGACAGGTGGATCACTTGAAGTCAGGAGTTCGAGACCAGCCTGGCCAACATGGTGAAACCCCACCTCTACTAAAAATACAAAAATTAGCCAGGCATGGTAGCGCATGCCTATAGTCCCAGCTACATGGCAGGCTGAGGCAGGAGAATCACTTGAACCTGGGAGGTGGAGGTTGTAGTGAGCCGAGATCGCGCCACTGCACTCCAGCCTGGGTGACAGAGTGAGACTCTGTCTAAAAAAAAAAAAAAAAAAAAAAAAAAAATTGGGAGATTTCAGCCAGGCCTGGTGGTTCATGCCTGTAATCCCAGCACTTGAACACACCTGGTGAGTGTCCCCGTCTCGCCTCTCTGGGAGACACAGACCACCTCTACGGTCCTCCTTTGCTGGGTTCTTTCTAGGTGACATGACCCCGAAGCAGTCCAAAGTGGTGAAGGCCATCCTGTGGCTCTGCGGAATACAGGACAAGGGCAAGGAAGAGCTCCCGGCCAGAGCAGAACCCGTCATAGTTTCCCTGGAAGAAAACCCCTTGGTGAAGACCCTCCTGGACGTCAACCTTATTTTCTGCGTGACCTGCGCCATCTTTATCTGGGGCTACTTTGCTTAGTGTGGGGTGAACCCGGGGGTTCAAAGGCCGTTTCTCTTCAATGCTCCATTTTTTTTAATGAAAGAAAAAAGAATAAAGCTTTTGTTTGTTTACCACAAGGCTTCCAACTGTTTATAGATCATTTTCAACATGACACTTAGTTCTTTTCTTCTTCTTTTTTTTTTTTTTTGAGACAGTGTCTCGCTCTGTCACCCAGGCTAGAGTGCAGTGGCATGGTCATAGTTCACTGCAACCTCAAACTCCTGGGCTCAAGTGATCCTCCCTCCTCAGCCTCCCAAGTTTCTAGGACTACAGGTACACACCACCATGCCTACCTAATTTTTTCTTTTTTTAAAGAGATGTGGTCTATGTTGCCTGGGCTGGTCCTGAACTCCTGGCCTCAAGTGATCCCCCCACCTCAGCCTCCCAAAGTACTAGGATTATTGGCATGAGCCACCACGCCCAGCCTCTTTTCTTCTTGAAAATAATGAAGGTTAGAAGATGGAAAGAGGAGAGACATGTAAAAGCTTCCTTTCGCAAAAGACATTCATTCTTCTTATCCATTGTGTAACATAAATACCCAAATTCAAAGGGATAAAGAAGCAAAGGGACTCACCTTTTGGCATTCGAACTTGCCCAGCTCATCTTCACAGTGCGAAGAATGGGACCTGCATTCTATCTCTTGCCTTCCACTATGGCTGGCTTTGGGTGAAGGTCCCCAAGAGTTTTCTCACTGTGATACTTCCTCCTAGATATTTCTTGGAAATAGATCCGAGTTGGTACTCTGAAATCTTGTGCTATAAGAAAATCAGGGAATTGTGTGCACTTCTCAAGTTCTGGCTTAGACTGCTTTGTTTCTGAGACAGGGTCTCACTCTGTCACCCAGGCTGGACTGTAGTGGCGCCCTGACGGCTCACTGCAGTCTTGACTTCCTGGGCTCATATGATCCTCCTATCTCAGCCTCCTGGGTAGTTGGGACTATAGCCATGCACCACCATGTCTGGCTAATTTTTAAAATTTATTTGCAGAGACATGGGGGGCTGCTCTCTCCTATGTTGCCTGAGCTGGTCTCAAAACTCCTGGGCTCAAGCAATCCTCTTGCCTTGGCCTCCCAAAGTGCTGGGATTACAGGCATGAGCCACGCACCCAGCCTTAGACTGTTTCTTTGCTTACTTCCCCAGGATGATGCTTCCCTAAAAAGCAGCAGCCAGGTGGATGGGCATCTCAATGAACTTCCCCACCAAAGGCCAGTAAGGCTTTGACCTGCAGGGCAGTGGCCTCCTGTTCTGGGTGGAGCCAGCCTCCTCAGCTTTCCCGCTTTGGGCCCGATGGAGTCTGATGGAATGACCCATTAGGGCTGCGTTTGCCATGTGCAGAGCTAAGAGCAAGCAGGGCCAACCCAGTGAGCCCTGAGACCATCTCTGGAGTAGCCCAAGGTCATGAACCATCCAGGCCTGGGATAAGGTCGGGTGGTGGGATGGACTAGAGCCTCTTCCTGGCCTGACAGAGCTGGAAAGCAGAGGAGTCTCTCGGGGGACCCCATTTTCCAGGCCAGAGGAAAATAAACAGGACCCCCCGGGGCTGAGGGGCTGCTTACCCACTTAATCCTCCAGTGATGTCTTTCCGGTTCCTACTTGATGCCAACAGCTGGGACTGGCCTGGTGCACAGGCAAATGTATTGGCCCAGTCCTCACTCTGCTCAGAAGGCCCAGCGCTCTACACGAATCCAAGCAGCAGCGGTGGGCTGGACAAAGGGCACCCCCAGCCCTCCTGGGAAGGGGTATGGGTGGGGAACTGGCTGTTAACATGGCTCTAGGCAGGAGCTTGGGATGGTTCTGGAGCAAGTGGGCTCAAGGAGCAGTCTTCACCGAGGAGGCTGAGCTTCTGCCTCCAAGGCCCAAAGGAGGGGAGTGGGCGGCATGGGGGACTTCCACTACAGTCCTGAGCTCCCCGTCCAAGCCTGCCCCTCACACCGAGACCTCTGTTGCCTCTGGCTGGGGTCAACAGTATGTTTCAGCAGGAACACATTGAGCTGTCACTATGATCGCTCGGGCCACCCCCATCTCTGCCTGGCCTCCCGACTGGCCTTCGCACATCCAGTCTTCCCCATTCTCCAGCCACTGGCAGGGTAGGCAACTCGGATCAAGCCAATCCTCTGCTTGGAATCCTTCAGTGACCTTCCCACACTCAGGATGAAGTCTGCAATCCTTTGCATTCCTTGTTTGTTTGTTTTTGGAAAGGGTCTCTCTCTGTTGCCCAGGCTGGAATGCAGGGTGCGACCATGGCTCAACGCAGCCTCGAACTCCTAGGCTCAGGTGATCCTCCCACCTCAGTCTCCTGGGTAGCTGGGACTACAGGTACACACCACCATGCCTGGCAATTTTGTTGTTGTTGTACTTTGTGGAGAGGGCATTTTGCCATATTGCCCAGGCTTGTCTCCAACTCCTGGGCTAATGTGATCCACCTGCCTTGGCCTCCCAAAGTGCTGGGATTACAGGTGTGAGCCCCCAAATATGGCCTTTTTTTTCTTTTTTCTGTTTACAGACAGGGTCTTGCACTTTGTCACCCAGGCTGGAGAGCATTGGTATGATCATGGCTCACTGGAGCTTTCAACTCCTGCCTCAGCCTCTTGAGTAGCTGGAACTACAGGCATTTGGCCACCATACCTGGCTAATTTTAATTTTTTTTTTTTTGTAGATGGGGTCTTACTATGTTGCCCTGGCTGGTCTCAAACTCCTGGCTTCAAGCAATCTGCCCACCTCAATGTCTCAAAGTGCTGGGATTAAGGCGTGAGCCACTGTGCCCAGCCAGCTGAGAGATTTTAAATGTTCTCACCACAAAAAATAAATAATGGAGGTGATGGATATGTTAATTAGCTTGATTTAACCATTCTGCAATGTATACATATACAAAAACATGTCATATACCATAACTTTTATCAATTTAAAAAAACAGTGCAGTGCAAATACAATTTACAGATGTGCATAGAAACTGAATTCAGGCCAGGTGCAGTGGCTCACATCTGTAATCCCAGCACTTCAGGAGGCCAAGGTGAATAGATCACCTGAGGTCAGGAGTTCAAGACCAGCCTGGCCAACATATCAAAACCTCATCTCCACTAAAAATACAAAAATTAGCTGGGCATGGTGGGTGCCTGTAGTCCCAGCTACTTGGGAGGCTGAGGCAGGAGAATGGCTTCAACTTGGGAGGCGGGGGTAGCAGTGAGCCGAGATCATGCCACTGCACTCCAGCCTGGGCAACAGATCAAGATTCCATCTTAAACAAATAGAATGACAATTAAAAACCCCAAATTTAAATACAAGTAGAAAGAGTGAAAATAGAACCCTGTTGTTTTTTGTTAGGTTTGGGGGAGGTTCTTTCTTGTATCAAATATCCCCCTCCCCACATGTCATTTGTGATGATGTTTCATGTGTGAAGCACAGACCCTAAGGTGACCCTCAATAATCCCTACTTCCTGGGAAGTGGATCCTTCCCCAGTCCAGCCTCAAGATAAGACCCCAGCCCTGGCTGCTGCCTTGACCGCAGCGGATGAAAACCCTGGACAGAGGACCCAGAGAAGCTGTGCCTGGAGTCCTGACCCACAGGGGCTATGAGAAAATGAACGTGCTGTTGTAAGCTGCTAAGTATGTGGCCATCTGTCATGCTGCACTGGATAACTGACACGAGGGGCACGGTGTGTGAACGCATGTGTGGATGTAAAGGAGGGGTTGGCTGGAGAGGGTGTGGGAGGAAGACAGTTGCCTGCACAGCTGTGTGGGGTCTACACAGCCATGTACCTCCTTTGGAGGGAATCAGGTAGAAGTCATTTGGTTGCCAGTAAGAGAAACAAACCCAAAGAGGAACGCTTGTGCCAAAAACAATCAAGCACTTTATCGTGAGCACTCAAAGGCAAGAAATGCAGAACGGCTTCAGGGACACGAACCGGGAGCTGGGAGGGTTTTAAAAACCAAGCCCTGCACTCTTTCCCTCTAATCTTTTGTCTCTGCCTCTCCGCGTATCTGCTGACTTCTCCCCCTGCAGGCAGGTTCTCTCTACTACACAGAATCCACGGTGGTGGCAGGAGGGCACCCACAGCTCCGTGCCGGGAGACAGGGGTCCTGCCTGCTGGGGAAGAGACTCAGGGCCCACGCCTGTGCGAACCCATGTGGGACAGGGTGGGGATGGCCACGTGTGCAGCCTGCTGTGGGCAGTGGGGAAACTAAAGGAGTCCTTGACTTGCTCCCCCACTCCCTTAGCTGGCAGCTCAAGTGGTCTTGGTCACTTCTTGCCTTTGGCAGCACCAGACACTGTGGCTTCGCCACACCAGCACATCTCCTCTCTAGCTCCACCGATGAGATACGAGAGAAGTGCAAGCCCTTGGCTGAGAAGCATCCCTATGAGTGAGGTGCTTGCTGCCCAGTCTGATGCAAAACCCTGAGACTGTGGGTCCCAGAGGCCAGAGGCGCCGGAATATGGTGGGGAAATGGTGGGAGGAGACCTCAGGGAGAAACCAAGAGAGTTTGTCTTAAGACCTTCAAATAAGAGCACTTGCAGGACTCACTGGGCTTGGGAGAGCACTGAGAACTGCAGCCCCAACAGAGGAATGGGAGTCGCTCCACGGAGCTCCCAGAGAACCAGGGCCATCACAACGGTCCAGGATGGGGTCACTCCTACGGCATCTGAATTTTTTTTTAGAAGAGATGGTGCAGCTGGGGGAGCAGGGACAGGAAGTCTGAGCGCAAGGGCCTCTTCCTATAAGAAACTACTGGGTAGAGAAGGGAAGGAAACAATCTGAAGGGCAGATGGCCAGCGCCCTTCTGGACGGCCAGAAATGGCCAGTATGGGTTCCGATTCTCTACCTCTCTGACGGTGGGCAGGCTGGAAACAGTGTACCGTGTGCAGCGCCAACGCAGCACAATGCCCCCAGCAGAAGGAATCCCAGGTCACAGGAATGGCAAAGAAAGAGGATCCAGGTGCCTCTCCTGGCCCTGCTGGTGGGATGCTGAGCCATGTACCTCCCACTAGATAGTTCTGTTTGGTCCTTTTTTTTTTTTTTTTTTTTTTTTTTTTGAGACAGAGTCTCACTTTATTGCCCAGGCTGGAGTGCACTGACGTGATCTTGGCTCACTGTAGCCTCTGTCTCCCAGGTTCAAATGATTCTCCTGTCTCAGCTTCCTAAGTAGCTGGAGTTACTGGCGCCCGCCACAGTGCCAAGTTAATTTTTTGTATCTTTAGTAGAGATGGGATTTCACTGTGTTGACCAGGCTGGTCTCGAACTCCTGACATCAAGCGATCCTCCCGCCTCGGCCTCCCAAAGGGTGGTCTTTACCTTTGACACATACAGAGAGTCAAATGATTTTCATTGTTTTGAAGTTTGCAGCTGTCAGGGTAGGAAGATTGCTGCAAACAATAGGAGAGTAAAAACTGAATGAGGCTCTTAAAACAATGAGGTCGGGTTTCCTGTATTTCAGAATCAGCAATGATGAACACATGCTACATTCTGGGCAGGATGTCAGCACGGATGTTCCTCGTCCCCAGGTGCCAACAGCATCTCCTTGACAAGCGCCTACGTCCCTGCTTCCTCTGGAGGACAAGTTCAGGCATCATGATGGGAGCATCTCCGAGGCTCCATGGAGACACCTGACCGTGGACAGCCAGGCTCCTGGAGAAGGTGCTCAACATGGAGAATCGGCCTATACAAAGGCTTCACTTTCTCTGCAGGGTTTGTTCTGTGGCTAATGGAGGGGACAGAAAATTAACAACACACGGGTGGCACAGGGGAAGAGTGAGCCCTAAGCCGATGAACATTCAAGATATGGGGGCAAATGGGCTTACAGGAGCATATTTTCAAGGTAATTAATGTAGGGAGTACTTTGAAGGCATAGGAAACTGAGTAAAGATGAAAATGTGGGCTGCGCATGGTGGCTCACACCTGTAATCCCAGCACTTTCAGAGGCTGAAGTGGGAGGACTGCTTGAGGCCAGAACTGAAGACCAGCCTGGGCAACACAGCAAGATCCCTGTCTCTAGAAAAGATTATTTAAAAATTAGTTGGGTGTACTGCCATGCACCTGTAGTCTCAGCTACTCGGGAAGCTGAGTTGGGAGGATGGTTTGAGCCCGGGAGTTTGGAGGCTGCGGTGAGTTATGACTGTGCCACTGCACTCCAGCCTGGGCCATGGAGTGAGATCTGTTTCAAAAAAACAAGGGAAATGTGATTGCCCTTTTTAAATCAGGCTTATGTCAGTTTGTAGTGGAAAGAGGTCCAGTGTCTTCTAAACAGGGACTTAGACACTGACACACTTAGCAAACTTGATCAATAGAAGGCTCAGGGCAGCCAACTCTGGCAGCATGTCCTGCTCTGTTCCCGAGAGAAAACGGCCTTATCTGGGTCACAGGGAAGGAAGGTGCTATCATGAGACGAGCTGTCCAGAGCCTCAGTCTCACTTTGTTCCAATTCCCCATCAGCTCTCCCCTAGTATTTCAATCCTGGCAGAGACGGAATAATTTTCACGCCTTGGATAGGGCATGAAAGCACCAGCCATTGGAAGAGGGGCTCTCCATGGCAATTTACAGCTGCTGACGAATGCACCGACCCAGTGTGGCTGAGCTCCTGTAAGCTGCTCCGGGAGTCTGAGTATCTCTAGATGGAAAGAAAGGGATGCCAGCACTGGGAGGACCAAGGGTGCAGCCTCGACCAGAACCTGCACCGAGGGATGGCCAGTCTAGGAGGTCTCTGGGGCACCTGGTGGCCTTTTTCACTGCTGTGACCTTGCTCTCTGTTTCTTCAAACTCCTACAGCTACAATTAGACCCTCTCCCTCAACATGTCCCAGCCACAGTTCTATCTGGGGGAGTGGCAACACGTACACACTCATGCACACACACACGCACGCTACAATGTGTCTCCAAGAATCATGAAGTTTTCATATAAACCACAGAATATATTTAATTCAAATTAAACATGAAACTAGAATAATGTTCGGTCCTTATCAAGTAGCAATTACATTGTTTAAAAAAAAAAAAAAAGAACAGTACATTTCCGTCTACATTCCGGCAATCCAACGAGGCGGCACGGGTCACATCCAGTTTGACGAGGTGACAGAGCCAGCAGTCACCATCCAAGGGCATGGTTCTGAGGGGACTGGGGAGACACAGACGATATATGACACAAAATGACTCTGCAGCAAGTCTGAAGGACAGCAGCCGCCCTCCTAATACATAAGAATGAAAGTCCAGGTAGCAGAGAGCAGGCCACTCGCATAAAGAGCGCATTGTATTAAATAGATAGTTAACGCACTGCTTCTTACTCATTCCAAGTTGCTGTAGGTGCTGCCCGCGTTAACAGCAGGGGCAAAAGCTTCCTATGCACGTTTCAGCAGGAACGCTCTCTCCACTCCAGGTATTTCTTTGTTTTGGATTTTTTTGGCATTATTTCCTTCCCATGTGAAGAAAGCCAACTTCTTCAAGACACAGGTCATTCAGCTTCCGTGGCGGCCTCCAGGTGCTCCTAGGGCCGTGCAGAAGGCCAGGTCCCGCACAGTGAGGCCCTCCTTTGTCCTCCACTGAAAGCTTTTCACTGTTCTGTCTGCAGAGGAAGAGGTTTGCCTGCCCCTGCTCCATGTGCCAGGGTGGAAGCGGCGGAGGGCTGGGGAGGGCTTTCTTCACAGGGCCGTGCTTTCGGTATCATTGTCTATATCCAGCAGGATACGGCCAGGCACGTCTTTGCTGGCTGAGTCTGAGTGCATTTCAGGAAAGATGCTGCGATGTGGTTCTGAAACCCTGGAATTGGAGTCTGGACAAAAACACGAGGAGACACGGTATCAATGAGGGGTAACCCCCGAGAGGTCACCTGAGGGTGCTTTGAGAAGAGAGGCTGGGAAGTTTCGGGGTCAGCCCATGCACAGAGTCCCTTGCGAGAGGCCTCATCAGCTCTTAGAAGCCAAGTGATGCCTTTGTGACCCCAGAGGGCAGCTGAGTGGCACAGCCTCGCCTCTGGGCTCTGAGGTTGCTTGCTATGAGCCCGGGGCAGCCCTTGGAGATGCAGCTTTCAAAGGATTTGCTTGCTTTGATGGAAGAAAGGAAGCCTCCTCCTTCCCAAGGCCTCTAATGCATGAGATGAACCTCCTGATGGCCCCTGGGCTGCCCTGGGAGGAGGCCTCTCCTCGAGACTGCGGGGTTTCCTCCTGTGACTAACACTAGGACCTCACCTTCAGCACTAGCAACATTTGGGCCTGAATTATTTGCTGTGGTTGTCCTGGGCATTGTAGGTGTCACCCAACAGATGCCAGTGACATGCAGCCTCCTCCCCCAGTGTGACAACCAAAAATGTCTCCTGTGCATCACAGATCACTGGGGAAGTTTAAACTGTCTCCAGAAGCTGCCAAGCGTCCCCTGGGGAATCACAATCACTGCTGACTGACATCACTGAGGCAGACTAAGTCTCCTGCAAATATTAACTTCCTCTTCTCCGTCTAATACACCTCGAATGCCATTTTCATGTCTTACTATGTTGGCTGAAATTCCTTCAGCAAGGTGGCAAACATACGGTCCTCATGCTGTTGTCCCCCTCTCCTATGCTCTTCCCAGAGGCCAGTGGGTCTCAGATTCATTTATGCATGAACAAACATTTACTGAGCACCTCCCAGGCGCCAGGCACCGTTCTACCTGCTGAGGACGCAACACTGCACAACACAGGCACAGCCTCAACGAAGCCCAAGGTCAAAGTGGGCGAACCAAGGGGATCTTAATTAAAACAAAAGGGCTGGCTTCTCTAGTAGATGTGGGTTCTGGCAAATTATGAGAGCCTCATGAGGTATTTTAGGGCTGGTGTAAGAGAGAAGAGAGATATTTTGTAGTTTTGCTTTGCTGGGTTAGAGGTAGCTGTGGCAGGCAGCAGTGAGGGAGTGGGAGGAGGAGGTGGTTTGCTGGGACGTCTCACATTGAGGCTCGAGAGCTGCTTCTCGCCCACTTGCTGTGGTGCAAAATGACATCCTGCCTGTCCTTGCCGGGAGCTAGTTTTGAACGTATTTCTGTTCGACCTGCTCCTGTCTGCGCAGGCACAGCTTGAAAACGCTGGTGCACTCTGGGGAAGCTCACTGCTTCGAGACTTGTTCCAGCTCTACCCTTCCACCTTCCTGTCCCTACAGTCTGAGCTGTAAGATCTATTTACTCCCTGGGACATCCTTTCTCTCACAGTGACTCCTCGGTTGTCCCTCAAGGTTTCCTACACACCACAACTCAGAGAAATTTCTAGATTTATGGAGGTGCCAAGGTGTCAGAGTTCAGGTGCCAAATGTCATTTCAGACAATTCAGGCCTTGTGATAACTATAAAACCAATGACACTGTGCAGAATTGCACCACCCTATGGTGCGGTCAAAGGTGGTCTGTATGCACAGAATAGGGGCTGTCTTGGATTTGTCCTAAGCAGAACAGAAGTCAACGAAGGCAGGGACTGTGTCTGTCTTGTTCACAGTGTATCCTCAGTACCTAAAACAGTGACCGGCAAATAGCAGATGTTCAATAAATTTTGTAGCTGCACACTTGGATGGTTGGATGGATGAATGAAGCGTCATCTAGAGCAACCATCTTTCCAATCCTCCGTTCTTACATCTTCAGGCAAAGAAGTAGCTGTGACTTGAAGATGATACCGGTATAAGAAAATCACTGCCAATGCAATCCTTTCCCCCATTATCTTGGCCCCTAAAAACAGAAGGGGCTACCAGCCTGTGTCTCTTCTCAGCCCAGAGTTTACCAGAAACTACGGAACAGACATGACCTGGCGGGGGACGCATGATGCAAAGGCACTGTGCATACGGATGAGATTTCTACTTGTTAATATCTGTGTTCACATGCAAGTTAACGCCTATCAGCCACGAAGCCCTTCCACAGCTGCTCTCTTTTTCTTATACATCACATATATATAAATTTTAGATTTATGCCTCTCTAAATTTTTCTATTTATGATCCACACACATTATTTACTCAAGGGGAAAAACGTGTTCTGGGGCTACATTTTTTTCCAGCTACAAGGAAATCCCTTCCTCTGCCTCCCACCTGCCCCATCTGGTTTCCCCAGTCCCTCTCTATTCCTACATGAATCATCCCTGAAAGAAACAATGACTTTGTTTACACACAAGAAGTAGAAAGAATTATAGCAACTTGTACAGAACTAGTTTTCAGAAAGAGACTTCATCACAGTAGCTAACGTTAAAAAAAAAAAAAAAATTTTTTTTGAGATAGGGTCTCACTCTGTTGCCCAGGCTGGAGTGTAGTCGTGTAATCTCAGCTCACTGCAGCCTCCACCTCCCAGGCTCAAGCGATCCTCCCACCTCAGCCTCCCGAGTAGCTAGGACTACAAGCATATGCCACCATGCCTGGCTAATTTTTTGTATTTTTGGTAGAGACAGGGTTTCGCCATGTTGACTGGGCTGGTCTTGAACTCTTGGCCTCAAGCGATCCTCCCACCTCGGCTTCCCAAAGTGCTGGGATTACCAGCATGAGCCACCATGCCCAGCCTCGGTAGCTGACATTACTATAGAGCACTTACAACCGAGAGTGTACTATACACCCACACTTTATTACATCGTGTCACTGAACTGACTAATCCTAAGGCAGCAGAAATAAGAGAGGGAGACTCAGAGGCTCTATTCCTTGCTCAAGGTGACACAGCCAGGGTGGACCAAAGAGGATCAAAGCCAGATCAGTTGCACTCTGGCTCTTCACATTACATTTTCCCTCCTCCCCAGAGGAGTGTGTAAATCCTTGGGTGAGGGTCCTCAAAGACGTTATCTGAGATCTTGTCTCAGTCTTAAACACTCTGGTTTGTTGTAAAAAGGAGAAAATGGTTATTTCAGAAAGACACCTGTAAGGACCTGGTTTGCCCGAAACACCTCTAAATCTTTCTGGCTATGAACTCGTATATAAACTGCACCCCAAGAAGGGCTGGTTTCTGAGCATACGCTTGGAGCTAAGTTCATACAAGAGATATTGTTCTTAAAAAAACAAAATAGGCTGGGCATGGTGGGATGATGGTGTGAGCCCAGAAGTTCGAGACCAGTCCAGGCAACACGAGACTCCGTTTCTATGAGAAAAATACAAAAATCAGCCGGGTGTGGTGGCGCATGCCTCTAGTCCCACCTTCCAGCTACTTCGGAGGATCACTTGAGCCCAGGAGGTCAAGGCTGCAGTGGGTTATAATCACACTGCTGCACTCTAGCCTGGGCAACAGAGCAAGACCCTATCTCTTTAAAAAAAAAAAAAAAAAAAAGAGAGAAACACGGGATGACCTCCAGTAACCAGCCTCAGCCCAAAGGCAGAACTTGATATAGTTCATCACAGATTTGGGGCTCTGACAAATGTAACCAAGTTCCTTCCTGAACTGAGTATCTTATCCAGGAAACAGAAGTGGACATTTAACAGCTGGAAGTGGAATGTTATCAGTAAGCGTATGGTTCTAGAAGATTTACTTATTACTTCCACAATTTTGAATATGTGCTTTCGGTTGTGAACCCACCCTTCAAGAAGTCCAAGGTGATTCTGATAGCCACTTTGACAAGTAACAGATCCAAATATGCCCTTGAAAGTAAGTGGTGCAGGCACAATTACAGGGCGAATAAACTCCCTCCCCCTCTCCACCACCCATCCCTCTTCTCAGACCTAGGGTATCAGGGAATGCCTTCCTTTACCAGTTAACGGTTTGAGTCTTAAACACTCTGGTTGATTGTTGTAAAAAAGAGATAAAGGTTATTTTAGAAAGACACCTGTAAGAACCTGGTTTTCTTTTAACACCTCTAAACTTCTCTGGCCATGAATTTATATATTATTTGCATTCCAAGAAGGGCTGGTCTTTGAGCATACTGCTTGGAGCTAAGTTTCTATAACAAGTATTATATTTCAAAATAAAAAAAAAGCAAATAACCAAACAAAAAAAGAAACCTTTTATTGGAGGTCTCTTTTCTGTTTTGTTTTTGTTTTTAAATAAAATATCTACTGTATGAACTTAGTTCCAAGCAATATCCTCAAAGACCGGCCCTTGGAAGGCAGAGAATATATAAATTCACAACCAAAGAGGTTTAGGGTGCTTTTAAAAAGCAGATTCTGGCTGGGTGTAGTGGCTCATGCCTGTAATCCCAGGACTTTGGAGGCTGAGCTACTCGGGAGGCTGAGGCAGGAGAATCGCTTGAACCTGGGAGGTGGAGGTTGCAGTGAGCTGAGATCGTATCACTGAATTCCAGTCTGAGCGACAGAGTAAGACTAAACAAACAAACAAACAAACAAACAAAAGCAGGTTCTAACAGGTGTCTTTCTAAAATAACCTTTTTCTCCTTTTTACAATATAATACCTGTCATATAAACTTAGCTCCAACCAGAATGTTTAAGACCCAAACCATTATTTCCTCAGATAATGTCTTCACTTACAGGATCCACACCCAAGGATATACACAACTCTTTTGGGAAAGAGGGAAAATGTTAGGGTGATTAAGAATGATGGAGCCAGGCGCGGTGGCTCATGCCTGTAATCCCAGCACCTTGGGAGGCAGAAGTGAATGGATCACTTGAGGCCATGAGTCGAGACCAGCCTGGCCAATATGGCGAAACCCCGTCTCTACTAAAAATACAAAAATCAGCCAGGTGTTGCCACACCTACCTATAATCCCAGCTATTTGGGAGGCTGAGGCAAGAGAACTGCTTAAATCAGAGAGGCAGGGGTTGCAGTGTGCCAAGATTGCACCACTGCACTCCAGAGTAGGCGACAGAGCAAGACTGTCTCAAAAAATACATAAAATAAATAAACAGAAGAACCACAGTCCAACCAATCTGGCTTTGATCCTCTTTAGTCTAAGTAGAATTGTGTAATTTTATCAGGAGCTGATGACTTCTCGTCAGTTTTCCAGGGCTACGAGCGACTTTGAGTCAACTATTCAGGAGTGATTCTGTTCAAGTCTCACTGGATGTTATCTTGACACAATTCTGATTATCTACTTATTAAAAATCAACTGCAAGTAGAAATAGAGGCCACTTAAATATCCAACTAAGAGTAATAATACATCTGGTTGATGAAACATTATGTAGTCACTGAAAAACATGGTTCTAGGCCGGGCACAGTGGCTCACGCCTGTAATCCCAGCACTTTGGAAGGCTGAGGTGGGTGAATCACGAGGTCAAGAGATCGAGACCATCCTGGCTAACATGGTGAAACCCCGTCTCTATTAAAAATACAAAAATTAGCCGGGCGTTGTGGCGGGCGCCTGTAGTCCCAGTTACTCGGGAGGCTGAGATAGGAGACTGGCGTGTACCCAGGAGGCGGAGCTTGCAGTGAGCCGAGTTCGAGCCACTGCACTCCAGCCTGGGTGACAGAGCAAGACTCCAACTCAAAACAAAAAACAAACAAAAAAACCATGGTTCTAAAAATTACATTATGAGAACGAGCATATGATGTAAAGTAAAATAAAAGGATTCAAATCTGTCTATGTCAAATAATTACGCTCATGTACCTCCTTTTTAGAAAAACTAAAAGAAAAAAAGGGGCAGGCGTGGTGGCTCACACCTGTAATGCCAGCACTTTGGGAGGACGAGGTGGGCGGATCATGAGGTTAGGAGATGGAGACCATCTTGGCTAACATGGTGAAACCCTGTCTCTACTAAAAATACAAAAAAACTAGCTGGGCGTGGTGGCGGGTGCCAGTAGTCCCAGCTACTCGGGAGGCTGAGGCAGGAGAATGGTGTGAACCCGGGAGGCAGAGCTTGCAGCGAGACGAGATTGCACCACTGCACTCCAGCCCAGGGAACAGAGGGAGACTCTGTATCAAAAAAATAATAATAATAAAAAGAAGTAGAATATCAATGGCAGACTTTTTCAATTGTGTAGCTACAGTTGATTTCTTCTTATTTCCATTTCTCAAGAGTTTTAATATCCATGCTTATTTTTATTTATCTGAGACAGTCTCACTCTGTCACCCAGGCTGGAGTGCAGTGGTGTGATCTCAGCTCACTGCGACCTCCACCTCCCAGGTTCAAGCAGTTCTCCTGCCTTGGCCTCCCGAGTAACTGGGATTACAGGCACCCACCACGACGCCCAGCTAACTTTTTGTATTTTTAGTAAAGAAAAGGTTTCTCCATGTTGGCCAGGCTGGTCTTGAACTCCTGACCTCAAGTGATCCACCCACCTCCTCCCAAAGTGATGGGATTACAAACGTGAGCCACCACGCCCTGGCTCATGCTTATTTTTAAAAAGGCATTACTTCCATGACATAAGAAGGGTGAGAGTTTAAAAAGCAAACACTATGAAATTAGCCAGCAAAGTGTCTAGGCTTATGGCTACTATGTGAGTGATATGGTCTATCTGTGGTACAGTGGACTCACTAAATTATACGAATTAAATTATACGAATGTACTTGTTAACTCCTTCTGCAGAGCATTGTCTTTTTAACCCATGAAAGAATTGAGATCCAAAAAAACAAGTGATGCATCAGAATCAAAATATGGATACCTGGGTCCCACCCCCAGTCTCCTCTGTTTGGGTCCTAGAAGGCCGGATCCGGGTGAGTTTTTAAAACCCTGACATGTGAATCTAACATAGAAATCTGATTAAAACTATTTTCTTCTGGATAAAAATGGTAAATAGCAGGCCAGGCACAGTGGCTCACGCCTACAATCCCAGCACTTTGGGAGGTTGAGGTAGCTGGTCACCTAAGGTCAGGAGTTCGAGACCAGCCTGGCCAACATGGTGAAGCCCCATCTCTACTAAAAATAAAAAAAAATAGCCAGATGTGGTGGCAGGAGCCTATAATCCCAGGTACTCAGGAGGCTGAGGCAGGAGAAGCTCTTTAACCTGGGAGGCGGAGCTTGCAGTGAGCCGAGATCGCGCCATTGCACCCCAGCCTGGGCGACAGAGCGAGACTCCATCTCAAAAAAAAAAAAAAAAAAAAAGATAAATAGCTAGCCTTCATTTAGATCCACTGTATATTAAGAACTGTAACTGGCTATCAGAATAACCTTGGACTTTCTCTTATTTGATCTTCAACGATTTAGACAGATGTCACCACTTTACAGATAGCCAGGTTGTGCCTGGCCTATGTTATACCAAGAGCTAAAATTCTAATTCAATCAGGTCCGACTCCATGATGTGTGTTCTTTCTACTATACCTCGTTTGCCTAATATGGAAAAGAACAGAAATTAAAGAAGTAACGAGGCCAGCCCTGTGACCGACCACCTATTCCACATCTGGGCACACACTTAGTATTCCGAATGATTGCAGCAAGCATCAACAAAGCCAGGCCTTCAGTGCATGCACTATTAGTAGGGACGCAAGCAGGCAGGGTTAGGGTGGCCGGTTAGTAACAGGCGTGAGTGCACAAATATGATCATCAAATAGCAAAAATGCAATGGCCAATCAGGTGCCTTTTCCTTACCATTAAATATTCCAATCTCAGTTCTTACTGAATATGGCAGGTCATACATCTAAATTATTTAATAAAACGTTTAAATTAGAATACTCTTTGCTAAAATCTATTACTTCAAAAGTAGCAAGATGTAAACTCTTTTCCATGGGAATTAAAACTCTTACTGCTCTCTAGAGTCACAATTAACAGGAGACTCAAAATGATGCCAGAATCCCGGCATCCTCCAGTGCTGGTGCTGAGCTGTGAGAAGCTGGCTGCCAAACCTGCTTGGCAACAATAATCTCCCCCAAGAGTTTATATTAATCCCATGAGCCTTAACCCAACTCTTTAAAACTCTAACTTAATCCAATTCTAAAGGAATAACCTGTTTTCAGGAATTTGTCCATCTAAAGTTTTCTAAGTGAAAACATTATGTTATAATAAAGGACCATCCTGTCCAAGGAAGTTATATTTTTTTCCTCCTTGAAAAACCTAACGGCTATATCCAAGAATGGTTAATAGCAGTATGATCAACACTAGCAGATTCAAAAATTCTAAATGTTGGCCTTCTGTGTACTTTCAATGGCAGGCCAGGGGATTTTAAGATAGTACAGGTTAATTCTGTAATATAAAGATAACTGTGATGACCTGGAATTTCTTGAGTTAGGAGAATTCATAGCATAGATTGGTTTTTAAATAGCTAATATCTTAGGGAAATATACTTTTAATGTAAAATTTCACTTATCTAATAATTACAGCAGCACATTACAGTGTTGTAGCAGATCAATAAAGTAAACTTCTGGTAACAATGGTATTAAAGAATAGGCATACTTCTGGTTTGGAATCTTTCATTTAAAAAGAAGGAAATATCTGAGAATAATATTTTGGTGTGTCACAAGCATGAAACTGTGGAATCGCGCCTGGGCCTCCTCCCTGTTTTGAAGGCTACGCTCTGGTTTTCCACTTCCGGTTCCTACAGAAAGTCGTACTCAGACCTAAGCTGTGAGCACTCCGGCTAAGGGCCCCACAGTAGGCGTAAGGCTCAGGTCAGCTGACTAAAGCAGCTGTACACATAATGAGGGCCTTATGCTGTCCACATGTAGACCCGGCGGCAGACTTGGATGAGCTCACAGTGCCTTTTAAAAAGTTCATATGGTTTAATAAAGCAAAATGGAAGCATGCTAGAATGCAAAGGAATTTAAAAGAATTCTGTGTAGGGTATTTGGGGGAAGATTTTTTTAATTTTTTGGCCTTGAGAATTTAAAATATCAAATTAAGAAGCTCCATGCAGTTAACTTGCACTTAAGATACAAAAATTTAAAATTAAAGCTCAAGACACAAAGGACACAATTTCCTCCCGTGCTGACGGCGCCCGGGTCCTCTTTGGTTGGATGCTGGTGAGCCCATCAGTGACAGGTAGGTCACACGGGGAAGAGTAGACTGCTGGTAAGAGGCTCACCAAAAAGACAAAAGATATTCCTTTTTTTTTTTTTTAAAAGAGACAGGGTCTCACTCTGTCATGCAGACTGGAATGCAGCCAGCAGTGACACAATCACTACCACTGCAGTCTCGAACTCCTGGGCTCAAGCAATCCTCCTGCCTCAGCCACTCAAAGTACTGGGACTACAGGCACCAGCCACTGTGCCTGGCCCCTAAGAAAGAAGATACTCTTCAAGAGCAGCTTAAAATCAGGCTCTTGATCTACTGACATCTACTCCTTGAATTTGAAGCACTGCAGCTCAAAGTGCTTCTGATAAAAATAAAGAAAAGTCTATATGCTACAGAAGGGATGGCCCATTGGCTGTCAGGGCACAGGGTCTAAAGGTTGCCCCTGAGCACACAGTCAAAAGCACATATGCAAAACATGGCTACGCAGGAGCGTGTGGAGCTGTGGGGCAAGCTGCTCGGGCCGTTACAGACCTTAGTCCTGGACACCTTCCCCACCTGTGAGGGCACCAGGAAGGGCATCTATTGGGAAACAAACAAACAAACCAACATGGCTGTGTTGTTTTCAAAGTAAAAGCTCTGATGTCATCAGAAAAAAAGTTATTAACCATTTTTAACATGTGCAAATTATGTATTAAATTCCTGAAAAAAGTTATTAAAAGATATTGTTAGAATCAGTTAACCGTCACCCTTTGGATTAATGGAAACCTTCGGCACATTTTTAGCTGCAAAGTCACTCAATATGGTTGGAAAGCCCAGAGGTATACTTCAGCTTCTTTTCCAAAAGTGCCTCCACTTAGAACAATTTAAACTGGGCTGCTGTAAGAAATTATTTGAGGCCCCTAATTACCATTTTTTAAAACACAGTAGAAAACCCCATATCCATCCTTAAATAAAATAATAAATTAGAGCATTTGGGATGGATACATTTTTGAAATCTTAAATCAAATGTTCATGTTCTAGACTATTAAAAATATGCCATTAGGTAGTCCACTAAAACCTGTACAATCACCACCACTTCAAAACAGGTTCCCACTGGGTCTATAGGAAACTCTTCACTCTTCCCTCCCAAGCCATTAGAGGCCAGCACTCTGATATGACTGTACCCTGAGATCTCCCTTTTGGAGCATTCGATTTGGCATAAATCATGTTTTTTAAAGTTATACCTGAAATTCTGTACTTAATATGAACATTTTTACTCTTAGAAGTACTTAGAAGTACTGTTTAAGCAAAATGAGGAATTCACTAAGAAAGTTCATGCTCGTGTTGTAAAATACCTTCCACCTGGATTAAAACGCATTATGTTTAGAAAAATGTAAACGTACGTAGGTCTTAAACACACAAGCAACTGTAAGTCAGGGGTTGGCAAACTTAAAGCACCAGGTAGTAAATGTTTCCAACTTTGTGGGCCATATGATCTCTGGTCACGACGATCCAACTCCGCTGTTTTAGCACCAATGCAGGCACAGACAATATGTTAACAAATGGCTGTAGCTGTGTTCCAATAAAACTTTAATGACAAAAACTGGCTGCAGGACAGGTTTGGCTTGCAGGTGCAGTTTGCTGACGCCTGGTATAAATCAAAGCTTAAATAAAATGGAGTAGTACTAAAGCAATGTAGAGCAGACAGGGAAACATGGACATTGATGTCCTACTTACCCGTTACTATCTTGGAAGCTGTCGGTGCTGCGTTGGTGAGGCTGCTGTCCCCAGCTGAGTGGACACCAGGAGGATGGGGGGGTGGGGGCACGCTGGGCCGGTTCCTTGGCTTTGGTACAGGTCTCGGTCTCGGTAAGGTTCCAGCATGTGGCTGTGCAGTCTCAAGGTTACCCCCCGCCAGGGTCTGAGGAGCTGGCAGGCTGGGGTTCTGTTTCCCTAGAGGCGGAGTACTGGGGGGCGTTGGAGTTTGGGGAGGGGTGTGAGATGGCTGCTCAAGTCCATGCTCACTGGGCAATGCCATGGGGTTGGGAGGGCCCTGGCTATTGGGCTTGGTGTGCATCAGCGGCGTGGCCTGCGTAGGGGGCTGTGGTGGCGGGTGATTGGGAGCTTGGATTGGAGACAGGCTGCTGGAGTACCTCCGGGGTGCTGAAAGCTGGGAGGGGGCGGAGGGCTGGCCTGGAGGCTGGCCCGTGTGCTGAGTGGGAGGAGAGGGGCTTCGGGTGGGTGGCTTTGGTGACAGACTGGGTGGATGCTGAGATGTTCCTGAAGAACTCTGGCCCCCGGGGTGGCCAGGAGGTGGGTTGCCTGGTTTCGGGGGTGCTGGAGCGGGTTTCTTAACGGCTGCACAAAGAGAGAAAAACACCTTTCAGTAGGAACAGTGAGGCAGCAACCACCACCACCACCGTGGCCAGGAGCCCAAATTTAACCCCGCCAGTAATAAACCACAGCACCACGTGCCTCTGATGAGAGGTGGTCAGGAGGGCACCACACTGTGTCTTCCTCCCCAGAACCCATAACCCTAGTCTAACCATCAGAAGAACATCTGACAAACACAAATTGAAGGCCTTTCTTCAAAAGGCCTGACCAGTACTCTCCAAAACCGTCAAGGCCATAGAAAAGCACAGAAAGAGGAAGAACGTGTCACAGACCGAAGGAGACTAAGAAGATACGATGACTACATGCAATGTGGGCTCCTGGATGAGATCCTGGGACAGAAAATGGACATGAATGGAAAAACTAGGGAAATCTGAATAAAATGTGGAGTCTAGTTAATGGTAATGAACCGCGAGGTGCAGTGGCTCACGCCCGTAATCTCAGCACTTTGGGAGGCCAAAGCAGGCAGATCACTTTAGCGCAGGAGTTCAAGGCCAGCCTGGGCAACGCGGCAAAACTCCATCTCTACAAAAAATAAAAAAATTAGCTGGGAGTGGTGGTGTGCGCCTGTAATCCCAGCTACTCATGAGGCTGAGGTGGGAGGATCACGTGAGCCCGGGAAGTCCAAGGCTGCAGGGAGCTGTAATCACACCACTGAACTCCAGCCTGGGCAACAGAGCGAGACCATTTAAAAAAAAAAAAAAAAAAAGGCGGGGGTGGGGTGGTAGGACTGGCCCAATGTTGATTTCTGAGCTGGGGTAAAGGTACCATGGTCATGTAACACATTAACAACAGGGGAAACTGAGTAAGGGGTATACAGGAACTCTCAGCATTATCTTTGCAACTTTGCTATTCAAAATTACTCCAAACTAACAAGTTTATTTTAAAAATTAAGTACATTCTGCACATTTGAAAGGGCTTTAAAGGTCTATCGTTCTGAAAATTCAACAAGAAGAAAACTGTTAACAGAGGCCACCCGAATAACACGGAAGTGCTGCCCTCAGCCCGCTTAGCAGCCTCCTCGTTAGGTCCCCATGGGAAGACACAGAAAAAGGCAAGAACAGCCAGGAGGGACCACCAAGCAGGACTGGTTCACCCGACGTAACATGACCCCTGACCCCACGCCACCTTCTCCTCGAGAGCTTGATTGGTTTGACTGGTCTTAATAACAGAACTTCTACCAATTCCGGTAGCATTGGAGTTAACAGATATGTCCTGGACAAAAGCATGAACAAATGTGGAAGAGTTGCCTTAGAATTATTTCTCTAAAGAGAGCTGAATCACATCACTCCCCTCCCTACACCAGCTGAGATCAGGGAGGGGAACCTGGTACTGAGGAGGGCAGGAGGAAAACGACAGATCTGGGGCTCTGGTTTCGGGCTGGGAGGGGTAGGGGAAAGGAGAAACTTTAGCCTTTTTCAAACTCTGCTAAGATCCCACTGGTTCCCCAAGAAAAAAGAGAAGGAAATGAAGGAAAGAAATGAACATGTATCACTGTTCACGTATCACCAGTACCAAGTAAGGCCTTTTACATAAATTATGCACATTATAATTTATATAAATTATCTCATTCAAGTCTCATAAGCTCATTGCAGGGCAAGCTCTGTAATCGCCATTTTCACAGAGAAGAAAACTGAGGCTTGAAGAGGGCCAGTGTTTGGTAACAGGCCACACAGCTAGTAAGCGGCAGAACAGAGACTCCTGCCCATGACATGTGGACTCCCTGAATGCTTTTTCCTCGTCGTCCTTCCTCTATTCCTCAGCTGCCTGTTTACAGGTCCCAGAATTCAGGATTAAAAAGGGTAAAGTTTCGGTGGCTCATGCTTGTAATCCCAGCACTCTGACTGGCTGAGGCAGGAAGATCACTCAAGACCAGCCTGGGCAACACAGTGAGATCCTGACTCTACAAACAAATAAACAAAGCGGCCAGGCATGGTGGCATGTGCTTGTAGTACCAGCACTTTGAGAGGCCAAAGTGGGAGGATCACTTGAGTCCAGTGGCTGAAGGTCGCAGTGAGCTATTATCACACCACTGTATTCCAGCATGGGTGAGAGAATAAGACCCTGCCTCTAAAAAACATAAGAAAGGAAAAAGAAAGAAAGAAAAAATAAAGTGTACTCTGCTACACTGGTCTGGAACTTCCAACCCTGGAACTCAGAAACCACCAACCAGCTTACATTAGCTGTACTCCGGAATGCCATCAGCATTTTAAAAAAAAGTCTAGTTTTCTGTTCTAAGCAATAATAATTGCAAATTCACACTGAATAAAAGTTCATTCCTGACATTTAAGGGTGTGAAGAGGATGAGGAGCGGGAGCATGGGAGCAGAGTGTCCGAGGGAGGGGGCTGGGAGAAAGGGAGGCCTTGTCCGAGACCACCTCAGAGGCACAGGGGGTGGGTAAGGCAAAAAGAATCAAACCCATCTTGTGAAGAAGCCTGGGAGCTGTGATTTCCGGAAGCAGGAAAGACTCCGAATGTGGCTATGAGGAAAAGAGTCTTCGTAACCCAAAACCAGAGTCACACCTGGAATCTAGGTACAGAAGACTAACTTCCCTCAAGGATCAGCTGAGATCCTGATAAGATGACGGTGGCTCAGAGAGACAGCCTTAAGAAGGATAAAGTGGGGGTCTGCAACCAAGAAGTGGACCCGAATCTGCCTCCCTGCCTATAATGTGTAGAAATTCCACTAACATTTGTGTCGTGCTTTATAAAGACCATGCTTTCATAGACAGACACAGTGAATTTCATCTATTTTTTTTTTGAGACGGCGTCTTGCTCTGTTGACCAGGCTGGGGTACAGTGGCACAGTCTTGGCTCACTGCAACCTCTGCCTCCCAGGTCCAAGCGATTCTCCTGCCTCAGCCTCTTCAGCTGGGACCACAGGCGTGCAGCACCACACCCGGCTAATTTTTGTATTTTTAGTAGAGATGGGGTTTCAACATGTTGGTCAGGCTGGTCTTGAACTCCTGGCTCAAGCGATCTGCCCACCCCGGCCTCCCAAAGTGCTGGGATTACTGGTGTGAGCCACTGCACCTGGCCTCTCTTTTTTATTTTAGAGATGGGGTCTCACTCTGTTGTCCAGGCTGGAGTGTGGTGGTACAATCATAGCTTACTGCAGGCTCGACCTCCTGGGCTCAAGAGATCCTCCTGCCTCAGCCTCCTGAGTAGCTGGGACTATAGGTGTGTGTCACCACACCCAGTTAATTTTTAAAACATTTTTTGTAGAGGTGGGCTCTCACTATATTGACCAGATTGGTCTCCAACTCCTGGCCTCAAGCGATCTTCCTGCCTCAGCCTCCCAAAGTGCTGGGATTATAGGTGTGAGCCACCATACCCAGCCAGAAGAAGTGATTTTTGAGGTGAGACCTGAATGTTAAGAAGAAACCATGTGAAGATATGGGACAGAATGTTCTGGAAGCCCTAAGGAGGGATGAGCCTACTTCATTCAAGGAACCAAGAGCAGAGTGTGTTGAGAGGGGGAGCGTAAGCTCTGGACTCAGAGGTAGGCCCCACCAGAGCACAGAGAATCCGGGGTGAGAAGTTTGCATGGAAGCCACTGAAGAGTTTAACCAACAGATGACATGATCTGCTTGGAGTTTTAAAGCAACTCCCCTGGCTGCTGGTTGGAGGACTGCAGGGGAGACAGGTGGGAGCAGTTCACATTCTGTCCATCAGGACCTAGAAAGCTCTCAGCCCAATTCTGAGGCAACAGTGGCTCCCAGACTCACAAAGCTGAGAAGTACAGAGGCCGTGGTGGTCTCCAGACAGAGTGAGGGCTTGGGACACCAGGAAAACTGGGAGCATTTCTGCCGAACTGACTTTTTGTTTGTTAAGCTTTGTCACGCCTAAGGAAAAGCTAAATGTCTGTTTTTCTGTTCTCGATTTTTTCCTTTTTCTTTAATGACTTTTCTCTTGAATGACTGAATTTTCTGCTTGCCATTTTACAACAGACATAGAAAAGATCTGGCCGCTAAGCCTCACCATCTGAATCCTCGCACTAACTTACAGAGGTCTGCACAACCTTCCCTGAGGGCAAGGAGGAGGGTGGCTGCTTACCTCGGCGCAGAGTATGCGGGCTGGGCCCCGCAGCACTGTGAGGTGGGCCCAGGGAGAGCTGGTGGGAGCCGGCAGCTGCCTGGGCCTGGTTTTGGCCAGAGGCTATCTGACTGTTGTTTCTCCCTGGTGCTGGCGCAGCTGCAGATGCAGGATCCTTAGGTTTGGGAGGACTAACAGGAGTAAAAGTCCAGTTAGACGTCAGACAATCCCAGCTAGAAAATCTGAACATACTGCACATAAAACATAAGATTCCAAGCAGAGTTTTCACTTCGGCAGGAAGGAAAAGGATCTGAAATTCTAACTAGCTCGCACTGGGCTTATAAAGCTAGTGTTTACTTGGTGCCATATAAAGAGCTAATGTATACTTGGTGTCATTTTTTTTTAAGAGATGGGATCTTGCTATGTTGCCCAGGTTGGTCTCAAATTTCCAGACTCAAGCAATCCTCCTGCCTCAGCATCCTGAGTAGCTGGGACTATAGGACTATTTATTTTATGAGATTCATTGCAACAGACTGGACTCCAACGACTCTGCCACTCCAGTATCATGAGAGAGATCATTTCAAAGCGACCAATGCAGAGTTTTCAGCTCTACTGTGTTTGGACTTAAATTGGGCAGTACTATTAATATCATGAAAGGGCTTTTAGATGTTGACATATATACTATACAAAACTAAGCAAAAGCCACGGTAAAATAAGACTCTAAATGATAAAGGGCTTGATTATTATCAATAACTTGAACTGAAGGAGAACTCAGAGGCTAAATGACTACTCGAAGTCCAGAGTTGGTGGCAGCAGGATAGAGATCAGAACTCAGGCTTCCTGTTTCCTGGCCCAGAACTTTTTATACCAAACATTAAAGCTCCATTTTGTCAAGGTCACCAAAGAGTGAATAACATTAGTGTAATGTACATTAAAATACCTACAGAATACAGTATAAAAAAACAAAGAGCAGGCCGGGCACAGTGACTCATGCCTATAATGCCAGCACTTTGGGAGGCTGAGGCGGGTGGATCACTTGAGGTCAGGAGTTCGAGACCAGCCTGGCCAACATGGTGAAACCCCGTCTCTACCAAAAATGCAAATATTAGCCAGGTGTGGTGGCTCACGCCTGTAGTCCCAGCTACTCTAGAGGCTGAGGTGGGAGAATCACTTGAATCCAGGAGGTGGAGGTTGCCGTGAGTCAAGATCATGCCACTGCACTCCAGCCCAGGGGACAGAGCGAGATCCTGTCTCAAAAAAAAAAAAGCAAAATGACTGACATTCCATTTGTCCTTCTGCGTTAAGACTAATTATTGTCTTAAACAATACATTTAGCCTTGATTAAACAAATTGAATGCACAAGGAAATGAAAATATGTAAATTGGCTGGTCGTGGTGGCTCATGCCTGTAATCCCAGCACTTTGGCAGGCGGAGGACGGAGGATTGCTTGAGACCAGGATTCAAGACCAGCCTGGGCAACACAGTAAGACCTTGTTACGACAAAAAATTTTAAAAATTAGCAGGGCATGGGGGTGCACGAGTATAGTCCCAGCTGGGAGGCTGAGGTGGGAACGTTGCTTGAGCCTGGGAGATTAAAAGGCTGTAGTGAGCCATGATCACGCCACTGCCCTCCAGTGTGGGTGACAGAGCAAGACCCTGTCTGAAAAATAAAACAAGACAAAAAACAGGCCGGGGCAGCAGCTCACGCCTGTAATCCCAGCACTTTGGGAGGCCAAGGCGGGTGGATCACTTGAGGTCAGGAGATCGCGACCAGCCTGGCAAACATGGTGAAACCCCATCTCTACTGAAAACACAAAAATTAGCCGGGCATTGTGGTGCATGCCTGTAATTCCAGCTACTCCGGAGGCTGAGGCAGGAGAATCATTTGAACCCAGGAGGCGGAGGTTGCAGTGAGCCAAGACTGCACTACTGCTTTCCAGCCTGGGCAACAGAGTGAGACTTTGTCTCAAAAAAATAAATAAATAAAAATAAAAAACAAAAACAAGAAAAAGAAAATAAGTGAATTCGCTTAGACTTTTTCCCTTCAAACAAAACAATTTAAACCAAAACAAGTATACACATGGGGTACAATTATTGACAAGCTAACGTGGAGCCTATGACGTGCATGGGAAGCCCTATGAAGTCTGAAGCCTTAATTTTTTTTAATGCCATAGTAAACTTTCCCAAGGTGAGGAAAATGGAATTCAGGAATGCACAAAGCATTCAGCATTCAGTTTAAATGGTGAAACAAGATTCCTATCTCATGAGCAGCTTCACACACAACGAGGCTCTCCCTTGCTCATCCCAAGGACGATGAGAAAGGAGTTCTTCCAAGGCAAATTCATCACTCTGCGTGGGAAATAAACGTGTGGATAAATGGCCTGTCCTTGTTCTGTGTATGTTTATTTTACTTCGTGTGTGATCATTCGGTGTGTTGTGGGTGGCCAGTGCAGAACACATGACAACAGAAATTTTGGCGCACGTGTGCAGAGCTGAGCAGCGGTCAGTTCCAAACCACAAGGGATGCCACCTGAAGTAGCCTCTGGTGGTTATCTGCCTGGATCAGTGTGGAGAACTGAATTAATGTCAATTAAATAAAAATCTCAAGTTCTGGCCGGGTGCAGTGGCTCACACCTGTAATCCCAGCATTTTGGGAGGCCGAGGCAGGTGGATCACCTGAGGTCAGGAGTTTGAGACCAGCCTGACCAACATGGTGAAACCCTGTCTCTACTAAAAATACAAAAAAATTAGCCGGGCATGGTGGTGTGTGCCTGTAATCCCAGCTACTTGGGAGGCTGAGATAAGAGAATCACGTGAACCCAGGAGGGGAGGTTGCAGTGACCCAAGATCTGGTTGCACTCCAGCCTAGGCGACAGAGTGGGACTCTGTCTCAAAAAACAAAAACAAAAACAAAAACAAACTCAGGTTCAAGGTGCCTTTTCTTAAAAGTTGCTATCCATTTGCAGCCCACTCCAGGTGGCTAATCCAAAGGTTAAGCAACTAAAAGAGACTTTTAAGAAAATCTACCAGGCAGGCATGGTGGCTCACGCCTGTAATTCCACTATTTTCGAAGGCTGAGGCAGGAAGATTACTTGAGGCCAGGAGTTCGAGATCAGCCTGGGTAACCTAGGGCATCTATGTTTACCCCATCTTTACAAAAAAATAAAAAAAATTAGCTGGGCATGGTGACAAGCACCTGTAATCCCAGCTACTTGGCAGGCTTACGTAGGAGGATTGCTTGGGCCTAGGAGGCGGAGGGTGCAGTGAGCTACGATCATGCCATTGAACTCCAGCCTGGGCAACAGAGCAAGACGCAGTCTCAGAAAAAAAAAAAAAAAGAAAGAAAGAAAAGAAAAAAGAAAAGCTACCATCTTATTTTCCACCTTGGACTCATGGATCAACTGCCCTACAAGACTGAAATCTGGGGGTGTGGAGTGAAGTCTTAGTCACCTCATGTGCCCAGCACAGTGGCCAGCACATATCAGTGACTTGGTCAATCTGTCTGACTGAATCAATGAATGAATGAGTGAATAAATACTAGTAATACTAAAATTTAACTAACTTGCCACATTCAAATGCTTCCTGGTTAGCACACTGGATGACAACGAACAGATAGTACATAAATGCTGACAGTGTCCATCAAACAGGTGACAGAGGCTTAACACACTATGAGACACCCACTGCCTTCCGGTTTCCAGCACCAAAGCAGTGTGGCAAAGAACGCAAACCAATGTTGCTTTCTTTGGAAAACATAAAAAGAAGCGAGCCATTCATAGTCTTTTTTTCCGTCTTTTGCCAACCAGAGGAGTGAAAGCAAATCTGTTCACTCCATGCTGGAGCAGTTCTTTGGGCCGTGGATGCCGTGCCCAAAGGCCACCACCTGCAAGTAGGTTGGGGCGTCCAGCCTCCACTGCCAGCAGAAGTCGGCCTCCTTACCTGCCGTCACCTGGGCTCGGCCCCTGCTCCAGTATGCCTGCAGAGGAGGGGACAGTCCCACCCCCAGAGCTGCTTTCAGCCCTAGAGCTCTGGGGAGGGGGCTCTGGGCCAGCGGGCGCCACGGTGCTGCCATCTGTAGGTGGGAGTGGCGGCTGGAAAGCAGGGGATATGTGCTTTCTATTTAGAGTGCCACCCCGCCGGTGGGCCTGGAAGTCCATAAGCTTCACACCAAAGCTACACAGAGAGAAGAAACAGTCAACACACCATGCGAGCAGACTACTGAGACAGAAGCCCATCGGTCCACATGAGTTAAAACCACACATGTGGACAGCCACCCAAGTTGCCCAGCATGCATGAAGCGGCAAGAACCAGACTAATGGCCACCCCCGATACCAAGGCAAGCAACTCTACTTGGCTTTGAGCCCGAGCAAAGCCAATGACCCTGGTACTGTTCAAAGTCTTTGATCAATTTGGGTGTGAGCAGCTAGAAGCAAACAGGCAGGCCTCATCTTGAATGACACCATATTACTGTGTTTATCCCCATACTTCCTCTGCCTTTTTTTTTTCCCCCCCTTTAGACACGAGGTCTCACTCCACCACCCAGGCTGGAGTGCTTAGCACTCCAGCGGAGCAATCATAGCTCACTACAGTGTCAAACTCCTGGGCTCAAACTATCCTCCAGCCTCAGCCTCTGGAGCAGCTTGGACTACTGGCACACATCACCATACTGGGATATTAAAAAAATTTTTTTTTTTTTTGAAACGGAGTCTTGCTCTGTCACCCGGGTTGGAGTGCAGTGGCGCGATCTCGGCTCACTGCAAGCTCCGCCTCCTGGGTTCATGCCATTCTCCTGCCTCAGTCTCCCGAGTAGCTGGGACTACAGGCGCCCACCACCACATCCGGCTAATTTTTTGTATTTTTTAGTAGAGATGGGGTTTCACCGTATTAGCCAGCATGGTCTCGATCTCCTCACCTTGTGATCTGCCCGCCTCGGCCTCCCAAAGTGCTGGGATTACAGGCGTGAGCCACCGCACCCAGCCAAAAAAAAAAAAAAAAATTTTTTTTTAGAGACGGGGTCTCACTACATTGCCCAGGCTCTCAAACTCCTGGCCTCAAGTAATCCTCCTGCCTTGGTCTCTCAAAGTGCTGAGATTACAGGCATAAGTCACCACGTCTGGCCCATTTCCATACTTCCTAGTTCCCATCTCAAATCTGTTTTTGGGGAATGAAACAGAAGTCAAGTCCAGAAGGCCTACCAATGGTAGTATAAGGTTATCACACCACACTGCCTCTTAACTGAGATGAGATGTAGAAACAACCCTATGTGCATATGCAAACCCTACATCTGAAAGACACAGAAGGCTGGAAAAGCTGGGCGCGGGGGCTCACATCTGTAATCCTAGCACTTTGGGAGGACAAGGCGGGAGGATCGCTTTAGCTTGGAAATTCAAGACCAGCCTGGGAAACATTGTGAGGCCCTGTCTCTACAAAAAACTTTTTTTAGAAAATCAGCTGGGTGAGGTGGTGTGTGCCTGTCAAGTGGCTGAGGTGGGAGAGCTGCTTAAGCCCAGGAGGTCAAGGTTGCTGTGAGCCATGTTCATACCACTGCACTCCAGCCTGGGCACATAACCCTGTCTCAAAAAAACAAAAAACAAAAAGACTGGAAAAAACTGTTGCTTTGAGGAAGGGAATGGTGGCTGGATGCGGCTGGAGGATAGGGTGGAAGGAAGGCTGACTTTTCACTTAAGCCCACTGATCTATGAACTTAGCAACTTTTTCTTTCAGTTCAGAAAGTAAAAAGATACCTGGCTTCCTGAGCTTGTGCTTACTGGCTCAGCTGGCAGGGAGAATACACAAGGCAGGTAACTGAGAATTGTCTGCCATGTGCTAACTAGACTCATGCACTGTTTTCTGTAACTTAAAATATATGAAAGCTAATTTTGTTACGGGTAGAGTTTGTCATCAGGAAATACTACTGAATGTATGAACGAGGGTTCAGAGAGGTAATATGTCACATAGAATAAATGTGGATTTTAGACGGACAGAATACGGACAGAATAATGCATTCTCCTTTGCTAGGGGTAAAAAGCGCAAAACCAAGAACAAGAAACAAATAAACAGCACACCTCACTATAAGATTGAGCAATTAAAATAAGAGTTTGTTACTTTGTTTTAATGTAAAACTATTTCTAGTAATATTGTTTCATATACCAAGACAAACATATTACTTCCAACAGGCCTCTTAACTGTTAGCATTCCTAGTGAGTACAGTGGCATTTCATCACACACATGGGACAGGTTGGCATCTAAAGGTACAAATCACAAATAGTTTTAATTACCCTTGAAAATCCCATGAATTGCCCATAGAAAAGAGTATATAGAGACACACTGCTTCTCACTAAGTTCAATACTGCCATTTTTTTTTCTTCTAGAAGTGGCAAATACTGAGGTTTTCCCCACTGAACATCAAATTCAGTGGTTGGCTTCCATTGTGGGGCCATTATTACACCAGAAATATGTCTCCTTAAATACCAAATCACTCAACTCACTGTGCCAGGTGGGTGTTCTCACACTCAATTCTGGACAAAAGTCCACACTATCAAACTGACTTTCCTTTCTCTTTCCCCCCACTCAAGGACATTTAGGTCAATTTTAACATGTGTATGATGCTGTCCCACTGCAGGGTTTACCAAGTACACCACCAAGTTAAGCTGGAATACACGTGGAAGAAAGGTTAACTGACAAGCTTTACACACTGACTTTATGGGGAGATCAGTGCTTGGAATGACCTACAGCAGAATTACAGAAACTATCTGGATGCCATCAGCCACAGGTGGATGGGGACCACTCTCAAATCCCAAGTCCATTGAGCGATACCAGATACCATGGGTCTAACAATATATTTACTGCTGGTTTGGAAGTGAATGGTCGAATCATACCTTTCCTTCTTCATCAGGTCTCCTTCCATCACCGCCATGCTAGCAGGCCGCTTCCTCTCCAGGGTCCCCGAGTCAGAGTCGTTTCCAGTGTGGGAAGAGTGATTAGAATTCGGGGTGGTGAGAGGTACAAATGCTTCCGATACATTAAATTCCACCTCTGCAAGAGGAAAAATAAACAAGTGTATGAGACACGGAGCACAGCAGGCGAGGGAGCTCTAGGACACCCCTCATTGGAACGGGGACCTCATTCTTCAGTCCACAGTCCCCACTATTTCAAAATGGAAGCTCCAGGCACTCATGTGGCAAGAATGGTCCATCAAACCAGTGGGAAGTAACATAAGAGGACAAGACAGGGGAAGAAGTATGGGTCAGAATATAAGTTACACAACTTTTGTGCTTTCTCCTTTGTGGAAAAAAAAATACAAATCTAGAATGCAGAAGAGGATGATGAACACAGATCACTTATTTAAATCATTCAAAGAGATATTTAGCTGGGCATGGCGGCTCATGACTGCAATCCCAGCACTTTGGGAGGCTGAGGCAGGCGGATCACTTGAGGTCAGGAGTTCAAGACCAGCCTGGCCAAGAAAGTGAAACCCCATCTCTACTAAAAATACAAAAAATTAGCTGGGTGTGGTGATGTATGCCTGTAAACCCAGCTATTCAGGAGGCTGAGGCAGAAGAACTGCTTGAACTTGGGAGGCAGAGGTTGCAGTGGGCCGAGATCTTGCCACTGCACCCCAGCCTGGGTGACAGAGTGAGACTCCGTCTCAAAAAAAAAAAAAAAAAAAAAAAAGATATTTATACTTTGATATAAAATAAAAATATAAGGCAACATAAAGTTAATGACATTGAAGGCACCCCTCCCGAGGAAATCTCAACTGCACAACCTCCTACTATGCCCCAATGCAGCAGAAAGCAGTTAGAGCGGTCATCAGCCAACCTCCCCAACAGCACTTGGGTTTTCCTGTTGAGAGGGGGGACTGAGAGAGGACTAGCTGGATTTCCTAGGCCGACTAAGAATCCCTAAGCCTAGCTGGGAAGGTGACCGCATCTACCTTTAAACATGGGGCTTGTAACTTAGCTCACACCAGACCAATCAGGTGGTAAAGAGAGCTCACTAAAATTTGCTAATTAAGCAAAAACAGGAGGTAAAGAAATAGCCAATCATCTATTGCCTGAGAGCACAGTGGGAGGGACAATGATGAGGATATGAACATTACTGGCATTCGAGCCAGCAACGGCTATCCTCTTTGGGTCTCCTCCCTTTGTATGGGAGCTCTGTTTTCACTCTATTAAATCTTGGGGAAAAAAAAAAAAGGCAACATCAAGTTTATACTGCCTCTAGCAGTTTTTGCAAGACTCATTTCCTCAAAGGAAATCTTGAGCAGAATGCTAGCCTTCATTCATCCATCCCATCTTCCAGGGGCAACATACAAGAATGAGGCGTGACTCTTGATGGTGACAAAACAGTGGTGAAGAAAAGATGGGTATCGTGGGGCTTGCACTGACAGGACATGGCAGCAGGGCTGCTCTGGGGGAAGTAGGTGTGGGGGATCCAGAGTTCTAACACTTGCCTGGCCAGCATCCCCAAAGGGGGCCATGGGAACCTCTGTGGATCTCAGGACTGCAACAAACCTAGTTTGAAAATCTATTGCCAACAGGATGAAATACTAATTTCCTGACACAGCGAACTCAGGCCTTCACTAACTGACCCTGATCAACCTTTTCTGCTTTATCTCCTACCTATGGGCAAATCCATAATCTAGCAAGAGAAACAAAAAGCCCTCTTCCAAGTGAAAACCGCCTGCATATTCAGCATCACCTCTTCTAAAAACCAATCCCTGGCTCCCTTTTCCCAGCACCTGAGTTTGTCAAATCTTTCTCTATCCACCTATCTTCTAATTTACCATGTGTTAGAATTTATCTGTTCACGTGGCTGTCTTCTCCAGTGGCCGGAGCTCCCCCAGGGAAGGCAGCATGCTTCACCAGCAAACATATGGCACCTAGTGGGTATTCAACGTACACTGACTGGCTATGTTTTAGTGAAACTGAGTGAAAGACAATACAATATGATTACCATTATGTCAAAATACAAATGTAATGAACAAAGGCTGGAAAGAAACGTGAAAAATGTGAGACCAATTATATAATCATGAAGAAGGATCACAGATGTATTTTCTTCTTTAAGAAGACTTTTTTGTACGATTATCACATTGCTTTGGCAGTCAATGAAACTGAAATGACAATTACCTTCAGGGAAGAACCAGTCGGCGTGCTGAATGATGGGTTCAATCACCGCAACCACATGGACGGATGTGGCTGCTGCCATTTCAGCAAGTGTTCTGCAAAGAAGTTCACAAAATTAAAATACTTCCCATAGGCAGCATCTAATTTCTGCTGGTTGTGTCAGGGCAATTCAATTATTTTTAAAGGATAAAATATTTAAAAGATGCACAAATCAAATTCACTGGCTGGGTGCGGTGGTTCACACCTGTAATCCCAGCACTTTGGGAGGCTGAGGCAGGCGGATCACAAGGTCAAGAGATCGAGACCATCCTGGCCAACATGGTGAAACCCCATCTCTACTAAAAACACAAAAATTAGCCGGGTGTGGTGGTGCATGCCTGTAGTCCCAGCTACTCGGGAGGCTGAGGCAGGAGAATCACTTGAATCCGGAAGGTGGAGGTTGCAGTGAGCTGAGATCACGCCACTGCACTCCAGCCTGGTGACAGAGTGAAACTCCATCTCAAAAAAAAAAAAGATCAAATTCACATGGTCCTGGTCTATGAACGTGGCTGTGATCACCCAGGAAAAAATGACTCTGGCTTGTGAGTCATTTTTCTGCACTTCATCTGCACTGTGACAACAACCACAGTGTCCGCTACACACAGACCCTGGTGGGGCAGTGAAACCAGTCAGTCACCAATACTGTGTCAAATGCCGGTTTTAAACTGGTCTGGAACTGGTCTGGAACGAGGGTTGCACTTTCCCACTGGAACAGCATCACACATGGGTGGTAGCTATGTTCTAAGACTAAAGATCACTAAAAAGCAATTTTGCTTATGATGTCACCAAGAACATGCATTGGTACAGCGTGCCTTTTATTATGTTGAAACCTGAGCCTCCCACTCACACTTAAGGTCGCCATATATGTGGACTAGTCTCAAGATGAGTGTTCAGATGTTAACAGTGTCTGATGCCAAGGCTCAAAAAGAAGAAAATAAGTAGGCCAGATGCAGTGGCTCACACCTGTAATCCCAGTACTTTGGGAGGCTGAGGCAGTTAGGCCAGGAGTTCAAGACCAGCCTGGGCAACATAGTGAAACCCCGTCTCTGCAAAAATTGGCCAGGTGTGGTGGTGCACATCTGTACTCCCAGCTACTGGAGAGGCTAAGGTGGGAGGATCGCCTGAGCCCAGGAGGCTGAGGCTGCAGTGAGCCACGATCACGCCACCGCACTCCAGCCTGGAGAACAGAGCGAGACCTTGTCTCAAAAAAAAAAAAAAGAATAAGAAAGAAAGAAGAAAAAAATAAGTAAGAGTTATTATCACTGCTGTCAAGCTCCTGTTTCAGTTGGGAGTCAGAACACCACAAAAGCAAACCACTTGCAAAAGGCCTGACACTTTCTGGCCACCTACCAGGCTGCAGGTTCTTCATCTTGCTTAATTTTTACAACAACCTATTATGAGGCCTACATGAGGACACTGGGTTCCCAAGCTCGATCCCAGGTCTGACTGCCTCAAACCTCTCCTCTATCACTCTGGCCTCTCTTCCCACCAGAACATTTTCACCCACTTTCCGACCAAGTAAAACTTCTCGCTCCTTTCAAATTCCAGTTTAAAATTGACGCTCTGCCTGTAAATGATCCTTCCCAGCCTTCCTCCCACACAGAGTCTGATCAGTCTGTGTGCCTTAGAACCCTGCCAGATTAGCGTGGCACTGTCCTCTCACATCCTTTCCCACTTTTCTTTTAGAAAAGTACTGGAAAGCTAATAAGGGTTAATAAGGACACAGGCTCTGTACCCAGAACCTGGGCACACCAGTTCCCTGTGTGTGACCTTAAGCAAATTACTTGTTCCTTCTAAGAGTCCGTGTCCTCATCTGCAAACACAAGGACGACAGTACAAATGTCAATGATTCAACCTCGATTTGCTATATATTTCTAATCAATTTCTCCCTTACGTCTTCTATTCAAAAGGTTACTTCTGATTACTAAATGAGATCATCACAATGCCACCAACAGAGTGGCAATTTCCCAGAAGCTTTCTAGCGGATCCCCCGACCCCTCCTCTATTCAATCTGTATTTCACAATGCCAATAAAGTTATCTAAGTGCAACTTAATCAAGACATTCTTCTGCTTAGGAACCTTAATGAATGACTCCCCACCAGCCAGAAAATAAGTCCCAGACACCTCAGCAGGATGTGTGAGGACCCTGAAGGCTCTGGCCTTCCCAGTCACAGCCTCACGTTCTTTGTCTTCAAGATTCACGAGGCTATGTGACACACCCGTAAAGATGGGAACCAGGCCCTTTCAACAGTGTCTTGGCCCATCCAGGTCCTGGCTGTAGGAAACTTATTAACTCATCAAGGTACAGCTCCAGTGCCATTCCCTAGCCAGAGCTTTCCCTGACTCCTCAGCCTGAATTATGTTTCTTTACCTCTGTTGCTGTCATACTTGATAAAGGGGGCAGAATATGCCATCCCAAAATATGCCCCTTAGGCATAGGATTATTTTGAGTTAAAGATACTTGAAAATCATCACATGCAAGAAGAGTGCTCCGACCTTCCTTTTTCATCCTGAAAGCAGGAGATAAACTCCCACGTGAAGGATGCCCTCCCTCTATATACCAGGAGGAAAGAAACATTCCTAACACCAGGGATGGGAAGGCAAGGCTGACGGAAACCTCCATACACAAATCTTGCTGAACGAATCCTTATCTTCCTAGTCACTTCTCCATAACGAACTGCCCTAGCCCACACTCCTTTGTCTGGTCATGTTTTCACAATTCACTTTTCGTCCAACTTCATATATAAGCATTTGGCTCTTAACTGCTTCTTTGGATCTTCATTTTCCTATGGGAACTCCAATGTCAGACATGACACTGATGCTTCTAATTCATCATAATATACGTGAAGTCTCATTCCCAGTAGTCCCAAGTTACTCTCCAAAGTGATGTGTTTTTTTTTATTAATGTGCTAAGTAGGCGTGAATTAAATGACTTCTCTGCTGGGCATTAAAATGTAAAAATCTGTATGCTTTCTCCTGTTAGCCTGTCTTACGTCCATTTAGTGCTCAGGTCCAGCCAGACACCCTAAGAGGGTGGAAGTAAAGTGCTACCCCTCCTACAATATCATATACACACACACGGATATGTGTATTTTTCTTATCACTGTACTGTAGCCACTGAGCTATCTGACTGCCTAAGAGCAGGGGCATTTTGAGAACTGGGACAATATCTCACACATCTTTGTGTCACCATCAGCTGGGACAGCACCCAGCTCACAGCTGTGTTCCAAGAATACTGGCTGAATGAGAAAACCAATTTCAGAACACCTCCAATTGATCTTAAACTAGAATGTGTAACCCGAGTTACATTTCTGTGCATCCCGACAGGTGGGAAAGAAGAAATTCAAAGGATGTGATACAGAGGAAGATGACTTACCCTTCATTTTTGGCCCATAACAAGTTAGGGCCTAACACAATCGCAATGTTGCTGGGAGTCATTTTATTCACATCGCTGGTCTGAGCAAGCTTTGCAAGGAACTTGATCAAATATCTAGGGGTCAAAAGAGAAGGGGAGGGTTTCTCCTCTGAAATAGCTGCTGGAATAGTCTCCTCCTGCCCAGGTGCACAATCCCAGGTTGCTCAGGTGCTAACTGCAGAGAGTTCCTAGATCAGAATCTGGCTCAGGTGAAGCATTTTATACAGTTCTTGTGTTCTTTGCTTCAGATAACAGACTCATTAGGGCTTGGAAGAAGAAAATAGGTTAAGTATAAATCTCAGCGATTTGAACCTCTATTGGCTATATATTTCTAATCAATTTCTCCTTTATGTCCTACCTATTCTAGCCCTATTATGAGTTACAATGTGTTAATAGTGAGCTCAATATTTTTTAATACAAAAACTGACATAGTTATATTGCTTAAAGGAAACTGTATTTGAAAATACTTTATGTTGGAATTATAAAAATATCCAATTATGTATACATACATATATACATACATAGCTTATGTATAAGTACAGTCGTATAAAGGCAAAAACGTAAGAACAACCCGACTACCAATAGGGAGTTGGTTAAATAAATCACAGTATAGCCATACAGTGGAGGATTATGCAACCATATTACACAATGTACTGAGAAGGAAAAATCTCCAAGATGTATTAAGCAAATATGTTAAGATGTCAAGCAAAAAAGGTGAGGGGGAGAATGAGGTATACAATATACACTACCATTTAGCTTTTTAAAGAAGGGGATGTGAGAGAAAAAATATGTAGGCAAGTATGTACACATGAATGTATTTGCTTACATCTACATCAACTCTTGCCGAGAGGACATATAAGAAACTGTAAACACCGGATGCATCTCAGGAGAGGAACTGGGTGGCTGGGGTATGGGAACAGGAGAGAGATTTTTCATTGCATACCTTTTGAATTTTGAATTTTGAACCAAGGGAATGTGCTCCCTATTCAAAAATCAATTAGTAACAATTACAGAGTAAAATTAACAAAATAAAGAGCCAAACTCCCAACATACTAAGAAGTACTGAGTTCTCACCATATACACTGAATAGAGGAAGAGGATCTGTAATTCCAAGCTGGGTGAGTTAAATTAATCAAAGGGAATATTTAAAAGGGAGTACATAGTTTAGCTTAGTGGCAGAGCCCAAGGCTGAATTTAAGGACAAGTAACATTCTAGACATATCACCTGTAAAGTATTTTGGTTAGTCACTTAATGTCACTCAAAACCAAACAAAGAAAATTTTCTAGTAAGTCCTCCCAGAAAATTTTTCTTGTTTGGTTTTGAGTGACTTTATTCCCAGGGGCCACTTTTTCCTTTTCTCTATACTTGTTCAAAGTTACATATTAAGTCAAAAGGAAAACGGAAGTTACATTACGGAAATTTTGTCCCATGGTAAATTTTCTTAAAGCCATAGTTATTCCACAAAGTAATATATAATCTCCATTCCTTGAAATTTTATTTAGTAAGATGATTTATACTTTAAAATAAGTAGCATATATAAAAGACATTACAGAATGTACAACTATTGATTAATTTTGCCTTTAATATACTGGACGATTTGGACTCCAAACCCAACATACAGTCACTCAAACTTTTCACAAGAAATTTATTGCTAATGGCTGTAGTGGGAAAATGATAAGCCAACTTATGTATTAATGTCAGGCATGATACTGATGCTTCAGATTCATCATAATATACATGAAATTCCATTCCCAGCAGCCCCAAGTTACCCTCCAAAGTGATGTGTTTTTTGTTGTTGTTGTTTTTTAATGTGCCAAGTATGCCTGAATTAAATGACTTCTCTGCTGGACATTAAACCTATCTTTACTCCAGAGTCACTGTAGCTCAATCATACATACCTAAAGTTAACAAAATTTTGTGGTGGCAACTTCTGACATGTTCTCCACAAGTCTTGAAGTTTTTTGTCTTGATCCTGCACACTGAGAAAAAAAAAACTTTTAAGTATAACAATTTATTAAAACACTGATTAGTAATACCTTATTAATATGCTATATTAAAAGTGAGGCCTCCATTTTGACAGAGAAAGCACACTTGGAAAACAGCCCAGACTATGGAAATAAACAGATTTAGAGTCAAATACCAATTAACTGTTTAACTCTGAGCAGTTGGTTAACCTTCAATCTCTGGATGTGCAAAACAGGGTAAGGGCTGATTCTGCTGAACGATTTTAGGCGTCTGCCGAACGATTTTGAGGTGGTTTTGTGGCAAAACCACCTCCACCAATGCTTGGCAGAGAAGAGACAAGACACTACTGAAAAATCTGTCTAGAAAAAGTGTGTACTGACGTATGGAGCTTCATGGAGCCCAAATTCTCTTACCCTCAAGCAGCCCAGCCACAGATCAGGGGACTGAGCCCCCAGGCACCCAGACTTCTGGGCCTTTCCTCGCTTGCAATACTGCACACCGGCTACACACTAAGCAGCCCATTTCTGTTGTGAAGCAACTGTAAGAGCTCTTGCCCTCCACGGGCGCAATGTACAAACTTGCAGAGACATAAAAAAAAGGGGCAGGGAGGAGCCTGTAGAGCACGGCCAACTCTGCCGTCTAGGGACCAAGAGTGAGAGGGGCCTCCATAACACCACTTTGAACTCGAAACATCCTCCAGAATGTAACCATTCTGGAGAGTATGGATAGGGATTAAACATAATTACACTTTAGAGGCCAGTCAATGTGTCACTGGGATGGAAGCCCATCATGTTGACAATTCTCAACTATAGAATCAATATACCAACAGACAGACATCTTCTTTTACAAGTTTATTTCCTTGTAATAAACAAAGAAATCTTTTATTTCTAGGCTACCCAATAAAAGAAATCCCACAACTCTCCTTCACCTAACACTCATGTTGGATTCCACTGAATTCTGTCCCATAAACATTAATACCGACAGTAGGCTGGGCCCCAGGCAGGGTTCCAAAGATATGTGATGACTAAGAACTTGTCTCTGAACTTGAACACCTTACCATCTACCAGGGACAAAGTCTCTCATTTCACAGTTACAGAGAAAAGCTCAAATGTGGCTGAGCGCAGTGGCTCATGCCTGTAATCCCAGCAGTTTGGGAGGCCGAGGCAGGCGGATTGCCTGAGGTCAGGAGTTCGACACCAGTCTGGCCAACATGGTGAAACCCCGTCTCTAATAAAAACACAAAAAAATTAGCCAGGCATGGTGGCAGGCACCTGTAATCCCAGCTACTTGGGAGCCTGCGGCAGGGGAATTGCTTGAACCAGGGAGGTGGAGGTTGCAGTGACTCTAGACTGTGCCACTGTACTCTGGCCTGGGCGACAGAGTAGGACTCCATCTAAAAAAAAAAAAAAAGGAAAAAGAAAAGAAAAGCTCAAATGCAAGACCTGGTTAAAGAGACGAGTGATGGACTCACATCCACTGAAGTGTAACTGGTCAGAAATAAGTGGCTCTTATTTGATCATGGCCTGCCTGAGGGGAACAGGGGCAGTGTCCGCAGACGGGGAAGAGGACAGAACAGAGGTGACATTTGCTCCTCTTCCCTTAGTGGTGCGGAGTAGGCACTCTGGAGAGGAGGGGAGTCAGTACCATGAGAAAAAAGACGAGGAGGTGGGCTGGCCAGACAAACAGAAGCCTCTAGGCTTTTAAAACAAAGCTGTCCTGCTTAAAACCAACTGTTCCTAGACAGACTGAAGCTGAGGGTGGAGGGAAAGGGACAAAGAAGAGGAATATAGCATTTGGGTGTCTGGTTTGAATTCTACCTCTGCCAATTACTTGCTACTATCCTGGCACTGTTCCCTCCCAAGCCTCGGTTTCCTCTCTGTAAAATGTGGATCACATCATCATCTGCCTTTTATAATGTTAATTAAAGATTACAGGAGGTAATAGCTACAAAGATGAGCACAGTACTGAGCACAAGAAAATGCTCAGTAAATATTAATGTCATCATTATACAGCTGACAACACAGGATCCATTTATATGCAATTTTTTCAATAAACACATAGGAAAATTCCTGGAAATCTGTGAAAAACTCACAGATGAACTGCCACCCCTGAAACAGCAAGACCAACCCCTTCACTTTCTCTGCTTCCTCAACCTACTCAACATGAAGACAACAAGGATGAAGACCTTTAAGATGATCCACTTCCCTTTAATGAATAGTAAACAGATTGTCTCCTCCTTACAATTTTCTTAATAGTACTTCTTCTCTAGCTTACTCTGTTGTAAGAATACAGTATATAATACATACAACATACAAAATATGTGTTAATTGACTATGTTATCAGTAAGGCTTCCAGTCAACAGTATGCTCTTAGTTGTTTTGCGGGAGTTAAAAGTATTACTTGAATTTGCAATTATGTAGTGTATCAGTGCTCCTAATCCCCATGCTGTTTAAAAGCCAACTGTATCACTGCACAGGTAAGTTTGCACACAGCTCAAAAGGTACACTGCCACGGGTCAGTATGACCCGTATCCCCAGTTACGGGGCTTTCTTCAACATAAAGGGGGCTAGAAATTTGCAAATCCATTAATATGGATACCACTCTATGTCTTCATCCACGTAACACAAATTTAAACCAATGCCTAAGTGGTGACTTTCCTACACTAATAATTATATTACTCGATATTTTTATTCTAAACATAAATAAGAGCTGAGATATGTATTATTTAACAAATATGCTATTTTAATGTTATGACCCCTGAGAATAAAATGATTTACAAATAGGGCACAATATCACATCATTCCCTTTACAACTCTGTGTTCTTTAAACTTACCTTGCAACTTGTGTCCATTCTTCATACAGATTAAAAGTCATCAAAGGTTCAGGCAATTCCCGTAAATAGGATTTTAAAGCACCTGAAATCATTAACACTCTCTTTGAGTATGAAAAAGGAGTAAGGCTAAGAATCTTGGGACATATTATTTTGCAGATCGAAATGATCTCAATTACAATCTTCCAAGGTGTATACAACAAATCCTAAGTTGGCAAGAGTGGTTAGAGACTAAAATGTTCATAAAACAAATTCAATCTCTTGCAAAAACAAAGTTTTAAGAGATTAATTACTAATAAATTTAGTTTTAAAGTCATTCCCTTAATAGACATAATTTCTCTGGGTAGATATGAATTTGGTGGGGGGAGACTGTGAAAGATGGGAAGAAAATACAAGTATGTCTCCAAATATTTGCATTATAAGCTACTTCCTCCTTTAATCATCCAGAAAATAGAAAAACAAAAAGGAGTAAAGAAGACACATGTGAACATTACATTAATATACACTAAGGAATTGTAGCAAGAGGCCACTTTGGTTTTGTCGCTTAAACCTATAATTGAAATGGGATTTTAACTGATCATCTGAGACAGAACCCGCCCACTGCCTTGAGGGTGACTTGATTTGCAGACAGTCTTTGGCGCTCACCTGCTACAGCATGGGGGTCTGAATAGAACTCATCCAGGTGAGAAGTAGAACAGTCCAAAGCAGCTTTCAGCTTCTTTAACTTGGAGGCCCCAGCCCCGATCCGGAAAAGGCCCTAAAGATAATGAAAAGCCATCAGCATCAAGAGCAGGTTGGGAGACTCAGACTAAGCAGCAGTGTGTTCTGATGGGGATTCCCCGACTTCTGCTCAGCTCTTATCTATGACGGCGGTGTTACTGCCTGCCCTACAGGGCTGTCAGGAGGAACGACGAGGGCCAAGCATGTACCCAAGCACAGGGACAGGCAGGAAGAAAATTAATCTAGGCAGGATTTCTTGACCTCAGTACTACAGACATTTTCGGTTGGATTATTTTTTTGGTGGAGGTTGTCCTGTGCCCTGTAGGATGTTTAGCAGCATCCATGGTGATATGGTTTGGCTCTGTGTCCCCACCCAAATCTCATGTGGAATTGTGATCTCCAGTGTTGAAGGCAGGGCCTGGTGGGAGGTGACTGGATCATGGGGGTGGATTTCCCCTTTGCTGTTCTTGTGATAGTGAGTGAGCTCTCACAAGATCTGGTTGTTTGAAAGTGTGTGACAACTCCCCCTTTGGATGCGTGCTCGCTTTCTCCCTCCTGCTCCACCACATCAACACTGTGCCTGCTTCCCCTTCGCCTGCCGCCATGACTGTAAGTTTCCTGAGGCCTCCCCAGCCATGCTTCCTGTATAGCCTGTGGAACTGTGAGTCAGTTAAAGCCCTTTTCATCATAAATTATCCAGTCTCAGGTAGTGCTTTATAGCAGTGTGAGAATGGACGAATACACATGGCCTCTATCTACTACGAGATGACAGTAACACCTCCTCTTCTCAGTTGTCATGATCAAAAATACCTCCAGACCTTGATAAATGTCTCTTGGGGAGCAAATCTGGCCCCAGACAAGAAGCACCAACCTAGGCTGTTAGAAGGGGAGTGGCTGGAAGCAAACACAAGGAGGGCTTCCGGGGTGTTCTTTGATCTGAGTGCCGATTCCATGGGTGGGTTTAGTCATGCAAGCGCATCAAGCTGAACACTTATGATACGTATGCTTTTCTGTGTGTATGTTCTATTTCAATACAAAGTTTTAAAAAGGGGGAAAAAAAGTCTTGCATTTTGATTCTGGCTCTGACCTGGTATAAACTCCCTGCATGCTGACTTCCTTATTTATACAAGAAGAATAATAAAAACTCCCTTATTTGGTTCATGGGGGGTTTGGGGTAAGAATCCCGTAAAATTAAGTATGTAAATGATCCCCACCCAAAAAAACTGCATAATACTATGCAAACTAAAGCTCATTAGCCCATTGTAGTGCGTCACGAAATCTACTGTCACAAATCACAACCAGAGTTTTAAATGAAACAATCAAACAGGACACAAAGAGGTCAGGGTGTACCACAAGCAGGAAAGATAAATATTGTTCTGTAAAACCTTTGTTTCATTCACAGACAGATAGGTATCATAAGGACCAGGATTGCAATTTAAAATATGGATCATGGTGACAAAAGCTTGAAAGCCACTGTTCTACACAAAACAGACAATGGCTGTATAACTAAGGGAGGGGGCAGACAGGGGGCTAGTGGGGAGCATGGTGCTCTGGGCAGAAAAAGGGGCACGGAGACTCGGTGCACAGGATCACGAAGCTCCCCTCACCTCCTCCTTCATGCCTGTCTCCAGGAGCAGCATGACACAGGCTTCAATGGGCAGCGCAATCTCGCGCCCGCTCCTCTTCAGGTGTTCTTCCAGGGGAGTCCCAAAGGCTGGTTTTTCCGCCCACTTATCTAGAGCAGCAAATTGTTCAGTTAGACACCCAACAAATTCACGGCATTACCAAGCTATTTTCTCCCCAAACTACCCAATGCACTTTTCTAGCACACTGGTAGCTGAGGCTCTGGGAACAGGGGATACATCTGTTCTATTTGCTTTTGTTATTTGCCATCTACTGGAGCAGCACAAACTATGGACCAGGCTGGGGCAGTTACTTGCGGAACAGAAGCCTGAGCACACCTAGATGGCACCCAACTCAGGCTGCCTAGAAGCTGCAGTGGCGCGCTGCACCTGCACCACGCTTCAGTAACACATGCCAGTGGGTTTAGTGGGCTGCCTTGCACTAAAAGGAAGAATCGCCACAGCATACTGTTTCGTTGAAATTTATTCTAGCCATGCAAAGCCTTCTAGCTAGAGGACAAGAAATAGACTCTTTGCTATGCAAAAATGGAAATAATCTCTGAAAATTTCAAACACAAGTTAAGCATCTGTCATACAAGACTGGAGATGGCCAACGTGAACTCTCCACGTTGCAGTTACTCTCCATCAGATGCGACATCTCCACGGCATGCAGTGCTTCAGAACGCCGCATCCCCAAACAGCTCCAAAAAATTCTGAGTGGAAAGAAATGCAGTATCTGCAGCCCTAAAGCAGCTGAAGGCTATGCTGACAGCAGGAAAGCCATATTTTAGATTATCTTCAGGTCATGAGGCAGCTTAGCACAAATACAATGAAGCAGTAAAATAGAAAGAAGAATTTAGAGAATGGACATATGAATTAGAATAAGAAGTATCTGGTTGAGTTTGGCCTGCCTGTGCAAGCTGCAGAGATACAGTGCTATCTCAGCAGCTCGCAGAAGCAAAGGAGGGCAAACCAGTTGTGAAAACTGCTCCAGGGAGAAACACTTAAATCTTTCCAACAACGGGAAGGGTTCATGTCCTTCTCTGCACCTTTACTGGCCACTGGTCCCTTAGCAGCTCTGCTGTTGGAAAGCTGGGTTGGAAGAAGGCAGTATGTACTCCGGTGTGTCCTCTTACACTCTCTCCTATGTCACAGCAGGGGTAGAGGCCCTCATGATTTGCATATGGGGAAGGAAGAAAAATAAAATCCTGCAAAACCATAGAACCGAGAGCTTGTGGAAAGGTAAAAATGGATGGAAAGAGCAAGAGGTAAAGACTGAAGAACGGGGTGAGGGAAAGGGAGGTGGGGGACAAAAATGAGATGCAGGCCACCAGCCACTCTCAGAATTGTGGGGAGCCCAGCACCAGCCAGGGGAATTTCCAACAGAAAATGCATCCGGGGGTCTGGACCTTCCCAGAGGTCAAACCTTACCTGAAATACTGTGTCCCTTTTATCTAAAGCAATGATTCACAACACAGGCTGAAAATGGCCACGTGAGCCTTCCACTAGGGGATACACTGGAATCACCCAGGGGAGTTCTGCAAATGACACCCGCCACTGCCTTCACCACAAGCCCAATCCTGTAACGTTAAGGGGTGGGCATGCTTCAAACCTCTGCTAGAACTTTCTAGTAAACACTGGACAGAGTGGACCCCACCCCCAAGCCTGGTATAATGTTGGCAGAGGGTACAAGTGAGAACCACTGACCTAGAAGCAAGTCATAAGGCAAACTCCACCTCAGGCACTGGCCTCTTAAACAACAGACCTACTATGTGCCAGGTACGGCAGGAGACATGTGAAGTTCACAGAGATTCCCCACCCTCAGGGAGAGGGCAACTGAAATGTGAAGGGAATATAAGACAAACATGTAAACACAGAACAATCAGTAACGAGACAAGACATATTTGCTAAGTCATGGCAGATCGATGGTATAGACGAGGGTCGCAAATGCAATTGTCTAGAGGAGCCAGTTAGGTAGCACAGGGGCACGAATCCTGCTGGGAGTGCACGATCTGCCCACAGGCGATAACCACTCCTCCGCACCAAACCAACACTGCCACGAGGGAAAGCAGAGCCAGGGTTGCCAGATGTTCTCAACTTTCAGGAGAAGCCAGAAATCAGGATTGTTACATCACAGCATCTGGTTTTCACATGATGACAACCAACTTTTAACAATTTTTAAAGATACGGCTGTTTGTGACTTCTGGTGTAGACAATAAACGTTGGCACAAAGCAGGAGGCAAAGTGTTTGCCACTGGCTTCAGTTGTCAGAGAAGGCTTCTCAAAGGAAGTGAGGTTGGAGGGGGTCTCCTGAGATGGACAAAGATTAAACAGGCTGAAAAATGGGCTAATGTATCTTTGTGAGGGGCAATCGGCTGAGAAAAGATCAGGAATTGTGAGTCTGGGAATTTACATCTTATCCCAAGTTCACGCCAAGGCCGTGAGAGCATGGAGCAGAGCAGGCCAGGGGAAGAAAGGATGGCAGAGCCTAGGGCAAAATGGACAGAACTTAGGCACTGGATGGAAGAGAGGAAGGAGAAAAGGGTTCCAAGGTTAAGATCTGAATCACTTGGAGAAAGGTGATACGAGGGAGACAAGAAGGGAGAAAGGGACAGTCGGTGTGGGGAGAGAACTAGTTTGCTTTTTGAGTTTAAGGTGAGGGCTGTTCATCAGAGGGAACCGATGCTTAGGATGCTGCAAGGATTAAAATGCAGGTAAGAGGCAAAGCTGTCCAAGTGAAGGGATTTCTAGGGGAAAGGGCGCGAGGAAGTGAGGGTGGGAGAGAAGAACGAAGGTGCAAGGACTGGACCTCAGAAAGGCTGACTTCTGGGTAGAAGACAGAAATAGAGCAATATATAATCCTTCTTGAAGAAAATGTTTAAAAAGAAATGGAGCAATGCAGAGTCCTCACAATGAAAGAAGAAGTCAAGTGGTGCAAGGAGATAAACGTGAACAAAGAAGAGACGGCCCATGTTGGGTCAAATGCCAGGATCTGACGGGTGGTTGCTGCTCCTTTGAAAACTGCAGTATGCTGTGCTCTTTTTTCCTAAACAGCAGAGTGACTGGGGGTAGACACAAGACTGCAAAGGACTCAGGGGTGGGAAGGTGGTAAGAAAATACAGGTGGCAGGCAGGAAGGGGTCATCTGAAGTGCCCACCAGAAAAAATGAAGGAAAACCAGATTAAACGGGGTGTTGTGTTCAGGTCAGGAAGGCACCAGATTACCACCAACTGACCATGAATGTGACAACGGAGTCCACGGAGGTGAGGGGATCGTGGGGGGAGGTCACACTTGTTTTATATAGTAAGGACAAGCTAAGTCTTTCTGAAAACAGAGAAGACAGCAAGGAAAGAAGAGACAGAACTAAGATGAGAGGCAGGCGCAAGGACAGGCAGCGGTGGGAGGGGTTGAACTGCAACTTCATGAAGGGTGACCTCAGCAAGAAGGATAAATCGCACTTCCTCCACGGGCTGTTCCATCCTAACCTCTTCCCTGCCCCATCCCCACTCTCCATGGCTTCCTGACATATTTCTCTAGGGAAAATACCCTTGGGAAAAAAATAGAATGAGAGTTCTAGTCTAGCCTGGGCAACAGAGTGAGATCTTGTCTCTTAAAAAAAAAAATGCTCAAAAAATCCAATCTTCTTGTTTTTCCTCTTGTTAATCACCTCTTTCAAATCAGACTCTAAGTCACTCAAAGGTTACAATAATGATCTGTCTACTATTTTGTCCTATGCGGGGCCCAGCCCACAGCAGATATCTCATAAATATATTTTCTGGATGCTCTGAACTTGCCCAGCAAGAGTCAGTCCCTAGGAAGGTGGGAACATTTTCCAGAGACCTCATTCCTTTGCACTGTGACTCAACGCCATTCTCCATGAACTAGGACTCTCGATTATTTGGGAAGGCAAGGGCAATGGCTGAGAATTTCAGACACACTGCATCTGAGAATGCTGAAGAGGTGACTATCTGATCAGTCAAGACATAAAATTTTATAATTCCATAATCCAAAAACTTTCAGGCACAAAGCCAGAACCTGTGAGGATCTCTTAGAACTCAGGGGGAGAAGAAGTGGCATTCTTGAAGGTGCTGGTATGTATGCACCTCCACAAACAACCCCCCCGCAACACACACACACACACACGCACGCTCAGTCTCAAAATCACGAAGTCATCCTACTCAGCACCTGGCCTGATCCCCTGTCAGCTCAACACCAGTGGTTCTGCAGAGGAGCGTAAGCTCCAAATGTCAGGCATATAGCACAGGTGAAATAGATCCAAGGATGGCCGAGCAATTTCTGACTCAACCGCTTGTGCCATCTCTGCCGGTAAATGCTCTAATGGTAAATCACAGAGACATAGCATCAAAAGCTTTAGGGAGGAAAAAAAAAAAAAAAAAAAAAAAAAAGCTTTAGATGCCCAACTTAAAAGTCAGCATAAGGGGAAAGTTCAGTCTGCACCTAACTTGCAGATAAAATCTGCAGTGTGCTTGAATACGACAGGCAAAATATTAGTGCTGACAAGAACAAAAGCTTAGTATAAAGACAAAGGAGGAGTCTGAAAGAAGTGACCACGGTCTTAGGATTCAATCACACTTGTTATTAAGTGTGACGTGCATGATGTGGCATCAAGTACTGGCTGCTCTGTTGGAAAGTCCAAAATATTTTCCCTAGAATGGATGCTCTCGGAGTCACACGGCCAGAATTAAGTCCTGTGGAACAAATAACTGATGTGGAAAAGGATCATTCAATGCTGGACTTTTTCAAGCCTCTAGAAGATGGGAAAACACACAGGCACTCCCCCAAAGAGGCCAGCTCTCTCTTCAACTGAAGGTTTCAGAAGAACTACAAATGTTCTATTAGTGTGTTAATTTGGGTTTGGAAGAAGTTAGAGGATGCAGCAAGGAAGATGAAATTATGCCGGGAAACACTACCCTCCTAGGCAGAGAAGCTTTATCCCAAGGACGTGCATGCAGAGGAGTCAGGGTGAAGAAGAACCCAGGCAGAGGTGGCAGAGGCAAGAAGGAAGCATCAGCCGCACGCGGGTTACATTACCTTGATGGGCTCGCATTTCGGGGAGGGTCTTTTCTAAGACTGCTAATGCTTTTCTATGGTAATCTGCTTGGGCTTCTAATAACTGAGAACAGACCCACATTCAAAAACAAAAGTAACGTTAGCATCGGATGGACACACACACAATGGCTGAGCAAAACTAAAAATGAAATCTTTTGCAAAAAAGCTAAAATGACTCCATTTTAATAACGCTTTAACATTTTGTCAAGGGAAGCTGCTTACCGTAACAAAGAATTTGCCGTACTCCCCTTCTTTGGCCATAAAGTTGTACATGTCTGCTGCAAGTTGATCCTGGGTAAATGGAAGAGGAGAGGTTACTGAAGAAAAAAGAAGTAAAACAAAATGGCACCTGAGAACAATCTCTGTGAGCTCTTAGATGAAAAAGTGATGCAAAGCGCCACAGATTAAATGTCCATCAACTGCCTGGTACAACCATACAGAAAGAATCAGGAAGCTTCTCATATGACTGACACAGAAAGATCTCCAAGATACATTTTTAACACAGCTGGTTAAGAAGCAAAGTACAGAGCATTACTTATGGTGTATTATTAACATTTGGGTTTAAAAAGGGGTGGAATGGTAGGGCGCAGTGGCTCACACCTGTAATCTCAGAACTTTGGGAGGCTGAGGTGGGCAGATTACCTGAGGTCAAGAGTTCGAGACCAGCCTGGCCAATGTGGTGAAACCCCGTCTCTACTAAAAATACAAAAATTAACCAGGCATGGTGGCGGGCGCCTGTGATCCCAGCTACTCAGGAGGCTGAGGCAGGAGAACTGCTTGAGCCCAGGGGTGGAGGTTGCAGTGAGCTGAGATGGCATGCCACTGCACTCCAGCCTGGCAACAGAGTTGAGACTCTGTCTCAAAAAAAAAAAAAAAAAAGGGCTAGTTGCGGTGGCTCACGCTTGTAATCCCAGCACTTTGGGAGGCTAAGGTGGGTGGATTACAAGGTCAGGAGATTGAGACCATCCTGGCTAATACGGTGAAATCCTGTCTCTACTAAAAATACAAAAAATTAGCCAGGTGTAGTGGCGGGCGCCTGTAGTCCCAGCTACTCGGGAGGCTGAGGCAGGAGAATGGCATGAACCTGGGAGGTGGAGCTTGCAGTGAGCCGAGATTGCGCCACTGCACTCCAGCCTGGGCAACAGTGCGAGACTCTGTCTCCAAAAAAAAAAAAAAATAGGGTGGAAGGGTATGTCATATTTTCATATTTTTATTTATTATTATTATTATTTTTTTTTGAGACAGAGTCTCACTCTGTCACCCAGGCTGAAGTGCAGTGGCACAATCTTAGCTCACTGAAACCTCCACCTCCTGGGTTCAAGGAATTCTCCTATCTCAGCCACCCTAGTAGCTGGGATTACAGGCGTGTGCCACCACACTTTTTGTATTTTTGGTAGAGACAAGGTTTCGCTACGTTGGCCAGGCTGGTCTCAAACTCCTGGCCTCAAGTGATCCGCCCAACCCAGCCTCCCAAAACTTTTTTTTTTTTTTTTTTTTTTGAGATGGAGTCTTGCTTGCACTGTAGCCCAGTCTGGAGTCCAGTGGCGCAATCTCAGCTCACTGCAATCTCCATCTCTGGGTTCAAGCGATTCTCCTGCCTCAGCCTCCTGAGTAGCTGGGACTACAGGTGCACACCACCACGCTCAGCTAATATTTTTCTATTTTTTAATAGAGATGGGGTTTTGTCATGTTGATCAGCCTGGTTTTGAACTCCTGACCTCAAGTGATCCTCCCCCCTCAGCCTCACAAAGTGCTAGGATTACAGACGTGAGCCACTGCACCCGCCCAAACAAAAACTTTTTAAGTGACAGATTAAGCAATTAGGTATGTATTTCCAATCTTCAAATATAAATATACATAGGAATTATATATATGAACATTTATATGCTGGAAAATACATATGTAGAGAGAGAGTTTTTTTTTTTAATGTAATGACTTCTGTTTTTGGCATCAAGGTACACAAATTAATGTGAAGGGCCTCCCATTTATGATAAAAACTTGGAAATGCTAGTTAGGAGTAATGAACATCCTTTTAGAATAACTGGGAAAGCAATAAAGTAAATTCCTTGATTCCCCTCAACCCCACCATACACACACACCCACAAAGAGAGAAGGAAGAAAACAAAGCAGAAAGAAAGAAAAAGTCAGAAAGCTAAGCATCAATGGAAGCTGGGGATGACCTGGGGCAGGTTTGTGCCAGTCTTGGTGACCAAGGTGTTTGAAGCTTTGGGGCCTGGTAAGGAGAAACAAGTATACATGCATCATGCATAAAGATAAGATTCCTGAAGAACTGTACTCTAAACGAAAGAACAGATTAGAACAAATGCACTTAGCATCACATGGAAATGATAGGGAAGTACATCTGTTTTGGAATGGGCTTTAGGTCTGAGAAACATTGGCCGGGAGATTTCACAAACATAGACCTGCTTTCATGAGGGTTTGAGGTTTAAATTTACTGACATGTGGTCCCAGAAACCCCAAACTGATTTAAGTTTAATTAAAAATGGACTTGGACTGGTAATACTCTCTGGGAAGCCTCATTCCCAATCCCTGATAGTCCCACAGATAAAGCCCCTTTTAAAATGACTTCACAATAATTACAAAACACATAAGGAAATAATCCACCATAAGCAAACTCCTACCACTCTCACAGAAAATTTCAGAAAACAGAATTAACAGAAATTATCAAATAAGTATATTTAAAATGATTTACAAGAAACACTAAAAAAGAATAATGTAGTATCAAAAAGGGAAGATTTGAATAATTAGAACTTCAGAAATGATAAATATAGTCAATGAAATTAAAAACTCAATGTTATTTGAGTAGCAGACCAGACACAGCTAAAGAGAAAAACAGTGAAACAGAACATAGATATGAGGATATTACCCCCAAGGTAAGCATAAAGAGAGAAGGAGGCAGAAAATATTTCCATAAGATTTTACCATTTGAAGTACTGACAAGTGTGGAAGTTGAGAGAAGAGACATCAGCCCATGATGACTTCCCAAACCTCTACCCAAATTTGTGTGCAATAGACAAGAGCTAGGTTAGACCAGATATTAAGAAGACTGCTGGGTAAATGACACTGACAAAGCTACAACTCTTTGGACCACAAATAAGCCAATGTGACATTATTTTACTAGAAGCATGTATCTGAATATCATCTTTTAAACATAAAAACTTTTTAAAACAAAGGCATAACTTTGTGAGTTTAGTTTTAATTTCTACCCACTATATTATTTTTATATTTTTATTATATTTCTACCCACTATATTATTTTAAACAAGTAATTTAACTACAGTTAACTGATCAAGGTTTGCTACTTTGAAAAGCAAAGTATGTCATGACCTAAATGAACTAAAATATAACAGTCTTAACATTAGCATGAAATAAAAAAAAAAAAAAACAATTTTTTTAAAACAATGAAAAATAAGAACAGGAAAAATCTAAGTCGATGCAGACTTAGACTCTAGAGACTCCCCAAAGACCTATTCCTTTACCATCTCAAATAATTTACCACCTCAAATGACATTCAGAATGAACATCTATCTACACAGGTGGATGCAGAAAGAATGAGATCACGTGACCATCTAATTTATCTATAATTTATGAGATAAAAAGCTCTATTTCTCCCAAATTACAAACCAATTGTTCAAGCAACATTTTAAAAGTAATCCTTATCTTCTCCAAGGATATATAAGCCACTTGCTGTACATTAAATCCTACATTATAGCATTCATTCCAGAAAACCTATACTATTTCACTGATCTATTTTAATGCTTCTTATACAGTTTTACTTCTTTTCTTTGTTTTTCTTATGCATTTTTAATTGCTGTAACTTCATTACATGTTTTGCTATGGTTTTCTTTCCTTTTCTCTGCCTTCATCTTTAAGTAAGCTTAGACATCTTGTCAAGTTTTTAAAAATATCCTATTTGAATTTAAAATGTTTATTCTGATCATAAAATAATAGAGTCTTAGTAAGAAAGAATAAAACCTACCTTTAAAATCATTCAAAATATTCTGATAGAAATTATTTAAAACATCAAATAACTTACATTTGAACTTTCATCCCTCATTTGCAAAAACCAAAAAGAATGATGCAAGTACACATTTATCAAGGAATTCTCATACCTTGCACTGTTCTACTTTATTTCCAGCTTCATCCATCTCTTCCTTTAGAGTATCTATTTTTGACGGAAGCCCCTGAAAGTTGGTTCCTGAGGATTTGTGAGCTTGGTTCCACCTGCAAAACAATGGGGTTGCCAGCATTTGAGAACCAGCTGTGTATACTCAACAGCTGGAGGTAGGACCTAGTGGAGATAGATCCTTCCTCAAAACTGATTCTACCTGGAAGGGGTATCACTGCCCAGGATGCCAACTTCTCTTGAGCTTATCCTCTAAGAACAGAAGCAAGCAAAAGGAGACTTTAGCTTCCCACCATGACAGGAGTCTTGTAGTGCCGGGAGTAGTGGTCTGCTTTGAGCATAACCAACCACATCTTGTCTCACACAAACTCCACTACTGGAGAAAAATCCACGGAATCCCTTTCTTGTGGTGGCCAATCATGGAATCCTTGCCACTGGAGGAGAGCGAGGTGGTCTCCTTGCTCTCTTGCTTTGAGCTGAAATGTTCCCTGTGCCACTGGGAATCTGCTCCTGCTTCTGAGAACTTCTTGTGGCTCTTTCTACTACCACACTACCATCTGTGATCTATGATTACTTTCAGCAAGTAAAAGCCAGAACTTCAATAGTGTAGCTATCAGGCTGGGTGCAGTGGCTCACGCCTGTAATCCCAACGCTTCGGGACACTAAGGTGGGAGGATCACTTGAGCTGGATCAGTTTGAGACCAGACTGGACAACACAGCAAGACTCCGTGTCTACAAACAACAATAACAATAATAATGTAGGTATCAATCAATAGCAATGAAAGCACTAAAAAGAAAAAAAAAAAGAAACTATAGTAATAATAGGGGATAAGTGGGAAATAATCATAGAAAAGAATTTTTGATTTTCAAATGTGCTTTGATCCTCTGTTTGAAAATGGGTATGTCTGGTGTTGTGGAAAGCTCTATCACTTTAAATGTAAACACAGATGTTATAAAATGCAGCATGAAAACCCATGTTAGCTACTTACTAAACTTTCTAGACTGCTGCAGTGCCCCAAAATGCCATGTTCTGCCCACTTCGTGTTCCTGACGTGACACATTCCTCCACCGAAAGGCTTCGGCAAGTCCACCAAAGCAAAACTGGAGATGCTATGTTGTGAAAGGAGCATAGACTTCAGAGTCTCATATGTCCAAGTTTGGAGCTCAGCTTTACCTTAACTAGTTATGTGACCTAGTTAGTGACTTAGCCTCTATGCATTCTCAGTTGCCTCATCTACAAAACTCACAAACACTGTCTGCCTTGCGGAATTGTCATGAGGAGGAAAGGCGAGAAAAATGTGTGTGCACGCATATGATGTCTGGCATATAATGGATTTCTACTTAATTATTACCACCTTTTGTCCAGGGAAAAGCAAGAAGAATGAGAAAAAGTAGAAATATTCAATTGTTTTAGCTTCTCCAACACCTACTGTGATTAAGTGAACAAGACCGTGAATGCAAGATCAAGAATCAGTATTAAAATCACCTGTGGGATACACGCACTCAAGGTGCAAAATTCCTGTCAGATAAACATCTGTAATACTGCTCAACCAACTCTAGTGAGGGAGCATTTGCTGCCTTGTTTAATTAATCATTAGAACATTCTTCTGTCTCTTGAGCAAAAATGTATCGCAGGGTGACCTGCACTCCCAGCTACACAGGATTCCAATCACACGTACAGGCCAGGCATGGTGACTCACACCTGTAATCCCAACACTGTGGGAGGTCAAGGAGAGAGGTTTACTTGCAGCCAGGAGTTTGAGACCAGCCTGGGCAACATACCGAGACCTCGTCTCTACTAAAAATAAAAAGCTGGGGCTGGGTGCAGTGGCTCACACCTGTAATTCCAGCACTTTGGGAGGCCAAGGCAGACAGATCACCTGAGATCAGGAGTTCGAGACCAGCCTGGCCAACATGGTGAAACCCTCTCTCTACTAAAAATACAAAAATTAGCCAGGTGTGGTGGCGCATGCCTGTAATCCCAGCTACTAAGGATACTGAGGCAGGAGAATCGCTTGAACCCGGCATCTTGGTTGCAGTGAGCCAAGATTGTGCCACTGTACTCCAGCCTAGGTGACAGAGAGAGACTCCATCTTTAAAAAAAAAAAAAAAAAAAAACAGTAGCTGGGTGTGGTGGTGTGCAGCTGCTCGAGAGGCTGAGGCAGGAGGATCCCCTGAGCCCAGGAATTTGAGGCTGCAGTGAGCTATGATCACACCACTGCACTCCAGCCCAGGTGACAGAGAACATCACATGTACACATGACCAAGAGACAGTGGACTTTGCTGTCAGAATCCTAACACTGCAATTTATGCTCTTGAAGGCACAAAGCAAGTCACATAGATAATACATGCAGGTCCCTCCCTTATCTGCAAAACGAGTCTCCTCTCAAAAGTAGGGAATGTTATACTAACCTCTACCCTGTTCCCTCCAAGTCACATGGAAAGGCCTATGCATTTAGAGTCTAGCACAAAGTCTGGTGCACACTGAGCACCCAATTGATATCAGTTGAAAACACAGATGAACAAATGAACATGGATTGGTGGGAGAATCAAATGGGCCGACATACGATGAAAGTAGCTCGATCCCCGGCATGTGGCAAGTGTCAGGTAAGTCACTTGATAATTGCACTAGCAGAGTCTTCACCACGTGTGAATTCCTAAATAAACCTTTTCTCATCTCAGCATTTCTTAAGTCAGAACTCATCTTCACAACTGACTTGTACATTTAATAAACTGGTGTTTACTTTCTCCAAATCACCTGATATTAAATCAGTGACGTATCTAATACTCAACCACTTCTTCGAAACAAGGAAATGCAGCCCTTTTATTACAGCCATAAATCTGTAATAGAAGCATCAGACACAGAAGAACTCAATAAATGATAGCTCTATCACCACACATCTGTCAAACAGAAATAATCATATCTGCTTCACAGGACTGCAATGAGGATGAAAAGAGCTGACAAAGCTGGGGTCAGCCAAGCCACTTGCTTTTGTAAATAAAGTTTTATTGGAACACAGCCATACCCATTCATGTATGCCTTGCTCATAGCTGCCCTTATGCTACAACAGCAGAGTTAAGCAGTTACAATAGGGAGCAACTGGGTTGCAGCACCAGAAAGATTTACTATCCAGCCCTTTACAGAAGAGGTTTGTCAAACCTTGTGATAAAGCAGGAAACAGGACTGAGGCTGGTGGTGCCAGTTTCCCTATTCCCAACTGTCACATGCCTGAGAAGAAAGCCATGGAAGTGAGTGACAGAAACTCTGAAGGCCAGGTACCAAGGCTCATGGCTGTAATCCCAGCGCTTTGGGAGGCCAAGGTGGGAGGATCACTTGAGGCCAGAAGTTCAAGACCAGCCTGGGCAACACAGCTAGACACTACCCCACAAAAAATTTTAAAAAGTAGCTGGGCGCTGTGGCATGTGCCTGTAGTCCCAGCTACTTGGGATGTCGTGGAGGAGGATCACTTGAACCTGGGAGTTTGAGGCGGCAGTAAGCTATGATCGCACCAGTCTGGTGCAACAGAGCGAGACCTTGTCTCAAAAAAAAAAAAGGAAAGAAAAAAGCCAAAAAACTCCATCAAGGACAGGGCAGAGGGAGCAGTCCTGCCCTGAATCATGACAGACTCCTTCGCTGACATCAGTCCCCACATCAACAGCGTTGATTTGGCTACACTGGTTTACATGAGTTCCTGCCATGTGAGTGCCTCCCTTCTTGGTACTGAAGGTATTACAGGTACACAGGGTTTGTGACACAGCAGGACCCTCATGAGCTGTTAGGGCCACAGATGTGTTTATTCCTACACTCTTAAGAGTTGGGCCCTCAGAACTGCCACCGTTCCCTCTGCCATTAAATATACTCACTTCATTTTCCTTAGATGATTTCCTTTCACTGCTGGCTCACTAAGAACAGGATGTTCTAACGACAACCCCACTGCCACGCTTGGGAGAACGAGGCCTACAGGGAGTGCTGGCAGGCTGGCACCCAGTCTGGGGGTCAAATGCACGAATTGGTGACCACTTCTATTGTGGTCTTCCTTTCCCCGGTGGTGGGAATGGGACACGATGCTGCACTGCTGGCTCAAGCCGTGTGTTACCTGGCTCTGACGGAATCCCAGTCTAACACCAATTTTGCAAGCTGTTTCCTCTGTTTCTGGATGTTGGGAATCTCCACCTAAAAGGAAGAACACACCAAATGGGATGCACTTCAGGGCTTTTAGGTTAACCATTTTAAAGGACAGTATTTACAAACGTTTTTTCTCTAAAGCAAAGGATTTTGTACCTTCGATTGACTCCCCTTATTTCCAAAAAGAAGTGTACGTTAAAGCCAGCAACGACTGTTAAAATTTTAACATTCACTGTCCAGCCCACACCACTCTTGGCTCTTCCGTGCTGCACGGTGAAGCACCCACCTCGGCTATGCCGTACAGAGGGTCCACGATCTCCTTCTCCACAAAGACTTCGTGCTGGGAGAGCTCGAGAGCCAGCTGATTCTCAGCATCTCCACACGTCTCCAGCATCTTCCTTTAAAAACAAGACACCCCAACAAAGAGCATGTGCTCATGAAATCAGGCACTGGATTACTGTGTGGATGCAGTGCTGCTTGCCATGTGACAGGAACGCATTAGGGTGCTACCTAACACAGCCTTTAAAATATTATAAATTTAGGGTGTTGCCTAAAACATGAGTCCACAGATATGTGCTTTAAAATAAAAATGACCGTCTCAGGCATGCACTTTGTGTGTGGGGGTGGCAGAGGGATGTGTGAACAGTGAGATAACAAATTACTCAAGAATTAGATTCTCAAGTCAGGTGAAAACCAAGTGTTCACAAAATACTCTGAAAATCGTTTAAATTAGACATTAAGGTCATTACATGTTATCTTATGTCTCTGAGGCCGGCCTTGGCCAGGCTCCCTTTCTGCTATGCAGATGAGCTAGCCGGCTAATACTTAAGGGCCCTGTTACATGAATATCACGTTTCCTTGTAGTGTTCTTGCGAACATGCAGCTGATATCATACAAAGTACATGTGCAGTGATATAACTCCACAGTCTCTATCCCTCCCTCCCTCTCCCTTCCTTCCCGTCTTCCCCTGCAAGCTCTCTGTGGGATTCTTTTGACACCAGAAATGCACGTGGCACTGGTGTGGGGTGGCCATGGTGTCGTAGTCAGGAACATGCTCTCTGGTGCCAAGCTGGCCAAGTCTGAATACAGGTTTTGCTCTTCTCCCGCTGTGTAGTCTCAGGCAATTTCCCTGCCCTCTCTGTCAGTATCCTTATCTGTAAAATGGGAGTGATGTTGTGTGTTAACATGGTTCTAAGTGCTGATATGACCTACCTCCTAGGTTGTTTTGAGGATTAGATGAGCTATTACTTGGAAAACACTTATAACCATGCTAGCACGCAGTATCACTCTGGTGTGATGAGGATGGCCATAGAATGAGGAAGCACCAACAGGAAAAACTTCCAGGCTTGAGGGAAGGAGGATGCTGGCAGGTGGGCACAGGTCATGCTCCTCCCAGGGCCCCCAAACATGGCAGCAGACAGGAGAAAGAAATGGTGAAGAGTGGGAGGAAACTACTCTCCGAAGGACGGCGAGAGAACTGCAGACGCTGAGAAATAGACTGAAAAGTCTGAAGGCCTCATCCCGCTGGGAAGCAGGGCCTACTTCACAGCCAGAGAGACCAGACAGGGCTAGAGGATACCAGCCTCACGGCAGGAGCAGACAGAAGGAAGGGTATACCTTCCCTCCTACAATAAAAACTGCTTTGTTCTTACTTACATTTTTAAATTATTTAAAGAATACATGCCAATTGTAAAAAAAAAAAATTCAATAATTCAGAATATACACTCTTTTTAGATAACTACCATGGATGTTTTGGTGACCACGTGTAAAGGATGTGACTCTAAGAACTGAAAGGGTCTGGTCAGAGTTTCTAAATCTGAGCTAACACCTGGAACACAGAAGGGACCAGGTTCTTTCTGTCCAAGATTAGGAGAATAGGCATTGATCCTATCAGTTGCTTTTTTGTTAATGGCCCTTTCTGCCATCCAACTCCAGCCTGACACCTACTAAAAGAAAGATTCTCCAGCAACCCGGCGGCCTTGACCCCACTTTCTCCCAAGGAGTCTGAGCCGGTCTCCTAGCAGATGAGCCATGCCATCAATGCTCACAGTTCCTCTCACAGGTCCTACACACACCACCTGGCTCAGCCACTTCCACCAACCCACATGGCGCTTGGCACTCTGAAGGCAGCAACTCTTACCCCAGGAGAGAGTCTTCCAGCTGAGTTGATGCTTCTTGCATATTCTGAGCGAGAGCTGTCAGAGGCAGTTTTTTCTGGAAGACAGAAGACAGTGTGTGTTTTTTCTCATTATTATTTGATACCCATTCTCAATGATCTTTTTCAGAACATCATTCATTAATTTCTCCTTCCAGGCAAATTACACAGGTGGGAGACAGCCTGTCTGAGTTCAGGTTCTGGTCTCACAGGTATTAGTTGTATGATGATCTCTCTGTTTCAGTTTGACTACAGAAAATGTATCAAGTACCTAACACATTGTAAGTATTCAGTAAACATTAGCTGTTATTATTATTGCTGTTGCTGTTCTTCTGCTTATTATTTTTGTTTGCTTTTTTGAGACAGGGTCTCAGTCTGTCGCCCAGGCTACAATGTGGTGGCATGATCCTCCACCTTCCAGGTTCAAGCAACTCTCCTGCCTTAGCCACCAAAGTAGGTGGGATTACAGGCCTGCGTCACCATGCCCAGCTAATTTTTGTATTTTGGGTAGAAATGGGGTATCCTGACCAGGCTGATCTCGAACTCCTGAGCTCAAGCGATATGCGTGCCTCAGCTTCCCAAAGTGTTGGGATTACAGGCATGAACCACCACACCCAGCCTGTTTCTATTATTATTAATGAATCAAAGCACACTATGTTCAAGGCACTAGGGACATGAGAGAGAAATAGACCTTGCTTTCTAAATGGTTATCCTGATAGGTAAATGCAATAAAGTGCTCAATTTCAAAAGCTTTGGCTACAACACTGATTCTTAAACTGGCTTTTTTTTTCTTTTTTTTTTTTTGAGGCAGTCTTGCTCTGTCACCCAGGATACAGTGTAGTGGGGCAATCTCGGCTCGTTGCAACCTCTGCCTCCCAGGTTCAAGTGATTCTCGTGCCTCAGCCTCCCATGCTGTGATTATAGGCGTGTGCCACCACACCCAACTAATTTTTGTACTTGTAGTAGAAACAGGGTTTTGCCATGTTGGCCAGGGTGGTCTCAAACTCTTCACCTCAAGTGATCTGCCCTCCTCGGCCTCCCAAAGTGCTGGGATTGCAGGCGTGAACCACCGCACCCATTCTAAACTGGCTCTTAATTTGGCTATCATTCTAAAATGTAGCTTTACTTAAATACTAAAAACTTCTAGCTAAATATCCAAACAGTTTTTGAATACAAAGCCACTCATTTTCCTACGAGAGATTTGTTTTCCAGCTGGCAATGACCACAGAATCACCTGATCTAATGTTCTAATCGTACAGTCAAGGAACCCGAAGCCGAAGGAGGTCAAGTGGTCTGGCCAGGCACCCCAGAGAGAGGCAGGAGTCAGACCTGAGTGCTGATGGCCCCAGCCTCTGTTCAGTGTCTTCCCTATGGGCCAATGGCTTATCTCAGAAGAGGCCTGGCAAGTACAAGCGGGCTGGTTATAACGTCATAATCTGCTAACAAGAAATGCTTTCAATTCTGCAGCAACCCAAGTAATTTCACCTGCCCAGTAGAAAGGACATTCATGTTAAAAACACAGGGTCCACTCCTGGTATGTCACCTGACTCTTCTGCCTCCAAAGGGCTCCATCTGATACAATCGCATATGTACTGGCTTGTACTGGACAGACTATCTCTGCAAGGCTATACAAGAAGCTACTAAGAGCAGTGGCTCTGGAGGAGGGAAGTGGGTGCCTGGGGAAATGGGCTGGGAGGCACCTTACTGTAAGTTCTTTTGTATATGCTGAATTTTGACCATATAAATGTAGAACCTATTTAAAACAGTAAACTGAAATTTAAAAATCAACAAAGGCATTTACCCATTTCCCCTCTCCCCAAATTATTGATTTTTTCATTTTAATTTTTTATAGAGACAAGGTCTCACTATGTTGCTCAGGCTGGTCTCAAACTCCTGGTCTCAAGTAATCCTCCCACCTCGGCTTCCCACAAAATTATTTTCAAATAAATAAATAATGGGCTCCATCTGTGCTACAAGGAGACTATTCCCAGCTGCCCCAGCTCTGGACAAGGAAGATATGAGAATAATAGGGGATAACTCCTACCTTCTGGTTATGCTGCCTTTCTAAAGGAGGTTAAATACCTACTAAAGATCAATGCAATAATTAAGACAAATATACTGTGCAACTCTGGAACTTTAGGAGTCTGTGGGAAAAAAATAATAGAGAAGTCTATTTTGACAAGTATCACTCAAGATGGCAGCTGTAAATAGTTTTGTGGTTTCCCCAACCTGGCCCCAAAGCCACAACAATCTTGTTTCCTATGTACATAAACAAGGAAACTCTGCTTAACATATGGGTTCATTAATCAAGTATCAACACTGAACTCCTCCACAGGGAGGGCTCTGTGCTTCCTAGAGGTGAAGAGCTTTCTATCATCAGGGATGAATGAATTAATTAATTAATTATTGAGACAGGGTCTGGCACTGTTGCCCAGGCTGGAGGCCAGTGATACAATCTCAGCTCACTGCAACCTCCACTTCTGGGGCTCAAGCCATCCTCCCACCTCAGCCTCCTGAGTAGCTGGGACTACAGGCACGTGCCATCATGTATGGCTAATTTTTTATTTTTTAGAGAGATGTGGTTGTGCCATGTTGCATAGGCTGGTATTGAACTCCTGAGCTCAAGTTGTGCCTGCCTTGGCCTCCCAAAGTGCTGGGATTACAGGAGTGCAGCACCATGCCTGGCCAGGGATGAATTTTAAAAGCTCTAAAGACTGAATTTGTAAAGCGTATGCCAATCGCACAAAAATAAATAATTCTCTAATCTAATAATCTATCCTATCTGACCCATGAGCATTGTACCATGTCAATGGTGGCTGGACTGAGAAGGTCACCTGCCCCATGTCTCTCTCCTTCCATTCTTGCCTCTTCCCATGCAGGGAGCCTGAGAGGTCTTTGGGAGGCTCCTCCTGTGTCTTCTAGAGCCCTGGAGACTGCTACAATTTTCTCCATATCAGTCTTCTCTCACCATTGTTGTGGTAACTCCTCTTCCCAAGTGCAAAGTGTAGGCATCCTCAGAACCCTGTCTTTGGTACTTTTGACATTGGAAAAGGAAAGCTAAAGCATTAGGTTTCAGAAATGAGGACCAAGCACTTTTGCCCCAGGGGCCTGGAATATTCCCACCACCTGCCACTAATTTCCCTCCTTTATAGGACAGACACCACCTCCTCCAGGAAGCCTCACCTGACTACCTCCCTTTTCCTTTGGTACCCATCCTGGGCCCCCCATAACACCCTGTGCATGTTTTATTGAGTATCTTGTTTTATAATGATCCATTTGTATGTATCTCCCCCACAAGACCATGAAAACTTACATTTCATTCATTTTATATCTCCAGCACTTGTACACAGTAGGTGATTGATAAATATTTGTTTCTACTGAATATATGTGACACTTGGACTGTGTCTCAAGGAAGACAACAGGAACTAGATAGAACTGTGAGGGACAGTGACATATTTGGGGACTGGTGAGTGTTATGTGGCTGACACAGAGTGTGAATGGGAGGAAGTAGGAGACAGTGAAGCTGATAAGGAGAAATGGAATCAGCTGAGAAAGGGCTTAAGCCATCTAAACAGCGTGGACTTTATCCCAGGCAATGGGAACCAGCCAGCGTCCCTCAGAAGAGGCACTTCTAGCATTAAGATACTTCTTGTGTGGAACTATTTCACCAGGCATTACAAAACATTTAGCATCTTGGCCAGGCGCGGAAGCTCACGCCTGTAATCCCAGCACTTTGGGAAGCTGAGGAGGGAGAATCACCTGAGGTCAGGAGTTGGAAACCAGCCTGGTTAACATGGTGAAATCCTGTCTCTACTAAAAATACAAAAATTAGCCAGGCTTGGTGGCGTGCACCTATAGTCCCAGCCACTCGGGAGGCTGAGGCAGGAGAATCATTTGAACCGGGTGGTGGAGGTTGCGGTGAGCCGGAATCGCGCCACTGCACTCCAGCCTGGGCGACAGAGCAAGATTCCGCCTCAAAAAACAAACAAAAAAACGTTTAGCATCCTGGTTCACCCTCCAAACGTCAGTGGTGTCTGCCAGTCCCTCTGATGACCGAAACTGTCTCTACACATTTCCATATGCCCCCAGGGGTGTAATTCTGGTCCCTGTTAAGAACCACTAAGCCAAGATTCTTTTTTTTAGGCAGGAGGATGAGAAGATTGATTTGTATTTCAGGAAACTGACTCTGGTGATTGGGTTGAAGACAGACTGGAAAGGAAATTATAGACAGGAAATGTAGCTCAGGAGGTGACTACAACAGTCCAGGTGAGAGGGAGTCAGGTCTTACATTAAGGCCAAGGTGGTAGAGATGGAGTGGAGGTGAGCCATTTAAAATATTCACAGAGAGAAATCAAAGGACTTGCTAATCAGGCAGTTATGGGGTTTGGAGGATAAAATAAAAGCGAGGCCCAGCACAGTAGCTCATGCCTGTAATCCCAACACTTTGGGAGGCCAAGGCGGGAGAATTGTTTGAGCCTAGGAATTCAAGACCAGCCTGGGCAACAGATGAGACCTCATCTCTACTATGAAAAAAACAAAAAAACAAAAAAACAAACACAATTAGCCAGGCTTAGTGGCACGAGCCTGTAGTCCCAGCTACTTAAAGGTTGAGGTGGGAGGATGGCTTGAGCCCAGGAGGTTGATGTTGCAATGGGCCAGGATCATGCCACTACACTCCAGCATGGACAACAGAGTGAGACCTTGTCTTGAAAAAAATAAAAATAAAAAAATAAAAAATAACAGGGAATATAAGAAAGCCCCCCCGTTTCCAGCCTGCATAAAAGGGTGGATGGAATTCAGAGAGTCAACACAGAAGGAAGAACTGATCATGCATGCTAGAATATAGACATCTAAGAGAGTAAGTTTTTTGCTTGGTTGAAAATGGCTTAGAAGTCACTGGCATAAACACATCAGTTAGAAGCCATAAGAACAGAGGAGGTGTCCCAGAGAATATGACTTGGAGAATAAGGAAGAGAAGCAGAGAACCTAAGGAAACAATGTGAAAAGGGTGAGTAGAGCAGAAGAAGGCAAGAGAAGGACAAGGAGCTGCAGGAAGCAGAACCAGTAGGCCGGGTCTGGTTCTGAGGGACGGAGCTTTGCGGCAAGTGTGGAAGCATAGGTGTATGCAAACTTCCATTCCTGTGACAGACATGATTGCAGAATCCTCACTGTTGTGCAAGAGTGGAATAACCCTGCTGCCACGGTGCCCCATAAAAGTCTGTAGGAAACATAAAAGGGTAACACAGATCATCTGCATACTATTAATAGTGTTCACTTTTGAGACACCTGGTGACAATATAGCAAATCATAGCCTCCCTGTGTGTCACCGAAACTGTCACTTCAATGTTGCATGGGCTCTAAGGTTTACTGCATGCTCATAAGCTGGGAACTTGTAAAAGCAAGGATGGAACTCCCTCATGAACAAAGGTTGCTGTGCTCCACTGGCTCTACCTAGGAAATGAATGCTCTGAACAAGTGGACCCTGAACAGACACTGGAGGGCTCTCCTAGAGTCCATCCCTCTTCCTCTCTATACTAGTATCCTGATTCTTCTCAGGGATCTACACTGGCCTTGATAAAGTCTATGAGCCGGAGGTAAGACCATAGCCCATGCTCTAGGCCTGGGCCCAACTACCTTAAACCAATCAGCACATCCCATCTCCTCACCCCTTATCCATGGTCACTAGGGTGGAACAGAACAGTCAAAAATGGGGAATGTAACTCCATACAAATGAATGCAATGGAAAGCACTTTCAATCTGCCAAGAGTTTGGAAAAAGCAGCTTTCTCACTCCATCAAGAAAAACTACTGGGGCCAGGTATGGGTGGCTCATGCCTGTAATTCCAGCACTTTGGAAGGCCGAGGTCGGAGGACTGCTTGAGGCCAGGAGTTCTACATCAGCCTGGGTAACAAAGCGAGATCCCAATCTCTACGAAAAAGTTCAAAAAATTAGCCAGGCATGGTGGTGTGTACTGTAGTCTCAGCTGCTTGGGAGACTGAAGCGGGAGGATCTCTTGAGCCCAGGAGTTTGAGGCTGCAGTGAGCTATGACTGTACTACCGCACTAGAGCCTGGGTCATGGAGTGAGACCCCATCAGGAAAGAAAAGAGGAGAAGGCAAGGGAAAGGGGAAGGGAAGCAAAAATCCTAAAAGAAAAAAAAAAGAAAGAAAAAGAGGCAGGAGGGGAGAGGAGGGGAACTACTGGGAAAGAGGCTCGCCCACTGGCCACACTCAAGGAACAAGTAGCCATAGCAGCTGCCAGTAGCCAACTTGCCATTATGAGGGTGCCTGTCCAGGGACAAAGCAGACCTGAGGGCAGAGGAGAGAGGAGGAAGGAAACTGGGTTTTTCATCACACTACTGAAATGTTACATGAAGCCTGACCTCAAGTCCATCCCAACCTCTGGACTTTCCAGTTAGCAAACCAATACATTACTTCTACTTCAACGTCAATTTAAGACAGGTTTTCCGCTTTCTGTCAGCAGAAGATGCATAACCGACACAGCCATTCTCTTATCAATGACACATGATCGTGGAGCCTTCAAAAGCACCTGGAGAAGATTCCGTGTAAGGAGTGCTTCCAGCCCAGCGATGTCTTAAACACAAAAGAATGCTACGGTCATGCAGTCGTCACGAGCGTGCTTGGTGATAGAAGTCACCAAAGGCCAATCCACTGATGCCACTTAGGACAACCAACCAATCCCGGGGTTGAAAAGCCTCAGAGAGACGCAGGAACTCTGGGTCTGAGTCACATCTGATACTCACGTGTCTCTTCTCGGCATCGGTGCCATGCTGGCCCTGGAAACATGCCACCAAGCGCTTATGGGAATGGTGGCATACTGACCGCACCGTGTCCAGGCGTCGCTCAATCTGACAAGGCAGAGACAAAAGAGAACACATTCATCCTCTTCCTTTTGTGGTGTCTGCATGCTGGTAGGAAAAGCACGGCTGAATCTATGTGCAGGGAAAAGGGATGATCTTGGCTGCACCTTGCTGTCACACTGAGTGGTGCCAGTCAGCTTACACACTACAGCACCAGAAAAGCACCAGGTCAGACCAGGCAGAGATGCGAATGAATGATCCAGGCCCAGACCCACTGACAAGTGGAAAAAAACACAGGGATGCCAAAGAATTCTCTCCAGCTCATGGCAACAGAGCCTTCCACACAATGTACATCATACAGAAGCAGCAAAATAAACGCTCCACAATTTAACTGCAAGATCTGTGTTTTCAAAATTTTTCCTTATTGGGTTTGGGTGGGTGTGTGTGTGCGTGCGTGTGTGTGTGTGTGTGTGTGTGTGTTTTAAATAAACCTCTAAAGCAGAATGGGCAGTCAGCTTAGGGAACCCACGCATCATAAGCAGCTTCCCAAAATACTATTGCTAGAATATGGCTGTTTATGGCCAAGAGAGCTGCTTTTTACAGGAAGGAATGCCAAAAATGTGTATTCTGATGACTCATGAAGAATGAGAGCAGGCCCTTTGGGAGGCTTTCTATTTTAAAGATAAATCAACAAATTCAAAACAGAACACATTTTGACCCCAAACCATTTTACGCACTGAGATGGCTTGTGCCTCTTTCTCAAAAGAGCAGCGTTTCTTCAGATCCAAGCCCATAGCCCAGGACTCAGGGCTGGCGGGCAAGGGGACATTTAGGAGCAGATTCCACATTACCTTCCCCAAATCTTGCAATGGCCAGATTTTCAAACATTAGAAAACTAATGCACATTCATTTGCCACCAGAGAAAAGCAAAATGAACAAAGCAAAAAATGAACAAAGTAATTCCGTAATTTAATTTTGATTCCAATTTCCACTAGACTGTAAACTCCACGAGGACAGAAGCCTTGATCTGTTTTGTTCACTGATTTCTCCCAGTGCCTTATCTTTCACAGAAACAGAAGGTGCTCATTTAATATCTGTTGAGAAGACCCATGTCTATTGAGTCCCTATGCAAGGTATTCAAGAAACAGCAAATAAATGCTGGTTCCGCCCCACTGGGACGCACAGCCCCCTGGGGAAATGCCACACAACTGCTCTAACAGAGATGGGAAAAAAGAGGCAGGAGAACACAGGGCAAATCAAGGGATGTTTCACGTCAGAAACAGTGTCTGTGGCTTGCACTGGTGGTAATAACAACAACAGATCACTAATACCTAGCACTTACCATATGCCAGGCTCCGTTCCCAGTGCTGTTCCTGCTTAACTCATTAAACCCTCCTAACAACCTGTGAGGTGGATACAGCCTTTCCCTCAGTTTAGAGAAGTGGAAACTGAGGCACAGGAAAGTTCAGTAAATCCCTGAAGCCACAAAGCTAACCAGGGGCAGACCTGAGACTCAAACCCAGGTAGCTGGGTTTCAGATCCCCTTTTCATCATCATGCAACCAAACTGATTTTCTTTCCTGCTCAAAATCACACTAATTAATTTTATTCTGCTTCTGGTTCAAAAAAAAAAAAAAAGCCCACAAGCCTCAATTCTCACACAGGAATTTTTTTCCATTCTTTAAACAGATCATTTAAAGGAGACTATATTTTGTTACCTGTAATAGATCTTCACTGAGGACTTCTGTTTTCTCAGCTCTGTGGGAAAAATTAAAAGTTCAGAGTTAGAAATCCAAAAGTGAAAGGCAACTCCTAAAATTCCATAATTATTAGCCTGGAGTTTAAAGCAAAACAGGCAGAAATGAATTTAGAAGGGTTGGCGGGGGCATTTTACCCATTTTTACATCAGACAGCAATTTAAGCAAAACCAAAGAAAAATAACTAAACAAACTTTGTGGGGAACAGCAGCCCAAAACAAGAACAAACGATCCTGAGTAGTGCTTCCCCAACTTGAGCAGGTACAGAATCACCAAGCGCAGGAGGCACTGACATAAAATGCCATTTCCCAGGTCCCTCTGGAGATTCTATTCTGATTCAACAGACCCTGCATTTTTAACAGCCAATCCTTGCTCAGAATTCCAGTGCAGGAGGTCTCTAGACAAGGCTTTGAGAAAACACTGTCCTACAGAAGCTTAAACTTCAGTTCACAATCAGAAACGTACGCAAAGATACAAGTCTAGACCATCACACACAGTAACAATTAGTTCCTCCTTCAAATTCCCTCTCTATCCTTACTTTTAAAAGAAACAAAGTATTTCCACAACTTTCTCTGTTATGCTTTGAACTACTACTAATTTCATCAACCATTCCATTAAACCAACACGGTGGCCAGCAATCAGAAGAGGCATTCCAAGCTGGTGGAGTCTCAATTGTCAGACCATAATAATTTTTATTTTTATGTTATTATTATTATTTTTTGAGACAGTCTCACTCTGTTGCCCAGACTGGACTGCAGTGGTGTGATCTCGGCTCACTGCAACCTCCACCTCCCAGATTCAAGCGATTCTCGTGCCTCGGCCTCCCAAGTAGCTGGAGTTACAGGCGCATACCACTTTGCCCAGCTAATTTTTGTATTTTTAGAAGAGACGCGGTTTCGTCATGTTGGCCAGGCTGGTCCTGAACTCCTGACCTCAAGTAATCTGCCCGCCTTGGCTTCCCAAAGTGCTGGGATTACATGTGTCAACCACAGCACCTGGCATGGAGGACATTTTTAAAAGAGAAAGAAAAAGTATGTTTCAGTTCTGAACAGTGAAGGGAGTCAGGGGAAGGCTCTCAATGAACCGGAAATTCAGAATGGGGGTTGCATATCTTGGCCAGGAACCAATGCAAGAGAAGGAAAAGCTCTTTGAGCCAGAAAGTAAAGGAGACCCCTACAATGACCTCGAAACGCTGCTAAGCTCAGAGCAGTGCCAACTGTGGGCTAGGGAACGTAGTGCGCTGCTCCTCCAGTCTCCACTTAGGGCAACGGCATGTTAGTCAGAACAGGGCATCGCCACGGGGGATTCTAACATTTGTCATCATGTCACTGTCCCAGTTAACCTGGAGATGCCTATAGGGTGGCTGGCTCACTCACCAGTTTCTGCAGGAAACTGGAATTCTGGCCTGACTCAAATACCTCTCAGGGCCAGAGGATCAGGGCCTGGAGACAAAGTCAAGGCCCCAGCTTCCAGACGCAGTCAATTCTCAACTCTATGAAAAGGTTCCACCAGCAGCAGGCCAACATATGCCACCCTAGACCTTGCTTGGCATGCACAGTGCCAGACATTGCTGAAGAGCCAAACACGGGTAGTCATACCAATTAGGGAAGGGAAGCAGGGCCCCAGCTGACCATGAGGTCAAAGAACCAGACTCAAAAAGAAACCTGACAGTCAGCCTAGCAAGAACACACCTGGCATGAGATTGTTAGAGCTTCACCATTAGACACCCCCATTCCTCTTGCCAATGCCTCATCCCTCCTTTAGCAGAATGCCACCAGGGATTGGGTAACTTTTGCCTTTCTTCCCTAGCCAAAACCCCCAAATCTGGACAGGGCCCTGTACATCTCTGACAGAATCCACCTCAACTCTAAAATGACTTCCTTCTGTAAGTACGAGTATACACAGAAAAGTCTCAAGGCCTACTAAAATTTTCACAAGTTCAAAAGAAGAGATTCGACCTGAGAATCAGAATAAATATGTCCTTTTTAAGAGCAGATTATTTTTTAAAAAATAACAGAAGAAGAGAAGAACTTGCTCTACAATCCCAGTGTGGGTTATAAGCAGATGTGGGAGAGTTAGTAATAGCTCAGGGGTATGCTAGAGCCAGCTCAGAACAACCAACCATGTGCATCTTTTCCCAACTTCTTGCTCAGTAACCTCACACTGGTACTTGAAATTAAAAACATAAACAACCACAAACAATTCAAATAGGAGCTTGGCAGTTATTAAACTGTTATGAACACAGTGCTGCAACAGCCACAAAGAAAATAAAGCAAACATAAAAACGAGGCAAGTATTAACTTCAGGAAAAACAAAAAGTCGACTAGAAACAGAAAGATAGTCATAGTACTAGTAGGCTCAGCTGCAAATAATTGATTAGACATAATATAAACATCAAATAGTAATATAATGAAAAATTATAACCGTATTGGAAGGATGGGGGAGCAGACGCAGAGGGAAAGGGCTGTAAACCCTCATATATCAGAACAGAAAGTCAACAGACAATACCTAATTTGATAACCCAAAGGACCATTTACATGTATTACTTGTAATTATGAATATGAATAAATGTCACAATAAACTGTTAATAATTCAAAGTAGTTGCTTCTGGAGTTGGGAAATCTCAGAGAGTAGGGAGTGAACCCACCATATTTTGTGATAAGCCTTTACTATATTATTTGACTTTTCAAACTACATGAATACAGTTTTGAGGTTTTTTAAAAATAGCATGTTATTTACATTTTTAAGTAGCATGTTTGATATGGCCAGGGGTGAAGCATGCCTAACTTAAAGAACTGGTCCAATGTCAAGCTCTACAAATGCACAACTGAAAACATACCTCAGAGTATCCAAAACGTAAAGAATATCAGTATATTTCCAGCCTTTTTTTTTTCAAATTAACTGGACCCTCTGCTTTAGAGGTATTTTACGTGAAAAGGTCTGGAGGCTGAAAACTATATTGAATATATTATATGAAAATGTTAATGTACTGTTTACAAAGAAATTTCCCCTATGCTTCCTGTGTCTGTGGAGGCTATATATGTTACAATAATAAAATCAATTTTAGATCTGCAGGCTTAGTTGTTTTCTTTTAAAATCAATTGTAGAACTTTTACACTGTTGGTGGGATTGTAAACTAGTTCAACCATTATGGAAAACAGTATGGCGATTCCTCAAGGATCTAGAACTAGATGTACCATATGACCCAGCCATCCCATTACTGGGTATATACCCAAAGGATTATAAATTATGCTGCTATAAAGACACATGCACACGTATGTTTATTGCAGCACTATTCACAATAGCAAAGACTTGGAATCAACCCAAATGTCCATCAGTGACAGATTGGATTAAGAAAATGTGGCACATATACACCATGGAATACTATGCAGCCATCAAAAAGGATGAGTTTGTGTCCTTTGTAGGGACATGGATGCAGCTGGAAACCGTCATTCTTAGCAAACTATCACAAGAACAGAAAACCAAACACCGCATGTTCTCACTCATAGGTGGGAACTGAACAATGAGATCACTTGGACTCAGGAAGGGGAACATCACACACCGGGGCCTATCATGGGGAGGGGGGAGGGGGGAGAGATTGCATTGGGAGTTATACCTGATGTAAATGATGAGTTGATGGGTGCAGCACACCAACATGGCACAAGTATACATATGTAACAAACCTGCACGTTATGCACATGTACCCTACAACTTAAAGTATAATAATAATAAATAAATTAAAAAAAAAAATCAATTGTAGAGGCTGGGGGCGGGGGGGGCCGGTGTGGCTCACACCTATAATCCCAGCACCTTGGGAGGCTGAGGTGGGTGGATCACTTGAGGTCAGAAGTTCAAGACCAGCCTGGTCAACATGGCAAAACCTCATCTCTACTAAAAATACAAAAATTAGCCAGATGTGGTGCCACACACTTGTAGTCCCAGCTGCCTGGGAGGCTGAGGCACGAGAATTGCTTAAACTTGGGAGGCGGAGGGTGCAGTGAGTTGAGATCGTGCCACTGCACTCCAGACTGGGCAACAGAGTGAGACTCCGTCTCAAAAAAGAAAAAAAAAATTGTACAAAAAAAATCCAAAACCCAACTAGAGTTCCCTGAGATTATTAAAAGTGACCTATAATTGGGAAGAATTACTTTTAAGTGACAAATCATGACTATGGAGTATAATACACAAACTGGAATGGATCCCTTACACAAAGATTCTTTTGCTGGCCTGTGGGCTGTCCATCTTAATTTTCAGGACTTGGCACTGTCTCCATCTCTTCCAATAATGTGGTCCAAATGGCCTGATCTCCCTCATCACTGTGACTGGTCAAAGCCTCGGTGCTTCCTATCATGAACTGTTTTGCAGTGTTCACCTTTACCAGAGATATGAAAAGTCCAGCAATTATTCCACTATCGGCCAAGGTGCCCATTCAATAGGCATGTACATAAGCCACAGAAACGTGCTGGTTTTTACTGAGAAATGTTATCTTGGGTTGAGTTTTTGTAATTCATTAAAGCAAGGCAGGGGGCAAGAGATTGAATTCATCAAGACACCTACAGACAAAAAAAAAAAAAAAAAAAACCAGTAGACAAAGTGATCCAATCATAAAAATAATACTTGATAAATCAAAATAAATAAATATATATATATATAAAATTTTTTTTTTGAGACAGGGTCTCGTTCTGTCACCCAGGCTGGAGTGCAGTGGCACAATCTCAGGTCACTGCAATCTCTGCTTCCTGGGCTCTACTGATTCTCCCACCTCAGCCTACCAGGTAGCTGGGACTACAGGCATAAGCCACCACGCTCAGCTAATTTTTGTATTTTTAGTAGAGACGGGATTTCACCATGTTGGCCAGGCTGGTCTCAAATTCCTGAGCTCAAGCGATCTGACTGCCTCGGTCACCCAGAGTGCTGGGATTACAAGCATGAGCCACCGCGCCCAGCCAGATTTTTGGGTTTTTTTTTTTTTTTTTTTTTTTGAGACAACGTTTTGCTCTTCCTCCCATGCTGAGTGCAGCGGCCTGATCACAGCCCACAGCAGCCTCGAACCCCTGGGCTCAAGCTATCCTCCCACCTCAGCCTTCCTAGCAGCTGGGACGAGAGATGTGCACCATCATGCCCAGGTAATTTTTTAAATATTTTTTATAGAGATGGATTCTTACTCCATTGCCCAGGCTGGTCTCAAACTCCTGAGCTCAAGCCATCCTCCCGCCTCCACCTCCCAAAGTGCTAGGCGTCAGCCACTGCGCCCAACCGAGATTGTTTTGAATCAGACATTTTGCTCCATGTTCCTAAACTTTTTGTATATGGGTTTTTTCTGCTTTGTCAGAGCCTTCTTTGTGTCCAGTGTTCTGGGCTTGAAAACACCCTTGAATGTTTCCTGTCTGCAACTGGAAAAACAATACGAATCAGGAAGGAACTTCCCACTCGCCATTTTACTCTGGGGTTTGTTTTTTCCTATGAAGCTATTCTGCAATTTCACTAGTCACTCAAACAAGGCTTATACCAGGCAGGATTTTTAATTTGCTTTTTGGTAAAGCACAAATTTTCTCCTTGTAATTCTCAAAGCAACGGTGCTGCTCAGGCCTTGATAGGGTCACTTTCCCTTGACCTGGTATGGTAATGTCCAACCCTGCAGTGTGGCTAATAGGATGTTTCACTGAGCTCACTTGCCAGGCAAGAAGAAAACAGAAATGTTTTCAGTCTGGAATACCAAAAAGACAGAAAATGCTCAGACCAGGTAAGAGTCAAAGGAAAATTTCCAATTGGTCTGATATTTTCCATCTCTAATCATGGATTTCTGGTAGTTTCCTTCATAAAACATGTATATGGGAGCCAGGAACTCCCATACCACGGACACGAATGCTCAAGTCCACAAGGTCAGTGCAGGCTGTGGTCTTCCAAGCAATGATCACTACTGTCCTCCTCCCTGCTAGACAGCAGGTTCCATGAGGGCAGAGAGAGAGAGCTCTGAAGTCATCACTCCTCCCCAGCGCCAAGCTCAGCACCTGCCTGCCACTTAAGAAATACACACTGAGGGGCCGGGCGCGGTGGCTCACGCCTGTAATCCCAGCACTTTGGGAGGCCGAGGCGGGCGGATCACAAGGTCAGGAGATCGAGACCACGGTGAAACCCCGTCTCTACTAAAAATACAAAAAATTAGCCGGGCGCGGTTGTGGGCGCCTGTAGTCCCAGCTACTCGGGAGGCTGAGGCAGGAGAATGGCGTGAACCCGGGAGGCGGAGCTTGCAGTGAGCCGAGATCGCGCCACTGCACTCCAGCCTGGGCGACAGAGCGAGACTCCGTCTCAAAAAAAAAAAAAAAGAAATACACACTGAATGAACGAACGAATGGACGTCTATCACATCTTTGGGGAAAAGGACATTCACGATGTCAAACAAAATCTAATAAAACTAGGTCGAAAAGCAGCCATAGGTGTACAGAACTGCCTTCCACAGTAAAATTAATAATGACTAAAATTGAAATGTGATATTACCTTTCAAGGTTAATCTTTTTATAAAATGGAAAAAAAAAACAGTTGAAAACCAAAAAAAAAAAAAAAAGTCTACAGGGGGTGGGGGGAGGTGAAATCCACAGTTTTAAAAATTTTATGTTAAAAGAGGAGGGAAAGCCAGCCATTCCTCCAATCCCATATCCCAAAGGGAACTACTGTTACGAATTTGTTATATATCCTTCCCAATTTGTTTTCTAAATTTAAACTAGTGCTTCTCAACTGGAGGCAACTGTGTCCCCAGAGGACACTTGGCAATGTCTAGAGACATTTGTGGTTGTCATGATGGGTATCTGTAGGGTAGAGGCCAGGATGCCACTAACTATCCTAAATGCAACCCCCCCACACACACTAAATAATATAAAGAATTATGAACAAGGAAGGATACAGCCCTGGATTTGTTTCCTATTGCTGCTGTAACAAATCACCACAAACTTAGTGGCTTGAACAACACAAGTGTATTATATCACACTTCTCAAGTCAGAACTTCCAACCAGGTCTCCCTGGACTACAATCAAGGTGGCAGCAGGGCTGAATGCCTTCCTGGACACGCGAGGGGAGTATCTGCTTCCTCGCCCTTTCCAGCTTCTTGAGTCGGCCGCGTTCCTTGTCCTCCTCCTGCACTGTCAAAGCCGGTACGGTTCACTCTGGGCCTCTCTGCCACAGTCACATCTTCCTCTGACTCTGCAACCTCCCTCTTCCACTGCTAAGGACCTCTGCGATTACACTGGGCCCACCTGGCTAGTCCAGGCTAATCTCCCTTTCTGCTGATTAGAAATTTTAATTCTATCTCCAAACTTAGTCCCCCTTTGCCATGTAATCTAAGACACTCAGAGATTCTGGAGATTGGGACCTGGACATGTTTGGGGAGGGCAGAGCATTATTCTGCCTACTTCAGGTCCAAGTGTCAACAGTGCCAAGGCTGAGAAGTGATTTCAAAGGACATATATACACACACAGACACATACATGCACACACATACACACACATGCACCCAGGTAGGCAGAGAGACATGAGGGGCATTTTTACACATCAGAACACACATGTACAACTCTACCGCCTCTTTTATGCCTGTACAGTAACCTATTCTGTGGATATACCATGTTCTACTTAACTACACAAAGGCAAGGCAGCACCACCAAACCCTCCAGCCTCATATTCAATCTAATTGAACTGTGGACTGAAGACAGCTCAAGACCATCAAACCTCCATATCACAAATGGTTCCTCCAAGGCTGTAGGGATCTACTTGAGCCTTCATAATAGCCAACAACAGTAGCAGCTACATTTGCTGGGTGCTTTCTATGCCCAGACACTACGCTGGCACCTACATCTATTCTAATTCTCACATCAACCCTATTGGGTAGGAATCACTATTTCCCCCATTTTACATATGAGGAAAGTGAGGCCTTGAAAGGTAACTTGCCCAGGACCCCAGCACTAATAAGTGCGACTGTGGGATTCAAACCCAGAGGGACTGACTAGCAAGCCCTACACTTAGTTTATCTAAACCAAGGGTCAGCAAACTATACCTGCAGCCTCAACCTAGCTCACCGCCCATATTTTATGTCCAGAAAGCTCAGAAGACTGATTATTTTAAAATGACTGGAAAAAAACAGTATTTGGTAACACATGAAAATTTTATGAAATTCACATTTCAGTAACACATGAAAATTTTTTGAAATTCACATTTCAGTGTATTACAGAAGTTTCACTGGGACACAGCCAGGCTCATGTGTTCGTGTGCTATCTGCGGCTGCTTCTGAGCTTCAACAGCAGAATTGAGTTGTTGCGAAAGACATCACCGTATGACCTGCAGAGCTCAAAATATTTGCTATCCAGCCATTTACAGAAAATGGTGGCCAATCCCAGGTCTCTATCAGTAACTCTTGCAGGATGTGGTGCAAACCTCAACAGCTGGCTTTTTAGAATCACTTTGAGGATGGGTGAGGCTGGGCTGGAGGTGTATTTTCTCTTCCTGGACACTCTGCCTAATAGGCAAGCAGCAGCTGCCAAAATGAACAGGGGTGGTTGCCTCTGATAATTCAGTCCGAATGTGGAGGCACAGCCCAGTGCTGGTGACACTGGTGACAGGAAGAAATCAGAAGTTATGTCTCCCCTGCACCTACGCACCGTCATCCACTCACCTCCTCAAAAACGCTGAAGTATTTTAATCACTGTTTTCTGGTCTCTACTGATAAACATATTTCAGGACAAGACCTAAATAAACACAGTTCTCTACCCAAGAGTTCAGCAACAACAAACATTTCAGGCTTGCAGACCATACTGTCTCTATATAATGACTCAGCTTGCCACTGCAGCACAAAAGCTGCCACAGACATTGTATAAATGAACGGACCTGGCTGTGCCCCAATAAACCTTTATTTATGGACACTGAAATGTGAATTTTGCCTAATTGTCACACGTCATGAACTACTGTTCCTCTTTTAATGTTTTTCAACTATTTAAAAATGCCAAAACCATTCTGAGCCTGCGGCAGCCGCATTTAACCCACAGACCAGAGTTTGCTGACCCCTGATCTATGTACAAGTGAAGTCCATTTTCCCATGAAACTTCAATCCTTTTTAATCACTTCCCAAATCCAAATTCTTCTTACTCAGAAGGGGGATTTCTGTGCTTTCCCAACTGGCATTTCAGGGGTTGAGAGACGCTGGCTTTTCCAGACTTTGCCAAATTGCTCCTTTTCAATCCTTTCAGTCACCCTGGGGCCTTGAGAGCAGGGGCTCATCTTTCTACCACCAAGGTCACCCCCCACCCAAGGATGGCAAATACATGGCCGAGGTGCCAACACGAACATCAAACATCAATGGCTCCCACGGCTCCTGGGCTCACAGGGCTGCTGGGTTTTGGTTTACAAATTCACATGACA